TACATCATTAATTTACTTTGGTATTTTTTAAAATACTATTTGCATGATGCATATATATTTAAAAAACTACAGTGTTATATATTATGCAAAAGTAATATATGAAATAAGAAATATTAACAAAATCCACTTTCTTTAAGGTGTTGTTTAAGAAAGAGGGTTTTAGAGAGGAGGGCATAAATTTATATTTTAAAAATATATTTAAAATTAATATTTTTTTAAAATAAAAAATATAAATTAAAATATTAACAAAAATTTAATGGATTAATAATATATTTATCATCATAAATAATGTATAATTCTTTTAATTTAAAATTAAAAAATATACCCTCTCCTCTCTTCCCTTCCAAAACTCCCCTCCCAAACATACTCTAAATTATTGTCTTTTTTTTTCTCCCTAAAACAAAATATTTAATGTTTATTAATTAAAAATAATCAAATTGACCTCCTTTGAGTTTAGCAATAATTATACAAAGACTTTATTTGATTCATAATGTACATGAATCTCTTTATCGCTAATTATATAGCCCACACATAAAAGAGAAATATATGCAATTTTTAAAAATGAATGAATCTCATTGTGTAAGAATAATAACTAAAATAAGAGAAATATTTTTATAGAAAAAAAGTAGATGTATTTTTTTTAATTAAATAGAGTTTATATATATAACTACAACCAACCTTAAGGAAGTTCATCACAATTAACTTTATTAACTATGTTTGACCTAATTCTAAGGAGTTAGTCAAACAATGTATAGATATTATGACCTTATATTTGATAAGCCACAATTTTAAGCCTCACACATATTTAAGGTAAAATAAATATAAATTTTGTATAAATATTTTTGAAGTACAATTTTTTTCTTAAAATAGAATACTATTCTCTCTCCTTAAAATTTTAATAATAAAGAGTATATCTATTTGAACCAAATATGTACAAATATGCCTTATCCACAGTCACTTCACAGTTCTTAACATACATGCTGCAATAATCCTTGAAGAGAGTTGTTACCACCACAAAATAAATGAGTGATACCAAAGTCAAAAATAACTCGAGCCAAAAAAGACCCAAAACATAATAATATACCACACCTATTTTAGAGGAACAAGGAAGTGATGGCATGAATTTAATGGTGAATTATTGCACTTTTGCTCATGTTTTGATTCGGTTTCTCATGATTGCACCACCCTGCTTCATCTTCACTCTCTTCTTCACCTTGTCTTTTACTCTGTTTTTCTTATCATTTTCTAAGGGCGTTAAGTGGCCATGAAGGGCTCTCCTACAATGGTATCTGAATCACCAAGTCACATCATGGGTACCATCGTGTTACTCAGATTTTTCAAATGGGTATGAAGATTTGGGCCACTTTGATAATAATTCACATCGCACGGTCCCAATCACTTCACTTTCATTCATTCATTCAAAACGATGACTTGTCGCGAATGTTAACGACTCTTAACGGAACATTTGCCAGGTGTTTTGATTCTACCCGTAACACTTGTAAAACATTCCCATAATCTCGTTTTAGAGGTGAATCCATGAAAGCTACAATCAATATTATTATTAAATCAAAAGTTTCATGTGACTACCGTAGAATACATCCATTTTTTATTAATAATGTACAAACAAAATACTTTTGTTCTTTCAGATAAGCTATCGAATTTTGGCCATTCAATTTCAACTGTCTCGGTTAACAGTTTTAATCCTGTATAGTTGCTTTTTCATGATTTATTCTTGATGTTTTAACATTGGTGACAATAGTTTAATGAATAGTTTGTTCTAATGATGTTCAAATAAAATTGACATAAGTGTAACATTTTAATAATATTGCAAAAGCTTACATAGCATTCTTAAATAATTTGAAATTTTACATGACCACTTCATATTATAGGGAGAATTGAAAGGCATGGAGAAGATTATATATAAAGTGTGCTGTTTTTCTTCATATAGTTAAAGGTGAAAGTAAAGGTAGTTTTGATTTGTAAGGAATCAAAGTATCACTATACATCACTATCTTGGCACGTGACATGGCACGAGGTGGACACCAATGTATTCACATGGACCCTAAAAGAAGACAAACTCTTGATTGTCACAAAGCTTCAACCATCCAGGTTGGTATCTTTAGCAATCATCAAGTTTTTTATTAATTACTCATTTAATTAGCCTAAGAATGAGCAATCGCCAAGTATTTTATTAAAAAATGTTTATTTTAATTTTTGAAGCTAATTTTGAGTCATTGAAAGTCACAGTTCTTTTAATTAAAAAATATTTATTTGATTAAAAATATGATAAATAATATTTTTTAAAAATTAAAATCAATCTTAAAAAAAGGAATTAATGAATTTATTTTATTAATTAATCATTTAGTTAGCCCGAGGAAAAACAAACTTTTTATACAAGTTACCAAGAAGAAAATAAAGGACCTTGTTAGTTGGTGTTAAGGCATTAATTTCAAAATTATTCTTTTTTGTTAACATCAATCCTTAAAATAAAATTTAAATCATTAATAATGATAAAAGTTTATTTAAAAGAAAAGTACTTATTATTCTTTTGTAATTTCAATATAGCACATATTTTTTGTTGCTTAAATTTAGTCTAAAGAATTGTAACAAAATCGAATAAATGATAAATAAATTTTTATTAAAATTATTAAAAAAAATTATTAATAGTATTTTTAATAATTTTTAAACTAATATTCTAATATTGGCCCAAAACAAAATGAAGAATTAGGTTAGTAATGACTCACCAAAAAAGGAATTCAAAAATAACCCACCGAAAAAGGTTAGCGGTGAGTTTAATTATTACAAGCTTTCGTAATTACAATTGCAAGGTCATAATTGGATATTTCCTCTATTTTAAATTATTAGATCTATATATATCTTTAAATTAATTATTCTTTCAATAATATAATAGTTCTTTTTTCACTAAAGTATTTTATTAGAATCGACTTTTGTGGCTCGTTTGGTATATGTACAGGGGAGAAAGTAGTGAAAATTTCAAATGTTATATTTCAATAAAATCTTACTGAATAAATTGATTAATGTATTTATAACCTTAATCTTCAATCCATAGCAAATATAATGATAATCAAGAACATTAATTTTGACATCAACATCTGCAGTATTAAAAGTTAGCATATTTTGCATCCATTTGAAGTATGATAATTGTGAGTAAATGTTATATTTTCGAATGTCTAGAGTCTATGGAGGAGCTCATAAATACTGGCACATGGTTCACTCTCTTAAACTTTGTGATCAGTTCGGTCCAATGCTCCATGACGTTGATATTTGACAGAATCAATTGGTTTATATGACGTAAAAATGGCACAATACGGAAATTATGCAAAATCTGGGTTCAATATGCCTCAGAGAAGGGTCAAGAAAGCATGTGAAAGTCACTTTCCATTACAACATTAGAATCTGCATCTTTGGCTTTCTGTGTTCATTCACATGTATGCCGAAAAGTCCCTTTTTCTGTTTAGTGCATATTTTTAATCTACAAATGGCAAAATCCTTCTCTACTGTCCTGAAAGGTAATATGAAGAAGCCTACGTATAAACTATTTTAAACACACTTCATGCAATTCATTAATTTAAAGAATATATATCAATGTATAAGTAAGTGCTTTAAAATTCTAAAAATCTCACCATCACAAAAAAAATAATAAAAATGTATTGCTAGCATTTCTGAAGGTAATATCCCAAACATGAATGTTTCAACTTTGCATTAGGAGCAACAGTTATATCCAAATCCCTTTTGTCTAATTGAATCTCATAAGTGAATGGTTTCAACAGCAGACTGAAATTGTAATCCTACATATTGATTCCTTTGAATTGTTGTTTTTGGACCGAAATCTGATCATTCAAGTTTTAAAATAATGAATATCCAATTAACATTTTCAAATACCACTTAATTTAAAAATATACTAATCTTATGGCAACCATAGTAGAAGATTATATGAAAATAAAATAAAAATATATTTAAAATCAAATCAAATAAATGGCATTGGTCTCCATTTACATTTAAAAAGATAGTGATAAAAGTAAGAGTAATCTAGTAATAAAAATTTTAAAAAAATAGAAATGTAGTGCAAATTAAAAGGAAAAAAAAAACTAGGTTTTTTTTTATGGGTCTAGAAATGGGGTTGTAAAAAGTATGTGTTTTTGGGTTCTGCTCATAAGAACGTTGGATTGGCCCTGGTGGCTCCAACTTGGGCTAACTTTTAGTGAGTAATTGATTATGATTTTGAGCTTGGGTCAGCCCGTGAGAGAATGGGTTAGGCAATTTAAAACTCTCAAAATGACATTTTGAGGCCAGTTAATGACAAAAGTTTTTTTTTAAGCAGAAGTAATAATAATAATAATAGAGGTGAATAAATAAAGGAAAAATTAAAATGTTGTGCACTTTTCATTTTTACTATTATTATTATTATTATACTTGTTATGTGTCACACAAATATTGTCTTGTCTTTATTTTTAGTACAATCATTATTATCATAGTTATTATGTACTAAGTAGATATATTTATTTATAACTTTTTATATACTCTTATTTTATTTTATTTTCCATTAAAAGGTTAATTTGGGTGTGACATCTTGGTAATTCTACCCTGATTATATGAAATGAAAATTGGAAATCGAGGACACTCTAGTGTTAGTTGACAAGGATAATTTTTATCATTATTTTACTTGACTAAACAGTTACTGACCTCATAGTTGTCTTGAAACACACAACTATGAAATAAAGTTTCTTCCTTATCTGATAAAAGAGAATGAACTAAATTTGTGACCGAACTGAATGATTTTAGCACAAAACAGTTTTCCAAATGTTTCATCATCGATCTTGCTCTCAAGCTTTTCGTTTTTCTTCTCCCTTGTTGTTGTATATAAGCATGCATAGACGAGAGAACCAAATTTGAGAACTAAAATAAATTATTATAACTTAATGCTAATTTACAAAACATAAACGTTCATGCCCTTATTCCCATTTCCTGTTGAACCCCGATGGATTCGTTACCTAAATTAACATTTATATCAACTGAACAAAAATTTACAGCGGAGACACAAATATATATATAAAAAAAGAAACTTCTATATGAAACTTCAAAATTATAAAAAGAAAGGAAAAGTTTGAATGAGAAAATGGCACGGTGCAGCAATAACCGGACAAGGCAGCTAAATGTGTGGTACCACTATGTAGCGACCACCATCAACACACTCTTTTAGAACCCTTTCTTTACTTTATTGGTATCAACAAAGTTGGCTACACGTCCTTGCTTCTGTCTAACTCCAACTGGTTCTTCCCATGTTTCATCACATCCTCCTAGGCCTTCCTCTTCCCCACATTCATCTCTCACCAAATAATGTTGTTGATAGTATCTGAAGGCCGCAAATAGCACGAATACTGCAGATGACACAACCCACACCATCCATTATTGTATGTCTATGTGCAAGGTTCAATTAATACATTGCATGCATATCAAACAAAGGAATCAAGGTTTAAATCTTATCTTTAAGTATGCGTTTGATTTAATTTGTTTAAAAGTAATTTCTTAAATTGAAAAAAAGTGTGTAACCAGAGATGCAAATTAACTAATATCATTTGAAGTTGCAACATGGTTTTTTACCTGCCCAAATGCGAGCAACAACTGATGATAAATTCCATACAAGCCCAAAGATGCCAAGAGCCACGGCTTTCTTGTGAGTGCATGAATCCCATGCATCCCGGAATCGACGAATCCAAAAATTTGCTTCATGTCATTAACAAAATGCAATTTATTAGAATATACTGTAATGAGGTCCATCCAAAGAAGGCTTTGGTTTTAGCTTTCTTGAACATAGTAGTAAACACATAAAAAAAAGACCCACTTTTTTCAGGTTTGGACTTTGGGATTGGGGACCACTAAGGATGTAAAGAACCATTATGTTACTAACCCATGATATGTTATTCCCTTCACCCCCAAGATCAGTCCAATTTGTCAGACACAAAAGAAGGAGACCCATTGACCAAAAAAAGAAAAATGATACCCAGTACTAGCAATGTGCTTTAAAACGTCAAGAATAAAGTAAACCAGAGATGCTCATCCATGTGATGAATTCAAGACTATTTTCAATGGCCACATTAAGAATTAAATGCTCAGAGACAAAATTATCTTGAAGCAGATTTAGATTTAGAATTTGTTGACTTTTTTATATCGTTAGAGGTGGTATAATTGCACCACTATATAATATGCACATTAAACTATTAACCTTTGTTTATTTATGCCCCACCAGATCTACATTATGATGCATTGGAAGCACCACACAATAAAATAAAATCTTTGGCACCAAAGAGCCGTTTCTCAATTCCCATCAATGCATGCATGAAAGGTGTTGTGGGCCTAATGAAGCACCGCACCGTCTACACTACTACACTAAAGAGTAGAGAGACAAAATACAAACATAGCACTCTCACTTCAACACTTAGCAGCCTCTACTCATTGCAATGTGCTGTGTTTGTTTACACCTTAAAGGAATAGTGCCATAAATTAAGCATTAAATAATGTTAGAAAAAAGCAACAGCATCAAATTCAGGAAATTACCATATGCAGTTAACTGTGCAGAATACGAAGAGCAGATCTTTGGTACGGTAAAAACTACAAAGAAGCCTGAGGCAGTTGAGCACAACCATGTGTCAGTAATCAATCAAGTGAAAGAGCACGTTCAGTAACTAAGAAACCAAACAAATTAAATATTAAAGAAAAATACTAATAAATACTCTACGAATACTACCTAAAAAATTAAAAATATTTTCTTTGACCAAAAGTATATTAACTTTGGTTATTTCTAATATACTCTTCAAGTAGTTTTTAATAAAAAAATTTAATATTTAATTTTTTTTAACTAGTATCTTTAAAACAATGGTTATTTCCAATATCACAATTAAAATGGAGGGGCAAGATGCAATTTTCACTCCCCTAGCAAGTGATTCAAAAAGTAAGAAACTTTCAGCGACATGTAAATTACTGGTGCGTCATTTGTTTCAAAAGAAATGAACTGAGATGCCCAAAAATTTGGCCTTTTCAGTGTCCTCACCCCAAATCAGAGTTCTATTTACGAATGGAGTAGACTTAGGCACCACCACTTTTAAAGGCATTCTGATTCCTCTTTTGATGCAGCTAAATTTATATACTAACACCTTTAGAAACTCACCAAATTTGGCCATCTTCCAAATGGTTATGTAGCTGCCACATCTAGCCAAAACAAAGAGCAAAACTGCCAACTGCAATTTAGACATGAATGCCAAAATTAATTTTTGGGTATTTTTATAGGCTACTTAAGTTTCTAAGTTAATAAGAAGGTATTCATAAAACCAGTGTGCAAAGAAAAATATTAAAATACCTTTATTGTGGTGCCCGGATCTCCAGAAAACAGGGCTTTGAGTTTTGATAGGCACTCATTCAAGTATGGGAGGATCAATTTTAGCAGCCAAATTGCATCTTCTTCTCCCAGTACATAATTTGAGTCATCAACTTCTATTACACCCCTGCTTAGTTCGATCCCAAAAGGAAAATAAGAAAAGAAATCTGGTAAAATTGTAATATATTTTTCACCACAGTGCTTGGTTTATTACCTGCAAATTAGGGATCTATACAGGAATATAACAGCGAGATAGACAAGACTTATATAGGACATCACTGAAATAAGGCTGCAGAAGCAATGATAGAAAAGCTTCAGTTCTGGGCTCTCTATCAAACAGAAAATTATATTATATATTGATAGTAAAATAAACTCTATTTAGATGCATTTCTAACCTCAGATTGATATCCTTTGCATAAGAGGATGAAACAATGATGAATGTTCCAAACCCGAAAACAAATGCTGATCTTGAAACATCTCTCCACATAATTAAATCCACTGAGGAGGAGAGTCGTAGATAAAATTAGTGCTATAATTTGAAAACAAAAAAAAATTCAATTTCTTGCATAATTATCAAGTGTAGATGAATCACCTAGACTCTGCAACTTGCTTTGGGTCTGTGGAAAGCTACGGTATTCTTGTGCTTTTGGAACTGAATCATGACAATTAGTCACACTAGTCAAAATAAGCACAAAGCAAATTAAACAGATTGAAAGAACAAACTATGAGGAGACTCAAAAGTCCTTACTTGAATTTGCTTCGGGGAAATTTTGGTAAATTGTGGAATTCCTTCTAACTGGAGAATGCTTCTGAACAAGAGGGACAGAAACGGGTCTTCTTTCATTTCTGTGATGAAATCGCATGTGGGCACTCACAACTCTCTTAGATTCTGGTTCGTTCAGAATCTTCTTGGGTTGTTCTGGTTCATTCACAACCACCTTCTTAGATTCTGGTTCATTCACAACCACCTTCTTAGGTTCCGGTTCATTCACAACCACCTTCTTAGGTTCCGGTTTATTCACAACAACCTTATTGTCTTGTTCATTCACAACAACCTTATTATTTTCTGGTTCCTTCACAACCTCAGATTCTGGAATACTAATTTCCTTCACATCAATTCTCTCTTCCATCTCAATCTCAAACTCCTCCTCTTCATCTCCTTCGTCCACTTCATCAACAATCACATCATCTGAATCATCATCACCGCCCTGAACCGACAATTCTGTTGAACATTGGACCACACCCACATTCTCTGAACTGCTTGATATCACCTTCTCTTGGCACACATCATCGACATCCATGCAATTTTTATCATCAGCATCATTCTTCCCATTCTCAACTTCAATCTTTTCACATCCACCATCAGTTGACTCATCTGGAACTCGATTCAACTCGGATTTCGTCTTCCTCAATTGAATTGAAGCAGAAGCAGCATTCTTCTTGATTGAATCTGATTTGGTCTTTCTCAATTGCCCTGCATCACCACCTTCTCTGCCACCATCTGAACCACCCTTGTGTGATTCAGATCTCAGCTTTCTGGAATGAATTGGGCTTCTCTCAAATTTATCTGCACAAGCTGCAATCTTTCTGGAGTGAATTGGGCTCTTCTTGATTCCATCAGAAGAAGAAGAAATGCTGAGTTCTTTACACTGTTCCTCTGAACTCTTCTGGGTCTCTGGCTTTCCTCTAGCTACCTGAATTGACCCATCAAAGCTCTCTGATTTCCAAGTTTTTCTCTTTCCACCAATTGGGTTTCTTTTCGATCTTGAAGCACCACCACCATTACCATTTTCTTCAGGATTATCCTCTGCATTGAAGACCTTGATTCCCCCTCTCACTTCATCACTCTTCATTCTGCTCTCCCACACAGACCCCGCAACCACACTCCCTCTAGCCCCTATTCTTCTTTTGCTCACTTCCATCCCCAATTTATCTTCTTTTTCTACCTGCCAATGGGTCATAGGTGGTTAATGGATAAGAGGCTTCAAGCTGAAGCAATGGCGGTTGGTGGGGTGCAACATTGGGATCCCTTGTAAAGCAATTGAGAGAGAGAGAGAGAGAGAGAGAGAGATCAGAAGATGTAGGAAGAGACACTAGTTGTTCACTTTTCTTTTCTTTTCCTTTTTAATTTTCTATCTTTCTTGATGATAACTACCAGGGAAGGAAAAAGCAAAGGTAAATTAGGTGAGGTTGAATGATTAGGGTGTTAAGGAATATCAACCCTTTTTTTTTAGCACTGATTTGATTCCCTAAAATCTCTCATCACTCTTACCAAGGCACTTAAAAGTCATTAGTAGTCTCACTCTCACATCACATGCAAGTGAACAACTAAGCTACCGGCATATATATAACTTGTCCTTCCTTACTCAAGAGTTTTTAAGAGTGAGGGCGAAGTCTCAGTGTACTTGTTGAATTGGAATTCTTCTTTTTTTGTCTTGAGATTGCATACGTGTAATGGAGAAGGCATCAACTGCGAATTGTCGAGGTAGCCAGCAGTACCGTGTCAGAAGACCTCCAAAACGCACCCATAATTTTGGCCAATGCTACTCCTTATTGTTGCTGTGCTTTAAGGATTGAATAGTATGCGTGTGTAGTTAGTTTTCTAATGCAGGGTTTAACAAGTTTCTTCAAGCATCGAGCCTTGATTAGTTAGTTGAAATTTAAAACAATGACTAAAAATGTATCTACATTTAAGATAGGTAAACAAATATATAATACTTTTCTTTAACTAATTAAGAGAGTATAAAAATTCCTGTAATTAATTGAACTAGAGAACTTGATTGGATTATTGGGGGTACCGTTTATGTGAGATTGGGTTGATGATCTTCAAGGTCGTGTTATGGGTTTATGGTGTTTGTACATGTAGGCAATACTATTCACTTGAACCAATTGACCATTGTCTATGCATGCAGAGGGATTTGGATTTCTGTTTTAGCTGCTTAAGAGTTAGAGACAACATTTAGAAATTGCAGATAACAAAATTTCCATAAGACCATGACAAAACCTATTAATGTCACATAATTAAATTGGTTTCATTGACTTTAGTTTTCTCATCTTCTTTTGACCATTTCTTTGTTTCATAAAACAAGGTAAAAGCTTGTCGCCATAGGATCCGTATCAATAGGCTTCATTTCATGTTAATAGTTTTAAAAAACAACCATGTATTCCACTTTGTATAATTTTCAACTAATGCAAGATGATGCATCTTCAAGTCATATGTAGACTTAACAAGAAGTCAAGATTGCAACATATTTAACAATCATGTTTGGTTAAGTGGAAATAGTATTTACATTAATTTTGTGCAACACATAGTCTAGTTCACTCATAAATTGGTTCTAAGCAAAATTGAATTACACTTTCTAACATTTTTGTCTTTTTCAGTAAATGTCAAATAAATTGCATTTTAGCAAACAAATAATCGGTAGATAGCCATAAGTTAATTTCAAATGACTATATATTATTAAGGATATTAGTACTAATAAACATAACACAAACAAAAGCGATGAAGTTGTTAATGTTCTTATATGCTTTAGTGTGTGAAAAAGTTACTGCATGTGGGAATGTTTGGCGTAAGGGTAAGTGGTAGAATCTAATAAGCCACAAACACAAAAGAAAAGCTTTTACAGTGACCCCACAGAGCGTTTTTGCCTTTCTTTTAGGATTGGGTTGTGGTCTGGTCTGGTCTGGTCTGGTCTGCTCATGCATGTGAGGCAAAACCATACATAGAAAACTATTTTACATGAAACGTGACGACAAATTAAAAGTTGCATACGACCAATACTCACCGACACTATTAGCTATTCTACTTTCCCTACGTTTTGCATCTCATTTTTCCCCTTTCTTCAGGATGCTGTCACTAACACGTAAAGCTTTTTCTGCCATTACTCCTTCGCACCATTTATTTTCTATCTACATCTTTGTTCTTTTTCATTAACATTTATATCAATAAAAATCGTTAATACTAATTTTAAGAGTTCGTGTTTTACTCTTTGAGATTGCGTGCTTATGATTGATTTTGCAGTTAGTGGCTTTTTTAACATGATATACAGGCATTAATTTCAACTAGTAATTAATGTGCCTTTTTAGGGAAAAATAATAATTAATGAGATAAGCGATATAATAAATTTGTCACTATGAAAAAACAGAAGAAATATAAAAGTTGAAGCCCGTTTGGTGACATTAATATTTTAGGACATCTTTGGAGGGATGTGAATTTTTTGTTTTAAACACAAATTTTAGATTATATATATATATATATATATATATATATATATATATATATATAACTAAAATGACGTTGAAAAGTTGATTTTAGAATATTTTTATCTCAATTTAAAAAATGTATTGAATTTTAGTTTTTATTTTTAAAAAATTATTTAAGCCTCTCATCTCTTTTAGAAGACAAATAATATCTATTATAATTATTAATATCTATTATCATCACTTTTATCATTATCATTGTCACTATCATCATTATTATTATCTTCTCTATTTTCATATTATAAAAATCTCTATTTGTATAATATTTTTGTCTATATCTATGTTTTTGGAGCTCCATGATACATAATAAGTGTGAGTACTTTTTATTGGCACAAATCCAAATAAAATCAATCTCAAATCCTAATTCGATTAACATAAAATAATGTTAAATAAATATGCTTATGTATGGTACATGATCTTAAACTCTTTATTTTAATATTTTCTAGCTACTTAATCTTTTATAACAATTTTATCTTTCATTCAAGTTTCTTGAATTCATTCATTTAAAGCTTATTTGAACTTCTTATTTGAACTTCTTAATTATCTTATACTCTTGTAATGAACTTGGATAAAATTTGAAATAAATTCTTCGAAAAACTAGAATTAAATTGTATCAACCATTGATCACTTGTATTAGATTCATATTAGTTATACTCTGTGAAAAGTGTTCAAGGTGAAATAAGCTTTTCTAATGCAAAATCTGAAACCAAGATCTTAAAAAAGAAAAAATAAAATCAACTATGTACCTCTTGAACTAACGATCCACCAGTGATAACCAAGCTGAAGTTTAAAAAAATAAAAACTGCATCTAAGCCTAAAGTTTGAAACAATTTTTAGATTATAACTAAGTGAACGACGAATGCAACTAAAATAGGCGTTGTTGGCGTATATTTATAAGTACCTTCCTTCTGAATGCTAACAATGAAAAATAGAAAAACTCTACATTTTTATATTTGGTCTCATATCACCTTTATCAGAAACAAATACAATATTCACTTATTACATTAATTATTTTTTCTATCCCTTATAATATTTGTCCCCTTATACTTTGTTGGAAATATATATTTTATTATTGTAAATATAATTAAATTTAAATTTTTTTTCTTAGTTAATCTTAGCCCTCGTAAATTTAAATTTTTCTTCAAAACAGTCACTATTACTTCTTATCAATGATGTGATAAGTATACAGACATGTCCCATTATTTACTATTTTATAATAGTCACTAAGGTAGTATAGTTAACTACGTATCAAATCATCACAAAGTAATAATAGAAAATATTCTTTTAAAAAATTTAAAAATTTATAAAAACTAAAATCAACAAAATAAATTGAAAACTAAAATTGAATTTAATCATATTTAAAAAAGCTACATATATTTAGGTCTTTATAAGATACTGTTTAAAAATTAGCATTAATAATATATTCACTGAAATCGGTGGGGCAGCTTACACGTTAAATCGTAGTGAAGATGTTCACTTATTGTCTAAATAAAACAAAATTAAGAAGAAGACAAGAACTAATTATTTAAAATTTTGCACATGAAATTTTGTGATTTAGTCCAGCTTTTAGGTGTCCGAGGATTGTGGGAGTCCTAAAACCTGCCCCTTGATATTCAAATGTTTGTTTATTATCACAGTAAATACAAGGCATTAAGCAACCTGGTAAGCTAATTGGCTTCTAGAGAGGAGGATAAAATTAAAACTCACAATGTTATTCAAATTATCTCAGCCTATATTGAATTCAATCATAACTCATTGAGAATGTAATATTGTTTATATTATCATTTAATCATAAATTATCATATTATTACAAAAATATTGTTATAATACTAATATAACTTTTTTATACTATTAATGTATTGAAATTAAATTCATATTAAAAAAACATAATTTCATACTTAAAAGGGGTAAGATTATTTTAAGTAAAATTTCTGTGGAACAGTAATTACTTTAGTCCCTAGCTGTTTGGATGTTTCTAACTTGGTATGTTACTAATTTAATCCAGCAGAAGCAACCTAATACATTTGTGGGTTGTTGTTTTAGGCCTTTCTGAATCGTTAGGATGATCAATATTAAATTCAAGTGAAGGTTGGAAGCTTTCTCACCTACTGCAAGAAACCTTTTGGTGATGCTTTAACCAATAAACATCTAATTTGGTGCGGTGGATGAAAATAATAATTGTAATTGAGCATACACCATTAAACCTCCTTATATGCATTGACATATGCAATTTGCTTTTATTGTCATTTACATTGTTGTATCCATCCCACATCTTAATAAAAAAAATAAGCACCTACAATCATGCCTAGGCTACTTCTTTTCCTTTCTCTATGCACCCCAAATGCAAAGTTTTAACCCCCTCATTGCTTTTGTTAGGTATCAATTTATCTACAATTTATGGATTCTTTTATATATTTTTCTAGAACTAAAATACATCTAATTTTTGGTATCAAAAAATTCAAACCTATAGTAACAATATAAATATCTAACTGTATATTGCATGCAATTGCAATAATTGGACCTGCTGAAATCATTGGACCATGGCCAGGGGTTGATTCAATTTATGTTGTCATCATTTGAGCACAACTTCAAATTACCTACACTTAAGTGATATTGCTGTATGTGTTGATGGCGCCATCAGATGGAAGTAAATAACATAATATTTAGTCTAAAGTAACTAAAATGAAAAAGAATGCAATACTCTAACCACATCATGGAATGAATAACACATGTTTAATTGGAAAAAAAAAGAAAGAGATAATGTAAATTATATACAAGAAGCTTTGCATTACAGATATGAAATCAACAATACTAACAGAGAGAACAAAATCTGAATGGGAGAAAGAAGGAAATATAATCTATCCTGCTTTTTCGGGATTTACTTACAATGATATGGTTTATAAGCGAACCTATATACAAGTTGGCTGGCAAATAGCACACACTTTTCACAGAAAATCTACGATATCTGCATAAGGAGGATACAATAAAAGAGATAATTAGCACAAGGTTTTCAAATAATACAGAGTGAGTGAGTTATAGGTTCAAAATGTTTTTTCTTCACCTTTTTCTGTGTAAATCACACTCCTACATTATGTTCTTCCGTGTCATCACTGTTTTCTGCTACTTATTCTATATACAGTGTAATAATATACACTTTTCAAGGTAACTAAACAATTTTCATCTTGTCAAACTCGACAATAGCAATTGATCTAATTACCACTCAATTAAAATTGTCAATGTGGATTGTTGTAGGTAATATCCATTCTAACTTGGATTTTTATTTCTCACTTTCCTCTATTTTCTTCGAGACTCAAGCAGCTTGCAGTTTTCTTCATGGGCTTTGTTGAACATTCTAGTAAAGTTGAGCAAAGTAGTGACAACTGAAGAAAAAAAAATAATACAAGAATTAGCACAAAAAACATACAGATTCATAGTTTGTTCCTCAACTTGACTGCATGATTTCAATACACAGATTATCAACATTGAGTCGTGTGAATTGTAAAAGGAAGGGGAAAAGAGAACACCAAAACAGGAATTATAGTAGAGTTAAGAATATTAGTTTTTAAGGCATCATGCTTGCCTTCAATGAGACTTAAGGATGAACTTCAAAATATTTGCGTGCAAAGTGAAACCATAGTTGTTTTCTACTTCAAAAAGAAAAATACTACTCAAGAGTTGGATTGATAAACACTTGTAATTTAGAAAACGATATGGATGTATTTAACATGGTTTAGTCCTTCATGCTCTCTTAATTAATGAAGACTTTCTTATTATTAGTCACCATTTAGCAAAACCTCAATTAATTTGATATTGATTACAATTTAAACATAGGAAACTACCAAAAAAGTAGGAAACTAGTGATAATAATCAATAATAGAATTGAGCACAATAGAGTTGATTAAAAGTAAATTATATATAAGCAGATACACACACCTTGCTCAAAAGGGCAGCGAGATGGATCTTCACCAAAATAAATAATCAGAGCATCCACACTCCTACCCTGTAAAACATAGTATTGTCCATTTAAAGTGAAACCTTTTTATGGTTTATAAAGATTATTAAATATATCCTCAAAGGTCTACCATGACAGAATATAGTGAATCCAATGAAGAGACTTCGGCCTTCGCAGAAGAAAGGTATTCTTTCAAATTCTGAAAAAATAACTGAATACTATTAATGTAAAATTTTCCTACATGAAAATAAAAATTTATCACAGTTTATCATGCAGGAATTTGCTTTGGATCTTAACATATCATATATCAGCATATGCTATAGACTCATGTTTGTAGAAGTTTTTCTTCAGTGAACTTCCTTTATCATTCAGAGCAAGTGATTAACAAAACTCATTTAGCTATGACTTCCACCCTTCCTGCAAGCAACCACATAGAAAAAAATAGGAACATGAAAAGATAAAGTTCATAACTATATGGGGCATCACTTGTTATAACTGATGATGATCTTGTCCAGTTAAATTAGAGATATAGATGAATTACTCATTGTTTGTATAAATCCAAAACTTGAAGGAAAAATGAAAAAGACAAGCAAAACTGTAAAAGAAAAAATGAACAAGAAGAAAATACATCATTGGTTATTGAAACCCCTTGGAAAGGCATGATGCCTATACCTTGCAAAAAGTTTCTGACACAGGACCATCATTTTTAGAGATGGTTAGTTCATGTTCAACTCTCTCTAATCCTTGGCTTATAGCTCGCATCTCCTCTGCTAGCAACTTCAGTTGGATCTGAATCATAATCATGCATGTCAATACTAGCTAATATACTATGTCCATCAACTAAAATGAAGAGCGTTGGAAGAGGTTCAAAACCTTTGCTGCTGGCTCAAGGTTAGAAAGATCTTTGGAGAAATCTAACACTTCTGGTAGCTTATCTGTCAGAACCTATGGGTATGCATATCAAAGATTACCATATATTAACGATGTAAACTTCTCCAAATTGAAGTGAAGTGAAAGCTATTCTATATCATGGACAGCTTAGCATAGATGACAATTTTGTTAAATAAAATAAAGGGAAAAAAACAAAAAAGAATAAATAACAACATATACCTTACAGAGATAATTCATGAGAGTTATGTTTTTGTTCTGCGCACGTGTCTCAGTGAGTTTAAGAAGACTGTCCAATCTGAATCCAATGGCAGAGCCTAAAAGATTGAAAAGCATAATCGGACTCGAGATTAATACTCATTAGTGTTGAGTGTCATCATCACGTGAAGATGTGGTGTTATCATCACGTGAAGATGTGCTTAAGAATGAAGTTACTTATGCTACAAGAATTACATGAAATTGATAATGGAGTGAGCAATGAAAACTTGGATTAAGATAGTGTTGCCCATAGCTCTATAAAATACATATTAGAATATGGTATTTCAACACCAGCATATAGTTCAAATCAAATGTCTGTTGTCATCATTTCCTAAACACTGAATATTTGTGAAGGTGTACTAGGCAAGAATATTTTTCAAACAAGGTTTGAAATTGTAGTTATGGTCAAGGTTGTGGGTTGTGCAAGTCAATAATGGTTGATGTTATCCAAAATCATGGCATGATGTAGTTGTGACAGCTACAGCAATAAGATGTTGCAGGCTTTGTAGCTACATCACGTGACATCATCCACAATTGTAAGGCATGGTTAATTGTGGCGTTCTCAAAATGGTTGTACTTTTTTTTTTTCAATCTAAAAACTTGCATGATTCATTGTGAGCATTTATTTTATCTTACCCTTGGCAGTTCCTTGGTTCAAAGCATTTCCTAAAGAAAGTATTGTTTGCATGATTCTCTTTAATTTGACAGAATTTCTGATCTGAAAAGAAAAAGAAGACCATCAAAATAATCAAAATGTTATTACTGGAAAAGGAAAATAAACGGCAAGAAAGAGTTTAGGTATAAAGGAGTATTATCGTGCCTCTTCTGAAGCATCATTAATTACATTGAAGCTGTTTTTAAGGTCAGAAACCTACAAAACAATATGTTATGGTCAAAATGGAAAGCAATTCGTAACCTCATTTTCTATAGTATTCACGCAGGCAAATGATAATTTTGTACCTGTGAGTGAAATTGAATCTTGACCGAAAAAACTATGAACTTAGATTCTACTCGTGGAACCTTCATCAACTCCAAGAAGAACTGTAATGAATAATAAATAAAGATATAACCCAAATTAAAATTGTAGTACTCTAACTCTCTACAATTTAAGCATCTATACACTATTATACAAAACACAACACATCCAAGTGGATTCAATGCAACATGTCACTATACATGCATTTTTTTTCTTCCAAATTCATGCTTCCTTTAGACAATCGCGTCATAAATTAATAAATCTGTTCTTTTTTTATCAACAAATTAATAAATCTTATTTCATATAATATATATCAAAGGAAGAACCCACAACAAACCAACAAGCCCAAGATGAGGATTATGCTACTACACCCCTAAAAATTATGCAGCAGCCCAATTTTGTATTTCACTCTAACATTCAGCTATTATCTTCTAGAGACTAAAAAATCCAATTCAAAAGTTATATATAAATAATAAGATCTCACTTACGTGAAAAAAAAAAAAAACATTTTATCCTTTTGAACAATAACTAATTGTTGCACGTTAGGTGGAAAGTTGATCACACCCACTTTCCAAAATTTAAATCAATTCAAATATATTTTTCTCATATAGGTGAATAAAAAATATGATTTTACTATCTTCAAATTTAATTGAAATTTCTTAATTGTATGAATGCGTATGTTATACATAATAGAATATCAATTGTAAGCAAAATAAATATTTTATATTGAAATGGACTAATGGTATGAAGTTTCCCTATATGAAAGTAAATGAAAATCTTATGTCCTACTATTCTAATGTAGAATTGGTTAACAATTGAAACTATGTAAGTAAAACTAGAATTTAATAGATTATTCATACATATTTTAGCTAATTAGAAGAGAAAGGTGATCAAAGAAAATAGAAGAGAAAAAAAATAGCAAAGTAAATACAAAGTAGTGAAATGAAAACATGAATTACTTGTTCACATCTCCCGAGCTTCTCCTTTTCTCCGGTATAATCCTACGCAATAATCAAAGGATGTAATTAAATTTTCAATGTGTAGACTAGTCATGTAAGGAACATAACTATCTCACTACCTTGAGTATTTCTATCTCCTCCTTCGTAGGACAAAATTTTATCAGGTTCTCAACTTGATCAATGTCTAATGCAGATTCGTCTAGTGCTAACACTGATCTCTGTCAACATTTCAAATGAGTCATGATTCATGAATAAGAAATCCAATGAGCCAAGATTCCATCTATTCAACTAGATGATTCCATCATGAAGATATCAAGCCATAGTTTTCTTAAAACAATAGCACACCATATCATTAAATAATATTTTAGTTTGTTTCTTTCCCAAAGCCAATAATAGGAACGTCAACCTTACCATTAAATCATGCAATGGCACTTTTACTTTTGAAAGAAGGATTTCACAATTATATGCTCGTGCATGCTCAATCTGCACGAAAATGATGTATATCTTGATTAGAATAAAAAAGTAAGATGATAAACATTTAGAGAAAATTGTCATCCCATTGTAAGTGTCAATATATTAGAATTTTGTAAATTTACACCATCAAATCAGTCCCTTAAAAATATAAAATTGTCATCACTTCAGTCCTTGAAAAATTTTGTCACTAAATTAATCTATTAAAAATTTAATTTGTCACTAAATTAGTCTCTCAAATATTAAAAGTATCACCAAATTAGTCTTTCAAAGATTTAATCCATCATTAACTTAGTATTTAAATTTTTTTTCTATCACCACTTTAATCCTTCATATGAATTAAATTGGGGACAAAATCATTGGAAGATTAATATGATGCCAATTTAAATATTTAAGAGATTATTTTGACTACTAAAATTTCACTAATGTGTACACTTATAACTTGTAAGACGAAAGTAAAGATTTTCTCAATATAATTATCAGTCTGATTCAAAAACTACAACATATAGAAGAGTATTTACAAACTACACTAAAGGAGTGAGCTCTCATAATTCCATAATATATTGAGAGAAAGAAAAAACTACAAATTATACTAGCTATAAGATAGATTGACTGCAAATATCCTATAAGGTTTTCCAAATTAATTTGTGGGCATCAATTTTTAGACCTCGTCTGCCACATCTAGGTGTTCTTCAATGACTTCACTTCATCCCTAAGAAGTGTTCACTTTATTTACACGGTGACAATATGTAAAAATAACCAAATAACAGATACAATACCTAGCATTTATGTTTATTGCATTTACCCGTCAAATTCATATTTAAACAAGAAGATAATGTAAATGACAATAAAATGGTAAATAAGTAGAAAAAAAAATATTATTTTTCACTCATATAAAACGAAACATTCAATGAAAAGTTATTTTCCCTGTACTTTTCTATCTTTACATGATATTTCCACCGAAACAAAAAAAAAAACTTTGTATACCACTAGAAATTGAAGCCTAATTACCAGTTGCACTTTATCAGATTTTGGTCCAACTGATCTTTTCACGTTTGACTTCTTGGAAGGAGCTGAACTTGGGGTTGTGGTTGAAAAGAGACTCTCAAGCTCTGAGATATCAATCTCTGGGGCTCTACATTGAGATAAATAAACACGTGAGACACAGACAGTGAAAGGAATGTTGATTATAGAAAAATGAGGCACCATGGCAAACCACTATTACTTGGAAGCTTCACAAGACTTTTGTGTCTCTGCCCACAAACTACCTTGCACTGCTCTAGATAGTTTCAACCAATGCAATGGCTTTAACCTTTTGATTGAATTTGTATGTGATAGAACTGATCCGTTTGAGCCAATACACCCATTATGCCCATCACCACCCATGGAACGTAACCTAGGAAAACCATGATCTAATGGTATACCTCCTTTACGAAAGGAAGTTGGAGGTGGTGGAGCAGCAGGCGCTGCAGGAACAAGTGGAGACTTTGGAGATGAAGAATTAATGTGATCAAAGGAATGTGCAATGATTGGAGGTGGTGGTGGTGGCACTGGCACCAATGGTTCTATACTGGGAGGACTTAAAACTTTCACTAAAGGACTAAGAGGTGGAGTTGGAGGGGATGGAGGAATTCCAGCTCTAGGTGGTTCATGTTCCTTTAGTGGAGGAGTTGGAGGGGATGGAGGATCTCCAACTCTAATTTGTTCATGCTTCTTTAGTGGAGAAGGGGGAGCAGATGGCAGTGTTTGAGGTTGAGATTTTGAAGGGAAAGAATCAAGTTTTGTTCTAACAGGTAAAATCTTCTTCAAAGGAGGTGGTTGATTTGAAGTAATTACAGAATCTGGACCATGGGAAATAGAACCATTTGGTGACTTATTATGGGAAGGACTTAAGATTGGAGTCCCTATTGTAGAGCTAAACATAATTGATTGACTTTTATTTTGTGATTGGGATTTAGTTCCTTCAGTAAGATCATCTCTTGATTTCAAAGGCAAATGATAATGAGGATGTGAATCCTTGTGAGGAGGAGAATCATGAACTTCTTTAGCATTACTAGTTGAGGGAGGGCGTAGTGGAGGTGTTTGGGGTGAAATTGGACCACTAGAAATGGTGTCCACAGAATTAGATGGATGTACTTTTATTGAAAGATTTGTACAATCTTTTACACAGTTGTTGGACTCCGAGGTTCTTTCAAAAGGGCTTGACATTACTTGGCTAATGTCAGACTCATCATCCTTGATCATTTTATCCTCTTTTTTACTCATATTGTTATCTGGGCATTGCCTAGCTGAGGACACAAACTGGTTCCCCAAATTTGAAGACAAAAAGCAATTTGCTTCATTCTTTTTCTCCTTAGGCATTTGAGGACCTTTTTGATGCAAAAAACTGCCACTCTCCACATGCTCATTTGAGCCTGCATTCAACTTTTCATGTATGGTATCGGCAGGTGAAGCACACTTCTTTTGGAGCACATTTAGTGGTGAAGTATTTTCCTTGGGATCCATCCCCTCCTTCTCCTTAAAGCACGAGGTGCCATTCTCAAGAACAGCTGTAGAAGCATCCATTTCCGAGAAAAGAATCTTAATACAACCATAAACCAAAAAATATATTTCATTAGGAATATAAGATTTTAAATAACAACAAAAACAGAGATGAAAAAGTGATGTACCTCTGCTCTAAATTCCTTTGGGAAATTATCTTTAGCACACCATAAAACATCAATTTTATCCCGGTTAAGCAACAATATATTAGATCCAATAAAAGCCGTGTTGAACATGGCTCGAAACATCATCTGTTCACTCTCCATGTCACCATACAGGTTAATGCTCTCAATCAAGACATCACCTCGAATATGGCAATTAATATTGACTTTCATTGTTTCACAATCTCCCTGCAAGAAAATACAAGGGAATTGCAAAATAATTATTAACACTCGAAACAAATTGCACATGCATCCCATTTGCATGATTGAACTAGATGATAAACATTGTACAGCCTTAATTACAAAACCTTTTTTTTTTTTTTTTATCATATGCTTAGCATGGTGGAAAAGGCAAATTTTGACCTGTTCATATGCTGGAACAGTTTTTCTTCTCTCGAGTGTGGAACACAATAATTTAGCATTTGCATCAGCAACAAAAGGGTCGTGTCCATAAATTCGAAACATGGGACAAGAACGAGCTTGACCATCAAAATCTGGCATAAACCTTAGAACAATAGAGTCCAACCTAATTACCCTCTCCAACAGAGGCAAACCCAACACCCCATGCCACGTGGAAACGTATTGAAGATACCTCAGTTGCGAAGGGATTTGATTGATAGCCATCATGGAATGCAAAAGCTGACGTGGAGCCTGTTCGTAAACCATTTCTAAACTCCTCTTTTCTCCTTCGTAGTGTTTCCCAAACACAAACAATGCAGCCAATGTGAACGCCAAAACAGGCCAACAACCTCGTTCGCAGTGCATTAACACAACGTTGCGGTGTTCGCGCGAAAGCCAGTTCTTGCACGACCTTAGAAACCGCCACGTGTCCTCCATTTTGAGCACGGGGCAACCTAGGTGGTGCCGAGGATATTCCGTCAGAGTAACGCCGTTTACGTCGAACATCTTTGTCTTCGTCTCTTCGTTACGGAAGTTGCACACCAAAACGGAAGCCTCGGGCGCGTTTTGTCGAAACTTACCAACGACCCCGTTCACGTGATTTCCGTAACGCTCCTCGCTCCAGTCCCGTTTGGCGCCGAAACAGCAGTGAAATACTAAAAATGTTGCGACAATGTCATTTTATAAACAATGAAATGAAATTCATGCAAATGAAAATGAGTGAAGAAAAACGAAGCCAACCATAGACTCTTTCAGAGATCTCCAGAAGGCCTTCTGGTGGCTTTTGATTTTGAAACAACAATTTCCGCATCGTCGCCATGTCAGATGAATCAATGCTCAATTCCAGAAGTAGACTGATTTTATTTTCTGCTAATTATCATTTTTGTTTCTCTAATTCATACAAATTGTTAATTGTTAATGAATGAATGAATGAAAGTGAGTTTCGGGTTTCATTTTGAGAAAGATGAATGGCAAGGCGTGAAGATCACTAGCTGAACATTCCCAATGTTAATTCTGGATTATCAATCCATCTTCTATTCTAAGCTTCTTTCCATCTTAACCTTGGAATTATTTTTTTATGATCAAATCGTTTTAGAAGGGCAAAAGATTTTCACACTTATTTTCCCTTATTAAATATTAAACACTATCCTTAAAAAAATTTAAAAACTTTTAAAGTGGTTATTATAAAAAGTAATGATTTTTAATCATTTGATGATCTATAATTAAATAATAAAACGTGCTGACAATTCAACCTTTTTATTTATTTGTCATTTAACACACAACATTTCAATCGCTTTCAGGGGGGTCTCTCCCCATTTCCTTCTTCACTCATTAGTTTCTCTTATCTTCACAAACCAATTTTTCATTATTCAAATCGTAGAATTTTTACTAACACTATAAGTCTATCTCTGTTCATCTACGAACCCCAATTTCAACATCATATTTTTACTTACTTCAAATTAGAAAAAACAAAATCTTCTCTATTTTCTAAAAATCCATTATAAAAGAAAAAGGGACGATATTCTCAGTGATATATTAGAATTTAGTGTGAACTCAAAGGTACTTCAACATAAATAGAAGCTTAAAGGTAACTATAAGATATTGTAAAATTAATTAGTATATAAGATCATCTTTAAAAGATGATGAACCCTATTTTAAAAACATAACAAAATACATGTTTTGTAAAAAAAAAATTACAATAAGCATATAAATATTTTAATAAAAATTTATTTATTAATCTTTTAATCAATTATTTTAGATACTAAATAATAAAATTCAACATTTTTTAAAAGCATATTAGTTTTAACTATTTTTCATTGATTTATTTTTAAATAATTTCTTATAAAAATTATTAAATATTAGTAATATTTTAAATTTAACTCAAATATTGTATTAGTATTATTTTTTATTTTATACAATATTTAAATACAAAAACAAGGCCCTAATAAAAAAAAAGGCACGTGCTTTAATAAACAATGGAGATAAATGGGATTCGCCCAATGACTCAAGTGAAGCATCCATGCTACATGCTCAATTATTAATAACCCAAAAATCGAGATAATATTTGGGTTAATTATTTTAAATATGGGGTTTGACAAAATAATATACATGAACACGACATTTTGGGGTTAATTTTATATATATAAAGTTTTAAAAATTATTATTGACAATTTTGTATGCAGATGTAAAAATTTTAAGATAAGACATTTAAAATGATAAAAAAAAAATTAAAGTATTATAAATTATAATTGGTAATTGTTCATAAAATTATAAAAAAAAATTAGATTGTGTTTAAAAGAGGTAGCTAATTTTTTTTAATAAATTTAATTTAAATTATTTATTTTGAATATATTTTATTTAAATAGATAATTAAATTTTCTTGATTTATTGTTACTAAATTTATAAAACTAATTATAAATATAAAATTTAAATTACTAAAATAACTATAATTATATAAAATTTTAAAAGAAACACATTTTATAAAAGAAAGTGGAAAAAATAGAAGAGATGATGAAGTAGCAATAAATCAAAATATAATTTATTCTTTAATTAATATATTGACCGTAGTATTTATTAATTATTTAAAGGTATTTGTTGCATCATCTTCTACTGATTCACACACTTTCCCATATAAACCTGTTCTTTCTTCCCAAGGGGGCGCTGCAATGCTGTCTGTGCCACTGCTTCACCCTGGTTCGTTGTCTCCATATGCTTTCTTTTGTTTCACTTCATAGCTCAATCCAGAGTTCCCGGAAAAGTTTTACACTTTATTTTCCGTTCTTGTCTTTTTTTATGATCATTTATTTCTGGGTATCTGGAGTTTATATTATTCAAGTTTACCGTAGACCGTTGTGTTATAATTAATATATATATATATATATATATATATATATATGATTTTGTCTGAATTTTAGTATTCGTTTTCATTTTTCCGATAATTATATATATATAAGGTTTCCTTGACAGTTATACAATACAAAATTAATCAAATTCTTGAATTGGGCTGTAATGGGAAGCTATGATTATGGATTAAGACTTTTCCTGCTTTGTGGGAAGTTGGAAAAATATGCAGATGCGGAAATGAGTTCCTGTTGCTGCATAATTAGAGATGTATTGTTGTTTCAAAATGCACTACTTTCCCTTTTTTGACTTATTTTCCCCTTTCTTTTGGTAATATTATGACATTATTTAAAGTTCTTTACCCAAATCACTAGTCACCCTGCAACCACCGTACCCTTGTACCTACTCCTATGGCCCAGAATCATCAATTTGGGAGAGTTTGTAATAAATTTTTATGAAAAAAAATTAATATAAAAAATAAATATAAATTAATTTTAATTTATGAAAAGATTTTTATTTATTTTTATATTATTTTTTCTTTTACAATAACTTATCCATACTTCATTCAAACTCGAACTATATATTTTTTATCAGTATGAATTTAGATCTTCATATTTGATGATCACGGAAAGTTCAAAACGGTAAAATATAGTTTCTGCTGATTTGGTTAGGATGTAACAGCTTAAGACTAGAGAGGGTCATGTGTGAGTAGGGAAACTTCTCACTGCTTTTCTTGTTGTGCATTTGTCATGGGTTAATTGCTCATTGAATCAGTATTGAGCTGAGCGTCTATAGGTAACAAACCATTAGTTCTACTGAACAGACCATTAGTTCTGCTGAACAAACCATTAATGAATCTCATACTTTATTAAAATCTTAAAACAGTTTTTTTAACATGTATTAAAATTGGAAATCATAAGATAGCATCAGATACAATGCATTCATAATGTTAAATGCCACAATTTCTAAGAAAAACTTGTTATTTATTGATTTCTTATCGTGTGCCTTCATGCATGTAAGAAAAACGTAATCTTAAATTATCTAATTTAGTATTCAATTATTGGTTCCATGGATGAAACTTCTGTATCTATCTATTTGTTTCTTCTTAAAAGTAATTGCTTATTTTCTGAGCATAACAGCTTTGAGCCACTAGAAATGGGCTAGTGGTGAGGGATTTAGGTTGTCACCACTAGGCCAAAAGAAAAAAGTATCACAGTTTTCATTTTTATTTTTAATCCAGCTCATATCCTAAGAACAATTAATGATCAAGTTCTTTCTGGTGATGGTGTAGAAACCATGGAGGCAGAACCATCAAATCCCTCAGATTCGCTCTGGGGTCAGATATCCAAATATACAACCATGTTCAGTGAAACATACAAAAGAAAGCCAATTCATTATTGGGTTCTTCTTGTTCTCAGCATCATAGCAATGCTTGTGGCATTTCCTTCTTCCAGTATTCTGTCTCGTGTTTATTATGATAATGGTGGCCAAAGCAAGTGGATCATATCTTGGGTGGCTGTTGCTGGATGGCCTATAACTGCATTGATATTGTTTCCTACATACCTCACTAGGAGAACCTTTCCTACTCCTCTGAACTTAAAACTAATTCTATCTTATATTATTTTGGGTTTCCTTAGTGCTGCTGATAACCTCATGTATGCTTATGCCTATGCTTATCTCCCTGCATCCACTGCCTCACTAGTGGCATCATCATCCCTTGTGTTTTCTGCACTCTTTGGATACTTTCTTGTGAAGAACCAAGTGAATGCTTCAATAGTAAATTCCATATTCGTCATAACTGCTGGATTGACCATCATTGCCTTGGATTCAAGTTCAGACAGATATGCTAATATCACTGACAGTGAATACATTATGGGATTTGTATGGGATGTTTTGGGATCTGCTCTTCATGGGCTTATTTTTGCTCTCTCAGAGTTAGTCTTTGTGAAGTTTCTGGGAAGAAGATCCTTCATTGTTGTTTTGGAACAGCAAGTTATGGTTTCACTACTCGCATTTCTATTTACCACTGTAGGGGTAATTGTGAGTGGTGATTTTCAAGCAATGGCATCTGAGGCTACCACTTTCAATGGTGGTAAAGCTGCTTATTGTCTTGTTCTCATATGGAGTGCAATCACTTTTCAACTGGGGGTTTTGGGGGCCACTGCTGTAGTTTTCTTGGCTTCAACTGTGCTAGCTGGTGTGCTTAATGCAATAAGAACACCAATTACAAGCATTGCAGCTGTTATACTGCTAAATGATCCAATGAGTGCTTTCAAGATCCTCTCCCTAATTGTTACCTTTTGGGGATTCGGTTCGTATATTTATGGCAGTTCTATGGGTGAAAAATGAACGTATGAATGTGGCCATAGATATTATAAGACTCTTCAGGAAGGAGGAGGCATGTGTTGTAAGATATATTATTTATGGGGTTACATTTCAATCAATAATATTCCCATAAATTCTGGGAATGATATTCATAGATAAATGTCAAATATGTTTCTGTTACTATTTTGTGGGTGTCTGCATTTCTATTTAAGTGAATTTTGTCTAAAATATCCAATTTTTTCTATCTTATAATTATATTAATAATAGAAGTATTTTACATAAAATTATCTTAAATAAGAGTAGCAATAGACACGAGTGATAATAAACACTCGCATGTCTAGTACCCAAGAAAATTTTCTATTGTAAAGACTTATACGCATACCACTGGTTTGCATACTTGTTTGGTAACTTCATTTATGTCAATTAGTTTTAAGATGGAATGTAAAATGGTGTTTGAACTTCTACCCCATTTTGGTTGCTTTTGTGGTAATATATTACTTGGTCATTAGGGTTGAAAAGTTCCACATAAATTGCCTTAATTACTAGGATGATCTATATTTCTGGTAGCGGTAGGTAACTTCACTTGATGCTAATTAGTTTTAAGACGGAATCTAACATTTTCAAATTTTGTATAATTTAAAAATAATACAAAAGATTAAAGAAATTTTAGTAGGAGAAGCAGAACAAAGTGAAAGATGAGTTTGAAAAAGCAAGCAAAACACACACAATTTTAAAGGGTTGGTTGAATGGAAAAAAATAGGATTTTGTATCTGACATATCCAAAAAAAGTTGTTTCCTTATAAACTAATAATGCTTAAGGAAGCTTATACCAATTATCAAATATATATAAACATATTTTTGGGCTTTGCCAAAAATTTACATATAATTTATGTTTTTTATTTAATAATAATAATAATAATAATAATAATAATAATAAGGAATGAGATCTATAACAAGAATTTAATATAAACTATTTGAAAAGAAAACATATTATTTTATATAATTAATAAATTGATTGAATTTATGTCAACTTTTTTCCATAAATTGACCAAAATAATAATAAAATGAACATTTCATAAATTAAATTCTTACTAATAAAAATTTCCAACTTCAAAAAACGCTATTTTATAAAAGAATAAAATTACTTCAACTTTTAATTAAATTGAATACAATTTGTTGAAAAATAAGATCATTCCAAAATTTTAGTTAATTAATAAATACTACTTTATATAATCAATATACTAACTTTATGTCAATATATTTTCCTTAACCGAAATAATAATAGATAAACATTTGATAAACTAAAGGCTTAAACCCTTACGTTCTAACAAAAGAACTTATCTTAACAATGTTAATTTTTTAAAAGAGTGAAATTATTTGACCTTTTAACCATTTTTCATATTAAATTGAGTAAAATTTATTGAAGAATCATATCAAATATGTAGTACTTAATTTCTATTTTTTTTTTTTTTTTTTGCATTTTAAGATATAGAACAACGTTATAATATTTATTTTGTTTCTATATATGTATCTGGTCATCATATAAAGTTTTTAGTTTATCCTTGTAAATGCGAAAAGTTTTAATTTTTTTTTTCGACGTTTAGATCCATTAAAACACTGTTATAACTTAATTTTTCTCTTATTAACGTGGCGAACAGCTTTTGACACGATAGTTACACTTTTTTAGTTAAAATTGGTGGATTCTTTTGGTACCTATGAATGTTGAGATTTGAATACCTTTGTACGGGGACCAATAAATTAGTGACATTTTATTTTAATGTAATCATGTCATGTCCACTAACTTTTACTTGAGAACTCCTTTTCTTTTTTCACATTTTAATTATTGTAAATTTTATTATTTTTTACATTTTTATGAAAGCATTTTGGGTCATTTTATACAAAATTCACTAAATTTTTTAATATATATATATATATATATATATATCATAATTTATTAAAATAAGATGTTACAAAAAAATTTAAACATAAATTTAATATCTTATAGCATTAAAATAACTACAATTAAATTTATAATTATTTAAATGTAAATTCAATCATGCTTCAAGTAGTACTATGATTAGTTTTTCAAAAATATAGGCATATATACTTTCTGGTTTTACTAAAGTGAGAGAGAAATTAACAAGACTGGAAATTAGGCTTTGCTCACCACCCTACGTAAGAATGAAATAAAATTTACATTATAACACTTTCATTGTTATTTTAAATTACAATTTTGTTAATATTAATTAGACTAATTTTATGTATTTTAAAAAAATAATTTTATTAAAAAAAGAAAGAGGCAGTGTTTTCTTTAAATATAAGAAAGAGGTAATATTTTTTAATAAAAAAGTGTAAAAAAAATTTCGCACTCTCATTCAATCATATTTTTAACAATTAATATAAAATAATATATACAGTATATTTAATTAATTAGCAATGTAAAATTTTTTACAATAAGTGTACTAAAATTAAACTCTTTAGATAATTAAAAACAGTTCAAAGAATTAGTGTTAATATTTACTTAATTTTTCATTTATAGGCATTATTACACAACCCAAATTAATATTTTACTTTATTAACTATAGGTATTTTAATAAAAGGAAAAAGATGCTAGTTCATATGCTGGGCATATGTAGGCTCTTCATGGCTACAAATTCTAAATTTCAAAAGGGTCCCTAAATATGAAGACGAACCAGCCAAACAGAGGAGACAATTCTATATTGAATTTTGCAACCATCATTCTTCGCGTGATAAAATGTTATCATACATGTGTGACACTATGATGAGGTGAGAAGGCTTCTTTGAAGTGTTGTGCACTAAAAGTCTAAATCCTTACTCAATATGTTCCTCTCTCTCTCTCACATTGCAGACTTTGGTACCTTAAAATTCTCGTTTCTTGCACTCACCAACTTAATGCTACTTGGTTGATGAAGAATCAGTGCTGTTTTTGTCTTTCTGGAAATATTCATTCGAAAATAACAGCAGTAAGTCAGTAACAGTAGTTAATGTTGCTTATTGTGAAGCCTTCCCAATTATCCCGTTAATTCTACAATTTTGTTACCCTCAGCCTAGGACTGATTTTAGACGTCTAAAATTTGTAAATTTTCATTAAAAAATCATGATTTTTATAATCTCTAGGTGATAAATACTTCTTTTTTTCAATAAAAATTAATAACTTTTAGTTGCTTATTGGTAGGTTGAAATTAACATTTTCCATGGTCAATTACATTACCTCAAGAAAGCACTCAAGCATTTCTCAAGTGATACCATGAATACTGTCTTAAAGGGAACACAAAATAGATACAGAAGACCACATTCTACTGACCAATTCATCAAGGGCATCTTTACAGAATCAATTTCAGTGCATGCCTTTGTTTTCATACATGAGATCAAAGGAAAAGTAAAGTGGATAGAAGAGCATTAGCAGTATAACATGTTAGTCCATAGATCAAACTCTGGTGAATATATAGTCAGCAAAACTTTTTTCATCTACTCGAGATGGATAGTAGAAAGAAAAGAGATAAAGATTAAAAAAAAAAAAACATGGAAAAGAGAATTTTGGTAATTCAACTGCTTTACATTTACATTAGCCAAAATCAAAGTGATAAAATTAAATGAAACCACAACAATTCTTTTTTATCATGCTAATTAGGAGAAGGTTCAATATCTTTCAGAAGTCCAACTATCTGCTGCATGCTTGGTCGCTTGGAAGGAAGTTCAGCAGTGCACAGATGACCAATCTTAAGGGCCTCCTCCATTTGCCCTTCTGATCCTGTATCGCGAATTTTAGGATCAATAGCTCTTGAAGCTTTGTTGTTTCTTACAAGTCCTCTGACCCAACTAACCAAAGTTGCTTCTTTCTCATCATGATAATCATCTCCAACTGGTTTCTTCCCAGTTAGTAGCTCAAAGAGAACAACTCCAAAACAGTACACGTCAGATTTTGGAGATGAGGTGTCAAATTCTGGTTGAGAAAACTCTGGTGGAACATAACCAGGTGAACTAAGTGCAATCTCCTCATCCAAGCCACCACCAAAAATCCTAGCCAGCCCAAAATCAGACAATCTTGGCTCCAAGTTATAGTCCAAATAAACACTGCTAGCTTTAACATCTCTGTGGATAATTGGTGGTGAGCATCCATGATGCAGAAATGCCAATGCCCGGGCAGTGCCAAGTGCAATTTTATGGCGGAATCTCCATGTTGTGAGGACTCCTTCAGATCCAGCATTTTGAATTCCATTACTATCATCTTCTTCCCATGTATCTGTGCTCCAATCATCTGTCCTTTGTAGTACTCCAAGTGGCAAGTCATAAAGCAAATTTTGCAAGTTTCCATTCTCCATGTAGTCATATATGGCAATTCTCTGATCACCAGCTACACAATATCCAGTTAGAGGAACAAGATTGGGATGCTTGATTCTACCAAGATACTCAAGCTCTCGTGCAGCTTCTTTATCTGTAAGAGTAGATCCAACCACTAGAACTTTAACTGCTACATGAATACCACCAGCTAGAAAGCCTCTATATACAGGCCCAAATTTTCCTTCAGCCAAAAGGGTACCCCTATCGAAATTTGAAGTTGCAGCCAAGAGATCTGCAAATGTAATATTCAACAATGGTTTGTCAAAGATCACGACCGGAACAGATGATGCTTGTTTAACATCAGCCACCCACGTGGTCAAATCGGTGTGGAATGAAAAGGGACCTGACATGTGTTCTTCTTTGTATGAAGTTTGCTTAACAGCCCATGGTTTTGTTTTCTTAAGGCGACTGAACGATAGAAGCAAAAGGCCAGCAATCAAGCCGATCATTGAGAGGGTCAATGCCAGAGCTAGCTTCATTCCCTTGTGCTGTGCCTCTCTTTTTTTGAAAAGGCTTGGGTTTGCAGCAATTGGGCAACTATTCAGTAATCCAAAGAATGCTGTTTGGAGGATAGCTGGTTTGATTTCCGAAGCACAAAGGGTTAAGTTATTATAAGAGAAGTTGTATTTCTCCATCAAAGGAAGTTTCTCTAAGACTGATGGAGGGACTACTCCACTCAAATTGTTATTTGAAAGGTCAAGAACTTGGAGGTTCTTATTGCTTAGTAAAGGGATTTTCCCTATAAGATGATTCATAGAAACATCAAGTGTATTCAAATTACTCAGTTGTGAGATTTCAGCAGGAATGTAACCAATGAGACTAGTTTTGGACAAATTCAGATATTCCAATCCTGAGAACATTTCAATCTTGGGGAATTTCTGTCTGGTAAATCTATTGTAAGCAATATTAAGGTGCTTTAGATTATGGGATTCATTAAAATTTTGGAAAATGTCCCCATCAAGCTGATTCTCTGACAAATCAAGGTAAACTAAACCAGACCAATTGTACTTAGAGACAAAAGGTACCTGAGCAATGTGACCTTGCATTTGGTTTCTGCTAAGGTCCAAGACCTCAAGCCTTCCCTTAAACAAACCCATCACAGAACCCTGAAAGGAATTGCCAGATATGTTGAGACTCACAATGGACTTCAACCCTGAAATATCTGAATCATTACCATAAATATTATTCCCAGCAAGGTTCAAGCTAATGAGCTTAGGAAAAGCAGCAGCAAAACCATGTGGAAGTGTCCCACTAAGCTGGTTTGAAGAAAGATCAATTGAAACTAGAGAGTGACACTTGAGAATCCCGGAAGGCATGCTTTGGTCAAACCTGTTGTGGTCAAGTTTGAGGACCCTCGCACTCTCAAGAGAACTAACAGCTTCAGGAATTACCCCATAGAAATTGTTGCTGGACAAGTCTAATACTTCAAGCAAACCAAAGTTTCCAATGTTGTTAGTCAATAAGCCATGAATCTGATTGAAGGAGAGGTTGAGGCTCTTGAGAAAGCTTAAGCTCCAGAAATCAGAAGGCAAGTCAGTGATCTTGTTGTTGCTGAGGTCCAAAGATTGAAGCTTGCTGAGCTTGCCTATTGTGGTTTCTGGAATAGGACCAGAAAGACCCATACCAGAAAAACCCAACTCAACAACATGCTCTCCCTTGGAATCACATGAAACCCCTTGCCACGAACATACAGAAGAAGACAAGTTGTAGACCTGGGAGGATGCTAAACCCATCTTCTTCAAGAACTCAGACACAAAGGAATCATCAGTGTTCGGTTGCTGGGATGCTAAGTGCTTGAACAAGAGTGTCAAAACTAGAACAGAACCAAACACTCCCAAACCCATCAGTGAGTGATGTATGTTTTATATACTGAGAACTAAATGATGCAGAATACTTATCCTCTCAGAACTTCAACACCAGAATGAGCATATCATGGATAATGAATCGTTGTGACATGGAAGAAAAACATTCACTGATAAAAAACGTGTCTGTAATATTCACTGATAAAAAAGAAAAAGATACTACGGTTTTTACTGCAGAGTGGAAAAGAGAGTAGAAGGACAAAGCTACAGTGTTGCAACAACTACTAGTACTATGTTTTCTGAGAAAACGAAGTGACTCTGATGTTACACAAAGGTTGTAGACTTTAACAAAAGAACATGTGAGAGACCCTTCTTTGTCTGGATTTGCAGATCCCTCAAGACCGACAAAAGAAAAAAGGTAAAAAGGAAACAAACCATGCAATGCAAGAAGGGAACTATTATTGTCGTTGTCTTCAGCTCAAAGCTACGGTGCTTTATCTCTGTTGCAGAACTTTTTAGTTGGAGCTCTCAACAAGATCTTTTAGAAACAAAACAAGGCTTTGTTTTTACATTTTTCATATTTCTTCTACACTCAATGAACGTGGCAGAGACAGTGCAACATGCAAGGCAATGGAAGCAGTAAGAAAAGTAAAGAGCAACGTGGGGTCTAGTTGGGTTCTGCTTCATAAATGAGAAGGAATTGAATGGTAATAGCGTTGGGGATGGGGTTGGTGAATATATCAAAGATTTGTTGGTGGGAATTCAATGATTCTTCATTCAGTGTTCATCACCTTTCTTGGGTCCATTGAGCTCTTTCTTTTTCTTTTATCATTCAAAGTAAACAAGATAAGAAAAACTATGTATTGCTATTAGCTTAATTGGATCATTATCATTTTGCATCAAACATACCACTCTACGTAATTAAAATGGATTAGCTTAAATGTAGCCTGTTCAGTATATTTAATCTTATTATTTAATTAAAATTAAAACTTTAATTTAAATTTAAAAAATATACTCAACACTTTAAGCTAGGAAGTAGTATATATCATATAAAAACTGCAAAAAGATATAGTTTTAAGGTTGTGTTCTTTCGATTTTTTTGGTTACATACTTTTAGAGAGAGGGGTTTATGTCTTATTCTAAGTTAGGAAAAATCTATGAATTTAAAGAACATTACATTAATTTCATCCTATGAAGATAAGTGAAGGATTAAACATGCGATGCTATTCATGACCCTATCTTGCTCCGACCAACCTCTTGAAGTCCTATTTTATTTATTGATTGACAACGAACAATATTTTAGTTAAATTTAATTTAAGTATTTATTTTAATTACACAATTAATAATATTAATTTTATTGAATTATATATATCAATACAAGCTATTAACTTTTATAATAGTTAATTTAGAAATTATTTTTATTGAGATTTTTTATGACTTTTTATCAAATATTTTAATTGGTTAATATTATAAAAAAAGTATATCGATAATGTATTTAAATTAAATTTTTATTTTAAATAATTATAAGTATAATTTTTAGAAAAATATGATTTTAAATATTTAAAATCAATCCCAAATCAAAATTGTTTTTTTACGCTAACAATGACAAAAAAAAGAGTTATCTAACATTTTTTAACACATTTTTATTTATTAATTAAAATTAATTTAATTATTAAATATGAAAGAATCATTAATTTAGGAATAATAAATAGTAAAACTTATATAATTTTTATAAATTTCAATCATTTTTAATTAATAACTAAGATTATGTGAGAAAGAATGTACTAGATTATGAATTATCAGCAATTTTTTCTAAAAAGCTATAGTTTTATTTATTTATTAAAATTTATTAAAAATTACAAAAGCATGAGAGATAATTATTAAATTAGAAGTGAAAAATAAATGTCCGGTGCCAAAGTCATTGAATGGATAAGTCGCCAATCCCTAAAACGGACTATGTAATGTACTTTATCCGCTGGGTTACGGGTGGGCATTTTACCAGAGGTTTTTATTGTATCAATCTACCCCTTCAGGAATTAAATCCTCTTGAATCCTTTTTATTTTTTCTTTTTTTTTTTCCAATTCCAGTTTCAGTTAAACCCCCTTCGGAATCCAATTTTTCTTGTTCATGTTCTGGAAATAAATAATAAACTATTTTAAAATTCAAGCTTGATACTGATTTTTTAGAAAATTGATTAATTAGAAAAAAAAAAAAAGAGAATTCAGTTACTAATAATTTTCAACAACTTAAAATATATTACTAATGAACAATTGTTTTATTTTTTCGGATCATATATTAAGCATTTTTGTTAAATGATGATACAATACTTGTACTTGAAACCACATCAAATAAAATTTATGCCTGTAAGGGGGACTCAAGTCATCATCATCATTACAATTGCAAATCGATATCAAATGTGCCATTATAACAAATCACATAGTGGAAATCTTAGGAAGATCTTGTCAACATTTCATAACCCAAAATCTTAATGGTGAATAAGTTGTTTGATGTTAAACATTTAATAAAATTTTAACAACATTTAAAGAATTAGTTAAAATATGAGATCAAGGCTTGAAAAAAATTGTTTTTTCTATTATTACTGAGATTTGAGGTTTGAATTGATGTGTTTTAAAAAGAAAAAAATTAAAAAAAACCGTGAAATTGCAACTGCAAAACGGAGAGAGAAAGAAATGGACGAATTCCGTTGTGCAAAACCCACCTGAAAGAGAGTCAATTGGAGTCAAAGACACAAATACCCCAAAGACACACACTCTCTCTCTTAATCAATCAAAATTCAAAAACAAAGAGAACAATAAAACTGAAATAATTCAAATTGGTGCCATCTCGTGAATTCCCAAACCCAACCCACACTGTCGCGATGGAAGACGAAGAAGAGACGCGCCACCGAGTTACTGACTCGTCACTCGCCACCGAGTCACACGCTTCCACTCCTCCCCATGACCTGCCACGCAATTCTGAAACCCTAGTTATTCCCTCTTCGTTCACGCACCACCACGCTATTACTCGTACGCTGCGTTTCAATCACTCTTGTTCTCTTTTTACTCCTCTCTCTCTCTCTCTCTCTCTCTCTCTTTGTAGTTGAAGTAGTGAATAATATAGTGTGTGGTTGATGCAGCAGATATGCAGGGAAGCTCTACCGCGCGTAAACGTCGCAAAGACGAAAGTAAGGTTAGAGCATTTCTGTGTTGATTTTTTTTTTAGTTGTGAAATTTAAACCTTGTTTTGCTATGTGATTTTTAATTTTTTTTAATTTTTATGTAATGTTCTGCTTGGCTCGGCCACTGTATATCTTATGATAAATACTGCAATTTTGATTTGGTTAACGTGAAAGGATTCGCTATAGAAGTGGTGAGAACCCGTCATTGGTGCTTGTTCTTCTTATGAGTTACTGAATATATAGGTTTACTTGATTTTCGTGTCACTGTTTTAAGAACTTGGCTTTTGTGGGGATTTTCTGAAACTCATGGACTGTTTGAAAGTTATGTACCTTCTTGGGCTTTAAAATCATTGCTGGTATTTAGTGGATGCTTAGAAGAGTGGGAGTACATGAAACTTAAAAGAAAATGAGAAGCGAAATCCATATTTTAGTTATTGGATAATTCCAATATAGTATGAACTAATAATTTGGTCTAGTCCCCATGAATCCAGCTGTAATGTCCACGTACTTGTTATTTGATATTTGAGCTTCCATGAACAAGTGACGGGAGTTGGATTTATGCTTTCCTTTTTCTTCATCATTAATTTAAATTCCAGTACAACAAGGTATAGTGGATCCATGCTTTGTCCATGGTTCTAGGCCAAAGGGGGTTCACTTGAAGCGGCATGTTAGAGATATGAGCCATCCCTAGGGTTTTACCTAAAAGCTGAGGCTTTTGGGATAATTAGTCTTTGACAGGCACCAAAAACCTTTATTGTGCAGTTTGGCTTCTCATCTCAACTCAGCTCAGCCAGCTCAGATAATGATGTATGGGGAGTCTTATTTTGGAATATGTATGGTTTTATGAACAATTGGATTATCCAATGATGAATGGTGATTTAGTATTTGGATTGCTTTCTTGATGAATCACACTCAACATGACATAATGCAATATTTTTGGATTCAAATTAAGCATAAGAAAGTTGCATGTTCTGTAGATCCCATTTATTTGCTTATTTAGCTCTGAAGCACACCATTTTATGCTCAGGAGCCAGCTCAACCTCCTGATGAAGAAACTATTGTAAGCGATGCAGTTGAGGCGCCTCAGAAACTTACAGAAAAGTCTGTTTGTTCAAGTTCATTCTCTGAACTATCACCAACTTCTGCTTCACAGTCTTTATCATCTGCCCCTAGTCCGACTTTACCAGAACAGAGGCTGTCTTCTCCTAAGACTAACAGTGTACAAGTGCTGGCAGTAGACAAAAGAACTACTTCTGGTGGCAAAACCTTGCCTTCTGTTTCTGTTGAAAGTGGATCTGCATCTGATGGATACAACTGGCGTAAATATGGTCAGAAGCAAGTGAAGAGTCCGACAGGTTCCCGAAGCTATTACAGGTGTACCCATTCAAATTGTTATGCTAAGAAGATTAAATTCTGTGACCATTCAGGTCATGTGATAGAGATTGTTTATAGAAGTCAACATAGTCATGATCCCCCACATAAGACTGATTTCACCAAGGAAAGTAAATTCATGCCTTCCAATGAACCTAAAGTAGAAAGCACTGTTCCAAAGCAGTCTATCAGAGTTCTGAATGATTCTGATCAATCATCTTCTCCAAAAGAACCTCTACAAAAAGTACCTTGCAGTGCTGATAAGAAACTACAAAATTCATCTAACGGTGAGAATGGTAAAGTTATGTTGAAGGAAGAGCATGTTGATGACCCAGAGCCCAAAAGAAGGCAAGTTGCATGTGAATTCATTTTTTCTTCTTGGGAAAATCATTGAGTTGAGAGAATGAGCATATTTTCTTCTAGTTGTGGCAGGATCTAATGGATTGCTTTTTTCTGTAATTTTTGATAACTAGAATGAACAAAAGTGATTTAACAAGCTTGGATTCAACAGTAAAACCAGGAAAGAAACCAAAGTTAGTTGTACATGCAGCTGGGGATGTGGGGATATCAGGTGATGGATACCGATGGCGCAAATATGGACAAAAAATGGTGAAGGGGAATCCACATTTCAGGTGCATGGAAATATAGTTCTTATGTCTTTTCTTTTCAACTGGTGAAATTTTAGTTGTATTTATGGTTAATAGATGTTTAAATTAAAAAAAAATAATAATGAAATTATAGAAACTGATATACAGTTACAGGATGCATCTATTTGCTTATAAACTGTTGGAAAAAGACTGATGCAAATATCATTGATGATTTTCAAGATGGTGCTTCACTTGTCTGACTTTTAAATAATAATGGCCCTATTTGTAATTCTTTTCTTCTTTTGCCTGTCTGTGGGAGGTGTAGCTGCAGTTTCTAGTTTGCACAATCAAGGGTTGGATGTGGCATGGCATATGCCTCTAGATATTTCCACTAAACCAGCTCTTCAAACAATTAGTTTTTCCCTAGTCTTGTGATAGAAACCTAGTATCTTATTACAAAGAAAATGGAAAATCTCCCCTGATATTAGTACTGCAGAACTTCAAGGTTCTGGACCTGCTGATGCCCAAAGGCCCTAATCCTTTCACAAATGACAAGATATCTCTTTCATTGCTGCTCCCATTATTTATAGGCAACATGCCTTATATCTTCAACCAGAAGACTTAACTAATTATCTATGTAACTATCTTTATAACTATTAACTAGTGGGTATCTATCGATACTCCTCCCCCACTCCCAAAAGTTTTACCTTGCCCTTAAGGTGAAGGTTACTATCCCCTAAATCACTACAGCCCCAAATTAACTTTCACTTCCTCCTTGGTCAAACACAAACATGTGAGTTCCTCTTGACCAAAAACAAAGTGTGGCAAGTGAAAGAGTATCAATTCCTTTGCCACTAAACCAATCCCAGGGCTCTCTTAAGGACTGCACTATGGCAAGTGGTAGCCGATGATGACTGTCATAGTCCTTCACAACCTTCTGTTGGGCTTGGTGTTCAACCTATTCCATATGCTCACTGCTTTCATCTCTAAGATTCATACCTTTGCCTCACCTTCTGTTAGTTCAGAAAATTGACAAACTTTTTGTAATTCCAGCTCTTGCCTTGCCTCCAACCCCTCACCAGCAGCATTTCTACATTGGAGTTGGGGAAAGACATCCATCATTGTACTCTTCTCCGTCTCTAGCATAACATCAGCCACTGTATGAGCATCAACATCTAGTGGTTCTGGCATCGGGTGCTTGGCCAGCATCTGTAAGAACACTGGTTCTGCCCCAACTGATGGCACACCATTTCCATGGCTGGATCTAAGTTGGTTGGCTTCAATGTTGGTGGAGGTGGATCAACTAAACTGTCTGGGAATCAAATCTCCTTGGCTAACATATGCTATTTGCTGCTTTTCTCCCCATGTCCCACACTAGAACATAATTCCCTCTTTGGTTCTGATTTACTCAAATTTGCTTCTCCCCTAAAGTGGTTCCTATTTTCCACCTTCAAATGTTCATATTTGCTTCTGTTTTCAGGTTCTTGATTCAAAATGTTGAGTGGTTGTTTGTCCTCTTCTGTCCTTATCTTGAATAAGGCTTGGTTCTTGGTTTTCAAAGTTTCATTTGCACTTCTAACTTCTGATTCTGCTTCGTGTTCCAAGATTCTTGATTCTCCTGCTTCTTGTTCCAACTGCTACTCTCTTCTGATACTTGCAAGCTCTGTCCTTATTTTTCTAATAAAGCAATCCTCCTTGAACTCCCATTTCCAATCTGCAATTTTCTTTTCTCCAAGAATGTAAAGAATTTCATTCTTCATTCTTGTTGACATTTGAATAGCTCCTGAAGCTCCAAGATTAGAGCTCAATTACTAGTTGATAGAACTAGATCAAGACGGAGAAAGAAATAGAGAAAATAGATGAAGAAGAGACAAAATGGGTATTATTCTCTTGTACAACCCAAGGTATTCAAGAGACCCACTTTTCTCCTCACGCTTTAAGAGTCTAATTATTTCCCAATGACAAGATATTCCCACAGTCCCTTCTACTTATTTATAGACATGCCTTGTCAACTATTTCAAGCTAAATAACTGATACTCTCCTTACTCTTTTTTATAAGAAACAACTACTAGTATTTTTATTTTTATTTTTTGTCTTAATTAAAAGAAACATAAGCCCAAATGTATGAGTGGGTTACATAAGAAGGGATATGATAAAAAATGATTATATATGTAAGAATATTGGAGTAACACCTATAATAGAAAAGATGACAGGAAATTGATTGTTGTTTAAAATTGTACCTAAGCTGGGCATGAGTTTAGATAGCATTTATTGCTTCTAGATATACGATCTTCACTCCATTAGTTGTTACATGTGATAATAGAAGCATCTTAGTTGTGGCTTGTGTACATATTTTGCAAGGCTTCTATGCTAGAAATTGGTAATTGTCAGCACCTTGGACGCATACTTGCTTTTATTGTTAAAACCACTTGTACGCAAACCATATGTTAAAATTTTTCGCATGCTTAGGAGAGGATTTCCATCATTTATTAGGATAAATAAGTAATAATTGGTCGATCCTGTACTGATCAGAGAGGATTAGGAAGTTGTTTTGTTGGTGGGTGGGGGAAAGATATCAAGGGATGAAGTTGCAGTTCTCGAAAAGTTTTCAACACAGTTTAAAATCCCCTTTTTGTCTTTACATGGGACGTTGACTTCCCTTCTTTGTTTTATTTTTCATTATTAAAATCTCTCTACTTTGTGCTTATCAGTGTCGCATGACTTGAATTTTCAGAAACTACTACAGATGCACTTCTGCTGGATGTCCTGTCCGAAAGCACATTGAAACTGCTGTGGATAACTCAAAAGCTCTCATCATAACATACAAGGGAGTACATGATCATGACATGCCTGTGCCCAAGAAACGACATGGCCCACCAAGTGCACCCCTCGTGGCTGCTGCAGCACCTGCTTCAATGAACAATATGCAGTTCAAGAAAACTGACTTACTGCAAAACCGGAAAACACCTACTCGATGGTCAGTTGATACCGAAGGAGAATTAACCGGAGAAGCTTTGGACCTTGGGGGTGAGAAAGCAATTGAGTCAGCTCGAACTCTTTTGAGCATAGGTTTTGAAATTAAACCTTGTTGAATACATGTTTTGGAAATCATACAGCTGTATTTATATAAATCAATTGGTAGGTGTCGTGTAATTTTAATGGCGTCCCATGTTTATCTTCGCTTGATTTTCCCCCTATGTAGTGTTTCAATTCGCTTGTACACACGTTCACGCTTGTCCTAAAAAGTTTACTTGGTGCAGGGAATATAGAACTGACCTGTATCTTATTCTCACGGAGAGTGAGAATTGGTGATAACAGCGTGTTATCATCCAATTTCACTCTAATGCTTCGAGACGGATAGTGACTGAAATAGATCGAACAACTGGTCAAGTTGACGGATTTGAAGAGGTTAATGTTTCAAGTTAAAAATATTTGGTAGTACTGATTTTATTTAATGTTTAAATGGACACAAATATGGAACCAGTTTGGCATGCTTTGAGCAAATTTTTTGTAGATTTGAGATCCTTGTGATTTAGAAGTTACATTGAATCGTAGCTAATTTGTGTAAAGCTGAGTGAATTTATTTAAGGAGGTAAAGTTCTCTTGATGTCTATTTTTTATGTTCACATAACTTCAAGTTTAGACCTCATTGTAGAAAAATGAAATTCCTTATTATTTGGACATAGACGTCGATATATCATTTGTCATATCATAATTTGATATCATGATTCTATTGAAACGAAAGAGGAAATAATTGATCCCATCCGGAGAACGTAATCCCTGACTAATACTTTCATATTGCATCTGAACTTCAGAATTTTTTAAAAGCAAGCAATTTGTTTTCCAGCTTGTCCGGTAAAGAACTTAGATATTAGCATTGCTAATTATGGAAAATTTTCATAATATCTAACTTTGAAGCACATAATTTATTAAATAACCCTTTTATTTTCTCTAAATATTATGGTGTCATTATATCAGTATTTTAAACATTTTTACTATTTAATTAATTACTCAAAAATTTAAGTTTCATCACATATGCTTTTTAAAGATTTTTTCTCTCACTTAATTAGTGCTTTAGATACAAAATTGTGACTAAATTTGTTTATATAAAACTCTAACGAGTTTGGTAGCAATTGTCTATAAGGAATTAATATTGTAAAAAGAAAAATTAAAGAATTAATGTAATAACATTTTTAATTATATAAAAATCTTTAAAAGACTAACGTAAAATCTCCTTAATCTTTATTTATTTATTATTATATAATGTTTTCAATGAATAGCTTAGTAGATTTACCTTATGGCTGGTATTTGGTTGTTGAGCGAAAGTAGAAGACACAAGGTGAAACTAAGTATGATTATGTAATAACTTTAGAGGGTAAATTATAAAACCAATAAAATTGTTCATATCCCATGAACCAGTGTGACTAGCAGGGCAATGTGCTTTTGAAATTGATAAACACAAGATGGTGGAGGAAATTGAAAAGGATCGATCTCAATCCAAATTTAGAAAGTACCACTTGTCCAATACTCTCCAACTATTACGGACAAGACCACTCAATTTTGGTTTCAGAAGGATTTCTTTTTTCTTTTGACATCTTTTATACTTTTGTTCCTTCAATGGTACCTTTCCTTCCCTCACTTTTATGTTTGTACCAAAAGGAGGATTAGTCAATCAAAAGCAGAGAGAGGGTTACAATATTTTTAGCTTTGTTTGGATTTCAGGAGAAATTAAGAGAAAATACAAAGGGTGTAACTATGATGTTTCAATTCAGTGTATCTACGAAAGCTGAATAACACACTTCTAGTTTGATTTCTGTCAACCATTGTCTATCTTTTAATTGTTAATTTATTATTAAACCAATAAAATTTAAACACGATGCTTTTATTTGTACTGCATAGCATAACTTAATGAAAAATATAATTTTGTGCAGCAATTATTTTATGCTTGCAAGGTATTCATTCACAAGTTCATTTACGAAATATAATTTTGCTTATTATTTCTTGTACGTAAATAAATAAATAAGGCAAATAAACTTGTGAATGTATTTATATTGCGTAGGAGATAGAAGAGAGAAACCCCGGATCAAATTATATCAATGTTACTTATATTGTTTAATATATTTTTATTAAATAATTATATTTAAAATTTGACTGTTAAATTAATTCTTTTATATAAATCATATTTATAACATTTCAGATCAATTAAAAATATTTAATCGATAAAAATTAATATAACATATATTTTTAAAATACATAAAAATAAGAATAATTTAATCACACTTTTATAAGTATTCAATTTTTATCAAAAAATGACACGAATACTCAGCATAATGTATAATTATATTCAATAATTAGATTGATAAAAATTATATTTACATTTAAATAAAATATTTAAAAATAAATAAAATTTGAAAATTAATAAAAATAAAATATAACTTGTAATTTATGTTTTGTGAATTTGAAATAAAGACTGAGCTGTGTGGGGTCCAACGAAAGATGGAAGTGAGAAATGCAGACACATGTAGGAAGAAGACGCATCCTCCAATATACACACACATGTAACGGTCACAGCCGGTAAAAGATTAATCTTTACTCTCTCTCCTATCTTCTTCTCTTCACTCTTGTTTCTCTCACTTCATCAACCTTCAAAATAGAAAAAGAAGGAAAAACGGTGCAATAGCATTTGTTGGAAGATTGAGTTCAATAATCTCAGTTGTTGAGCACTCTGAGAGGCCACCCTTTTTCCCGGAAACTAAAACTTTGTGTGGAATTTTCAGGGAAAAATATAAAAGAAGAAGCATGATGAGAATTGCAAAGGAATGTGTCAGCTTTTTTTTTCCATGTGGGGTGACTGAAAAAACTGAGCTTTGAAGCACCTGCTTTTTCCTTTTGAGGTTGCAGTGCAGACTCTCTCGTTTTCCGCAATGCACAATGGAATCTCAGAGTTTCGAGGCTCTGTTTGAAACTTTTCAGCAATTACATGGAATGCAAAAGCCCCCCTCTTAAACTTTGTGGTCAAAGGTGAACCCATTTTTTTCTGACTTTTTTTATCATGTTGGTAATTGGTAAACAGAACCCTATTGAATTCAGGTTTTTCTGGGTTTTGGGCTGATTTGAAATTTTGGGTTTGAGAGGGGTGGGAGTGAAGTGTTCATGAGCTTCATTAAGTTGAGGTCTTGAGTGTGTTGTTGGGAAATTGAGGATAATTGAGTGATACCCTATGGCAGCTCTTCCTTCAATTAGTGCATTTTGATGGTGAAAAATTGAGATCTGTTTTGGGAGTGTGGGGAGCTCAATCACTGTGCACTTGGTGTTTGTCAAAAGTTGTATATTGGTTCTGGTTTTTATGGTTAATTTCTTAAGCCTTCAAGTAATGGGAAAAGAAAAAGTTAATTTTATAGGGAGTTGAGGGATAGTTAGAGCTTGAAGAATTCAGTAGAGTGGTGAGATAAGATTTTTCAGGTGATTGTGTTGTCAAGGGAATATTTTTATCAATGTCTGGAGCTCCCAGATTGAGGTCTATGAATGTTGCTGATTCAGAGGCAAGGCCTGTCCTTGGACCAGCAGGAAACAAGACAGGGTCTTTTAGTTCAAGGAAACCAGCTTCAAAGCCACTGAGGAAGGTTGATAAGTTGCTGGATGAAGTTGCATCAGTCAAAGAAAAGAAACCTCATCAAGTGTTGTCTTCAGTTGTCACTTCCTCTACTCAGTCACGTTCTGTCAGCATTTCTTCTGTACTCCGCCCACACGAGCAGTTACTTCATTCTAATTTGTCTCTAAATGCTTCATGTTCATCCGATGCCTCTACAGATTCATTTCATAGTAGAGCATCTACTGGAAGATTGACTCGGTCCTGTAGCCTAGGTAGAAGAAGGAAGGCGTACGTGTCAAAGCCAAGAAGTGTTGCTTCTGATAGTATGTTAGAATCTCCGCATGATGGTTCACAATCCAAGATGAGGTGTGCTTGGGTCACTCCTAATACTGGTTTGTTCTTCTTCTTAGGCTTTTTTCCAAAATTATTAAGGAAACATATTAATACTGATTGTTAAATAACATAGGTAAAAATATGTATTCATTTCTTCATAATTATTATACTAAGTTTTTTAAGCCTTTGGCAGATGTTTATGTTTCTTTTGGATGTAGAAGTGCTCTCAGAAACGTGTACATGGGTGTTTATTTTGAATTTGCGCTGCCTTAATTTGAGCTGATCCTGTGAATGGTATTATTTGCATTTAACTTAAAGATAATTTTCAGTTCTAAAATATTTAGGTTTTAAATTAAGTATTTACCTCCATTTGGATAGCCTAGTGTTTCCATATAAATTTGTCAATTGAGCATGAACTCTGGTCTATTAAAGGTACCTTTTAAGATATTGAGTTCCTTCCGCTTGTTTGTGCTATGAATACTCGTGTATGGTATGGGTTTTTATGCACAATATAATAAAACATGCATTTCATGTGTACCTTATATGGATTTTAATTGACTTTTTTGCCTGTTGAAGATTGGGAGTTCTAAGTCACTAAATGATATGAACCTTATATGTTGATGGATGTGAAAATAAACATTTGTTAATCAACCATATCTTTCATAGTAATTCATCTGTATTACTTGTTATGAGTTCTAAGTTTTGAACTAGATTGCATTTTTTTTTGGGTCTTATTTTCTGACCAAGTTCATCTGTATGCAAGAACCAAGCTATGCTACTTTCCATGATGAAGAATGGGGAGTTCCGGTACATGATGACAAGTATGTTATAAGCTGAACTAATCTTTAACTGTTTGGGGAAATAATATACCTTCTATTAGATGCTTTGCTTGAACATTTCTTATCTCATGCAGGAAACTATTTGAGCTTCTTGTACTTTCAAGTGTTCTGGCTGAACTCACTTGGCCTGCCATTCTAAGCAAAAGACATATTTTTAGGTATTCTTCTCTGTATAAGTTTTGTTTTGTTTTTTTATTGCTCTTTCTTAACCTCAAATCTTTACTGACTTGGCTACTTGAAGACTTTGTCCTCAGCTGTAGCCTATTTCCGCTTGACTTTGTTTGCTTCAATTTGTTAATAAGGATCTTTGCAGGGAAATTTTTGCAGACTTTGATCCAGTTGCTGTATCAAAACTCAATGAGAAGAAGATGATGGCACCAGGAACTATTGCAAGCTCCCTACTTTCTGAACTTAAATTGCGTGCTATAATTGAGAATGCTCGTCAGATATCAAAGGTAGATTGGATTATGCAACTCTTGGGTTAGTTCATAATTGTTTATTTCTACCTGGACCATTGAAGCCAAGTCAACCATAAGATTCAGGCTTTAGCAGTATTTCACTGCCATCAGTAAATACTATCTTCTATATTGGGTCTTATTTACACCATCCAGGTAGCATTGTGATAATTTTACCAGCTGAACTAGGCAGTAGTTCGTACGTCCAAATTCTTTATCTATGGTTATCGTGCAATTCTGGGGCACCTGCAAGTTTTACCCTTATTTGCATGGTATTGGGAAAACCATTTACATAATGTCTTTCAATTTCTGTACTTTTCTTTGGAAGAAATAGCAAAACAAGAAAGGAAGCCACCTATTTCAGAAAAGTAAACTGAAAATATTAATTCCAACGTAAAAATGAATGATCCTACTTACAGTGTCATCTTCCAGAATTTGTGTGCCAACAGTTTCTTTTTATGGCAAAAAAATGTGCACAACCAGTTTATAAGAACAGTGCTGTCAGATCCACATACTAACCCATTACAAAAAAACAGTTTCAATGTTTATTGTTTTATGAGAGTGTCTCTCTCTCTCTATCTCTTAGTCATTTTAATCTTAGAAAAACAGATATGTGTAGTTCTGTTTTTCCATTTTTGTGTGTAAGTAGTTTTTCCCTTATATGCCTGCATTTAAATTTGACAAAATAGTGGGACCACTTGGCCTTAAATGCAGTCACATTTAGTAGTTGGTGCACAGTTTACTAAAAAAACAAAATGTGTTAGAAGAATGAGAATCAATCGTTTCTGTTTTGATAATTGGCACATTTTGTCCCCCTTTTAAAAAGATTTTTTAAGTTACTTTTATGGGAGGATTTGAATAGTTTATGTAAACTTCCCCTCACATTTAAAATCTCTCAAACAAGGGTTACCATCAAATAAACCCTTCCCTTCCTTCCCCCCACCCCTAAAATTAACTCCCAAATAAAGCTTTAAATTTTGCTTCAACAATTGGATGCCATCATCTTTTCTTTAACTTTCTTTTTGTTTCCCTAACAAACAAATGAATGACTTAAAATTGGTGTTTAATGATTATTTCATAAGGTAGGTTAGGTAATAAAGATAAATAGGGTGGTGGTCCTGATCCTTATTCAATTTGCATGACCCCATATGGACAAAACATGATATTAATCTTCAGTACAGAATGAACTTGTAGTAATCTAATTTGCAATAGTGATATGTAACCAAATTATTTGGATTCTTTAACCTGCCAGCATGCTCAGCCAAGCATGTATTCTGGTACATCCCAAAGTCATACAATGCCCATTTTTTCTGAGCTGCCATGATTGCACATTGCACAATTTTAATCCTGGTTATGCCTATGATTGCCTTTGCAACTAACCTTTTACAGGTTTTTCTTGGTGCCAGGTCGTAGATGAGTTTGGGTCCTTTGACAAGTATATTTGGAGTTTTGTGAACCACAAGCCTATAGTTAGCCGATTCAGGTATCCAAGACAGGTTCCAGCAAAAACCCCAAAGGCTGATGTTATTAGCAAAGACCTGGTAAGGAGAGGTTTCCGAGGTGTAGGCCCCACTGTGGTATATTCCTTCATGCAGGTTGCTGGTTTAACCAATGACCATCTCATCAGTTGCTTCAGATTCCAGGATTGTATAGCCGTGGCCAAAGGGAAGGATGAGAATGGCATCATGGATAACAATGCTGGACAAAAGGAGAGTGATAACGCCATCGAATCAGATCTGTCCATTGCCATGGATGATTTGAGTTTCTCCTCAGAATGATGGTTCAACAATGGTGATAATTTACTACTCTCTTAGCCTTAGATTAAGTAATGATGGAGAGGACTGTGTGTATAAATCTCATGCAGAGCCTAAGCATGATGGATTCTTAGGTTGTAGTTTACTAAAAGCAGTAGTGGATTGAATCAATTTGGTACCATTTCTTCTGTACCAGGCTTTGGCCTAAGAAATTGGTGTACAATTTTTTGTACAGTTTAAAAGATAACCAATTCTTCTTGCTGTGTCACCATCTCATTGTAGAGAAATTCTGGGTGCTTATCCATCCATTTTTTATTTTTCACAATGAAGTTTTGACACAAATTAAAAAATAGATTTGATGTTTTTTTTATTAAAATACTGTCTAGTAACTTTTTATTATATTCTTGTACCACTTTCATTAATTTATCATTCTTTCATTTCAAGTTATGGATATAATGAATAAAAGATAATTACTAATATCTTAAAGTTTTAAAAGTGAAAGATAAAAATGGAATTTTTTTTTTTCTAGAAATGTAAGAGAAAAAAGAACGAATTGAGTAAGACATATCTCTTCATCTATCATTTATCATTTAATGTTACACATGTCAGTTTTGTTGGCCTTTCTGATTTAGAAAACTTCATAACAGACAACAATAGCTTAGACTAACAATCTGAGGCACATAATAAGAGAGGTGTTTTATTCCGAAAACTTGTGAATCTCTCACAACGACCATGCAGAATCCTATTTCGTTTTGATTGTTGGACCCTTATTTGAACCACTTTGCACGCTTTGTATTGGTTTCTGTAATATGTGCCTAATAAAAAATGACGCATGATATATTTTTTAAATTGCAAGATAATATTAAATTCAATGCATTAACAACATTAAATGCTATAATTTTTAATAAAAAAAAATTATTATTTAGTTTTTTTTATTAGATACCATTAAACACATTAAAAAAAATCAGTGTAATATATCTTGAACTTTTGATTTGTTGGCATATAAATATTGTGTTCCAATGATGAATTTCCATTGTAAAGGGTGACAAGGATAGAACAAAGGGTGTGTTCCCAAGTGAGGGAGGAGCATAGGGTACTTATGGTTAATAAAGAATTGGTGTGTTTTGTTTGGAGATCAGCAACAATTGTGGGGCATTGTGACATGTATGATCGTACGTGGTACTGCAATGGTTCAAAGCTTTTTGCATTCTGTTTATGGTGATAAATGATTGTAAATAAATAATTCAAAAGCAATCTGGTGATTGAATTTAGGTTTTTTTAAGTTCTTTTAAGTGTATTGTTAACGTAACGATAAAATAAGCGTCATAAAATAAACGATTTGTAGCATGAACAATAAAATTATGGAACAAGAAACACATATTAAACTGAACGCAAACGTTTACAATGTAAGTAATTGCATAAATAAAAGAAGTAAAACAAACTGAAAGATAAAATGCAGAAATGTAAAGGTGCAGAATGTAAACGTACGACTCCTAGTAATGAATAACAACAGCCGTATGTCTCCTTATAGCTAGTGTCTGACACGATGCAGAGTTTCAGCGTTCAGCGAATTTTAGGTGCGATGTCTGGGTGCAAAAAGCCGTCTCCTGAAAAGTGAAGTTTTGACGTATTTATAGGCAAGAGAAACCACTACCGTTCTCTTTTTTTCGCAGACACTTCTTGGTAACTGCTTCAACTGTTGCTCATTATCTATGACTGGCTCTAATTGTGTTGTCCGTTGTGGTTTCTTTTATAACTGCTATTGTCTACGATCCTTCTTCGTGTTGTTGAACCTGGTAATTATTGGTAATCGCTTCTAAGCCTCGTAATAACTTTTAAGTCCTATCATGACTCTTATGGACTTAGAATATTTTCTTTTTATTTTTTATTTTTCGAGCAATTCTAAGAGGCTCGTTTAGCATTATGAACTTAAAATAATTTCTCTCCCGATTTCTATTTTTCAATTAATTCTGGAGAATCTGAGAGCACTTTTTGATCTCGTGGACTTAGAATATTTTCTCTGCTCATTCCTATTTTTCAAGCAATTCTGAAGGGAATATAGAACTCAACTAGATTTGTGAACTTAGAATATTTTTTAACCGCTTATTGGTTTTTAAGCAATTCTGGAGGGAATCTAAAGTTCAACAAAGTTTGTAGACTTATAATATTTTCTGACCACTCCCTATTTTTCAAGCAATTCTTGAAGGAATCTAAAGCTCAACCAGGTTTGTGAACTTAGAATATTTTCTGACCACTTCCTGTTTTTCGAGTAGTTTTGAGAAAAATTTGGGATGTGACAAAAACCTCTAAAACAACTCGAAATATGACTCTTTTTTTTTATAGAAATTAAGGTTCTTCTCAAAAACCTTCCAACATTTCTTAAGTTCAAACCTACTTTTCAATAAAGAATGAGACTCCTTCTTTAACTCTCAAAAACTCCTTAAAATGTAGTTTCTTCAGTATGAAAAAACTACTTTATAAATACTCCCAAAACTCCTCAAAGAGTAGAATCTTTAAGATGAATTTAAGATTTAAATAATTTTTTAAGTCTTTGATTTGTCAGTGTGGTAATTTTTCAAGTCTTTAATTTGTTAGTGTGAGAGTCTAGGACTCTTAGTCTGATAAGGTCTTTATAACTTAGAAAAAAATTTCTTTCTCCAAACACATTCTCATCTCTTTAACCTTTACGCAAGATTGTGCAAATATTGATTCAAAATCGAATTTAGATCTTCCCTTACTTGTGAATAATAAGATGTGATTGTTTTTTCAAAGATATGATCTCGTTGAAAAGAAATGAAATATTTGTTGTTAGTTTCTTGTATTTATTATTATTATTTTAAATGTTTTTTAATCAAATTAATCATAAAAGTTTTTATAAAATATTTTTAAGATTAGTATATTGATTATTTAACTCTTGTTTTATTAATTTTTTTATAACATAATACTCTCTCGTTGACTGTTTATTTATTATATAATAGATTAATACTGCGTTGTATTTAAACTCATTTTAGAAACATCTTTTAATTAAAGAAATCATTTTTTGTTTCCTAAATGGTCTCTTTTGTGTGTTTGATGAGGATTTTCAATTAGTCGGAAGCATATTTTACTTGACAGAAAAGTTTGTCTAACAAAATTAAACTCATTTGGTGAAGTAGCTAGCTGCTAACATTTTTTTTTAACACTTTTCAAACACTAGTTTTGAGCTATTAGTTGAAAGTATTATTTTTATTTTTATCCCTATTTTAGAATTTTTTATTCTTGTACCTATTATTTCAATATTATACTATTTATTTTAATTATTTAACTAATTTTTTTAAATTTTAATAATATATTGCTCGTGAAAGAGCATACTTCTTGTCTGATTTATTTTATGTTTTGCTTTTTGTTCGGCCATATTAAGCAAACATACTATGTTTTGTAATATTTGTGTTGTAACATTATAATTGTCTTTTTTCTTGCACTTTACTTTTCTCTTATAAGTATCGTACGATTGGACAATAATCGCATCATCGTTAACAAAGAGAAACTATTTATATTTACAGAAAAAAAGAAGAAGAGAAGAAGCAACCCTGTTAGTTTGCTGAAAATATGTGTATACATGAATGAAAACTGAATCTCATACACCGGTTTACATAAGCTCAAAAGTAGCGACACAGAAATCAACGGATTCTGAAATCAATTCATTCTTTTCAGTGATTATAACTAAATACTTCGATGCTAATAAGTGCTCTGTCCATTTCAAAATAATTATCAAATTTAATTTTATTTTAAAATATTTATCATTTAAAATTTTAAAAAATTAATTATATTTTTAACTTAATTGTATATTAATATTTTTTATTTAATAAAAATATCAATAACATAATAAAATAGTATAATTAAATAACATAATAAGTTTCTCAATATAAAAAAAGATAATACAAAAGACAATTTTCTAAATGTGAAATGCCTTATTTTCTAATAAAAAGTTGTTCTTAGTTGCTTAAAATTAAGCTTAAAGACTAATGTGAATATTTTTCAATTAAATAACCAGAAAATATAAAAGGAACTAAGAGGAATTTGCGATGATGTATAGGTAAAACTTTTCTCAAATCTAGATCAATTTAATATTTTAATCTCACATGACATTTAAATATTGTATGTGATGCATCATGGTAAAGGAAACTTTGAATTCAGATACCTTTGTTTTGCTTTCGAATTCCTTTGCAGCAACGTATGAATGCACAGGTTCATAATGAAATAAATCTTTAATTATATTTACCATTATGACATCTAAAGTTACTTTTCACTAAAAAGAAAGACGATCAGAAAAGGGATATAGCATTATTGAGTCACGAAGAAACACCACCACAATCGAAGGTCAGCTGTAATTATCTATTACATAAATAGAGTCTTGCTAAGAGAAATAACAAACGGTAAAGAGTTCCGTATAGTAAATGCAACAAAAGAAACAACCGTCACCACCATTATGAGAAGAATAAACCATGGCACCTACAAGATCCGAAAGTGACATCTGCCAGCATTCAATCGAAAGAAATATTAGAGCAGTAGAGACTAGAGATATATAAACATAACAGCACTAGTAGCAACTCAACTAATATGCATATTAGGTAAAGCTTAATTTTAAGGAAATAATCTTTTTTTCGAAATTGGTTCAGAAAGTTGACCAATCAAAATATTATTTCGCTAAAATAAACTAATTTGTCGGTAGTAAAAGACTGTTTTCTTTATATATGATCTGTTGGCTCCTATGACCATATTACCATAACAAAGTTAGAACATCGAGTATTTTCAACAATATATAGCCGTTAATGTTATTCCACACAACCAACTACTTAAAGTGAGATCACCGAACAAATTTTCATATATTAGCATATAATAATTGAATAAATTGGCTTTGAGAATATACCAAAATTTTCATAAATTCAGATAAGATTTCGATGTAGAATAACTGATCCATTAAGGAATTGGGCTTGGGAAAGCCATGAAAAAGTAAAAGGAACGGTATTTTATGTTTAGTTATGTTTACCTCCTTTCTAACACAAAACTGGTATCACGCTAACAGCACACTAGATAAAAGCAAAATAGGGACAACAGGCATACCCCAGGAGACCTCTGCCTTGCCAAGTTCTGGGTGTGATTGTTAAGTTAATCACTGTGCCTTGCCTCATGATAACAACTGCTACTGCACGACCCAGGTTTGACTGAGCCTCAGAAGAAAGCCTTTGGAGCAAATTATCACCTGCTTCTACACTGCCAAATTTCAAAATTTGATCTCCAAGTTGCAAACCATCCTCTACTGCCGGTGAAGCATCTGCAATCTCATCTACCATTGCAAAAGGTCTACTAACCAACACATCCACATCCATTGAGTTGGGGGACTGTCTCAGAAGGACATTTTGTGGCATTGATGCAACAGTGTCTACAATTGATGAGATCTGAGTATCTGAACCATCATCATTACCTTAGCAGAAAGTCAAGCATTCAACACAACATAATAAATTTCATTAATTATAAATGGAGAGTAATCTTACATCAAACAAAAGATAGAAGAAAGGAAGAGAGGCTCACACAAAAGTTCACACTCGAGGAGAAGTCAATAGCTTTGCAAAAGGTGAAAATTATTCACTTTAACATGAAAGCAATGACAAACAATCATCTGTTTTTACATCATATTATTCTAAGGCTGTAGGCAACTTAGCAATCAAATTTTGGCATCTTTGAGCAGCAGTGGCTTTGTCAAGTCTCTTTGGAACTATTTTGCCCAATCCAAATATCCTTTAGAAGTGGGTGGATTTTCCAGGGTTGATATACTTAATAGTTTGAGAATAATGCTAGAACTTTTTATGAGAGGTTTCTTCCCTCAACTCACGACATAGGGTGGTTGCTGGGCTTCTCTATGGGTGTCAACTGAGCTCCTCCAAGCCTTAGTGGTGCTGATGAAAATGGAAGCAGGTGCAGGGAGAGTGCTTTATGGATTTGCAAACAAATTTTAAGAACCGATTTCAAACAAGCCCTAATTTTTTAAAATCTTTTTCAAGATTTCCAACCCTCAAACACATAACATGCATGATGCACATATATCAATAAAAAGAGGAATCTCACGGAGGGACTCAATGCAAAGGCACCCAGTTAATGGGATCTAGGAAGGGCAGATGTATGCAGTCTAACCAATACCCTCCCTTCACTAAAGAAAATGAAACAATTAACCACCGCACGGATTGTAATGAAGATAAAATCTACCTTCGAAGAGTAAACAAAATTCCACCAAGTAACATCACATAAACAAGAAGCCAAAGTTACCTTCAGAACATGATACAACAACATTGACTCTTCAGTGGTACCTGAATTCTTGAAGGGCGATGCCCAGGTTCCAAGTCTTGCTGAATGCAGAATTTGTATATTTTGGTTTATTTTCGCAGTCATCTCCTTGTGGTCATTACGAAGCTCTGCAAAGAAAGTAAAAATCACGAGAAGAAAATGCCAAACGCAGTAATATTTTAAGCATCAACGATTTACACTAGATAAATGCTAGCAACACATTCTTTCTAATACACTCTTAGTAATTAGCTAAGATTTATTAAAAAAACACCAAAAGCATTTGATCTCACTCCTAATTTATCCATTCTCACTCATATTTTGTGCTTTTCAATAGACGTACATTGCTAGCACTCCTCCTTACGCTAACGAAGCAATTAAAAACACGCAGAAATGGCAAGATGCGCTAACATACAGACCTGCAAGGCGACGTCGTTCAGCTCGAACAACAGGAATATCAATATCCGAACGAGGAAAGCCCTAGAAAATAAAAAACAACAAACATTAATGCAAAGGAATGAATAGATGGTTGCAGTTGGTGATGAGAGAAAAAAAAAAAAACCTGAGAGTCGACGAGGTTGCCGGAGAGACCAGGTGCACCGGGCTGAGAGAGGCGAGCAATGATAGCGTTCATCTCAGCCTCCAACGCGCTTCGCTTGTCCATCAGAGACATGGTTTCTGCCTTCATGTTCGTTGCCACCATTGTCACGTTACACCAAAACTTTTGCTTCTTTCTTCTTCCAATTCGAAACAAAAACACTATTATGCTTCCGTTATCGATACATATGCTTCGCTTTCGCTTGACTTTCGCTGGGAATGCTGCTTCGCCATCCACACCACAGACCCGTCATTTACTACTCTACCCTCAACCTTCCTCTTAATATACGCATTTCCCACTGTGCCAAACATAAAAAATATAAAATAAAATAGTCATTTTCTTTAACGAATCTTCCAGAATACGTTAAAAAATATTTAATATAAATAAAATTAAATAAGAAGAATTATAAATTATAAAATTTTAATACGAAATTTTTTTAATTGTATTATAATTATTTTTATTCTCTTTTAAGTTTCTCATAAAATATTTTTTATTTAAAAGTAACGATTAAATTTAATATATAAAAGTAAATTAGGCTATTAGCAAATAAGTTTTTAAAAATATTACTCTAGAATTATTTTAGATTCTTTTTAAAATTATAATAACTGTATAAACTTTTTATAGGTAAACATTTAGAGATGGAATAAAATAGGGAAATGAGAATAATGTACTGAATTTGGAACTTGTATTTATAACTATGAAATAAAATAAGACCATTATATCTTATTAATAAGTTTTGCATTAAATTGTATGAATATTATTAAATTAAAATAAAATTTTAAATAAAAGTTTAACATATATTGTATTTTTTTACATTTTATAGATTAAAAAAAATAAAAGAGACAGTTTCGCTGCGGTTTAAAGGTGTTCAAGATAGAGAAGAATGCTCTATCATGTTAGTAAAAGATATATTAATAAATTGACATTTTAAAAAATATAAAAATATTGACAAACTTCAATGAGAGAATATATGTAATGTTATGAGGAAATTAATTTATTTTAATTACTGAAAACATAAAAAAAGAGGATTAAAGAAAAATTGGGGATGAATAAACCTTCCTAATTATTGTGGCATGCATGGTTAAGGAGGTTTCGACAAAATCTCACTATAATCTACACACAAAACTTCACCTTCTTAGAAAAGATTCCATCCAATTTAGCGAGTAGGTATTTGGTAATGGCAATATCCTTAAAAAAAAAAAAAAAGAGGGTGTTGGAAAACATTTTTAAAAATGTTTTATTTTAAAAATGCTGTATATGATATAAAATAATTAATTTTTTAAAACACATTTTTATTGAAAAATATTATCATAAAAAAACTATATTTTTTTATAACTATAATAAATATTTTTAATACAAATTATTTATTTATTTTTATTCTTTCATTCAAACAAATTTTTAAAAATCACATTTCTATCTCATTTTTTATATATATTCTTTGACGGTATTCTTTTCTACTTATTTTCTTTATATCTCTTTTTTATTTCGTCTAAAGATGGCATAAATTAAACTAATTTTCATGGTTAACTCCTTAATATACAATTACCCGTGTAGATCCATAACTTTTACGTGTTTTTCTAATAATTTATCTTTAATTATTCCTAAGGACAATGATTAAAAAAATTATGATAAAGATAAAAGAGATAAAAATGACTTTAATACACAATATATGCTAAGGTATTTTGCATTTTTTTGGTACCTAAGATTCGTGCAATGATTATTTTTGCTGACGAAGTAGGAGTGAAGAGAGAGTTAAGCAAGTATTTGCACCCCATCGCTGATATTTATGAAGAAAGAGGGGAGTATTAGTATTAAAGAACAACGAATGTGATGCCATGTCAAAGCCACACAGTTGACCCGTTGGCACACGATAAATACGATACACTCTCACACACTTCAAAATGGCATCATCCATAGTGGCTTCTTCCACCCCATTCTCTTCCACTCTCACCACTTCATTTCTCACTTCTTCCTCTTCCTTTTCCTCTTCTATCTTTCTCAAAACACACACTCTAAGACGCTCAGCCGTTTACCCTCTCTCTTTAGCGTCAGAACCACTGCGCAGGCTCATGGCTCGCGCCAGTCTTGGCCTCACTCACCCTGCCAATACCGAAGCGCCCAAGGTTGTCATTTGAATTTTAATTTGATTTTAAATTAACGGTGAAACGAAGTGACGTTGCTATTTTCTTTTGTTTCGTGTTTGTGGTGGAAATGGAAGGTTTCTTTTGCGGCGAAGGAGGTTGACGTGGCGGAATGGAAAGGGGACTTGTTGGCTGTTGGAGTAACGGAGAAGGACGTGGCCAGAAACGCCGAGTCGAGATTCCAGAACGCGATTCTGAATGCGTTGGATTCCAAGTTGGGCGGGTTATTGGGCCAGGCCTCTTCCGAAGAGGACTTCGCCGGAAAACTGGGCCAGTCTACGGTTCTCAGAATCGCCTCCGGACTCGGATCCAAGCGAGTCGCCTTGCTCGGCCTTGGCGCGTCGGCGTCCACCACCACAGCTTTTAAGTCCCTCGGCGAGGCTGTCGCCGCCGCCGCCAAGTCCGCTCAGGCTGCCGACGTCGCTGTCGTCCTCGCCTCTTCCGATGGACTCTCCGCCGAATCGAAGCTCACCACCGCGTCCGCAATCGCGTCTGGTATTTGTTTCTTTGATGATTCGTTTATAACTGTTTATTTTTAATACTGTAAGGTTGTGGATTACGATTGAGGTTTCTGGTAGGGACTGTGCTGGGAACGTTTGAGGATAATAGGTACAAGTCAGAGTCGAAGAAATCGGCGCTTAGATCGGTTGATATTATTGGGCTTGGAACTGGGCCTGAATTGGAGAAGAAGCTAAAGTATGCTGGAGATGTTTCTTCTGGAATCGTTTTCGGAAGGGAGCTTGTAAATTCTCCGGCTAATGTGCTCACGCCAGGTTCATATCGAACTTTTAATTGTGTTTCTAAGTTGTAGATGTGCACACATGCGCGCATCAAGATTGTCAAATTCCACTGTTCAGTAAACTCATGGCATGGAGTCCTTGTGAACTCAAACCATAGAAAGATATTTCAGTAAGTAACCATAATTAAGTAGCAAATTCATGCGTAATATTCATGTTCTAACTCTATAACAGAGCAAGAAAGTTATCAAATAGTGATAAGTCAACACTTGATGCTACTGTTAAGCTATGTTTAATCGTTCACTTGCATTAATTTGTAGTTAAGAAAACAGGACAAAGATATCAGTGAGATCACAAAATTCATTGGATGATATTTATTCAAGCACTCAACAAAATTGGCAAAAGCTATGTGTTCTGGGGCCAAGAACCATGCATAAATTCTGGCCTATAGATTCAATAGTGGAATTGAGAATTTACTGAATTTGTTTATTTGAATTTTGAACATGTATTGAGTTTGACAAAACGAGAGTTTACATACAAGTTAACTTTTTCTTGGATCCAAAAATCATATATTTGTAACAATTTAAACCTATACTTGAAAGTGCATTACATGAAGGCGTAAGATGAGTTTACCATTTAATCTTGCCTGAATGGTCAAGATTAGCTGATCCTCTATCTCTCTCCCAAACACGCACACATTAATATATTATGGATTTGTCTCATCTAGAGTGATGAATCGCTTTAGAGGGAGAAGCAAGGAGTTCTAACTATTGATTTGAAAATCAATGGTGTAAAATGCAAAGCGTGCATGTCTGTAATAAGCTATGAATTTGTTTAAATCTATTATGTGGATTTTCTCAACAATAGATATAATTTCTCTCTTCATAGTAGCTAGAAATAGACACACACACACAAACATATATTTCCTAGGTCTTGCAGTAGTCACAGGGCAGGTAGTTGAACAATTTCACAGTTTCATTGCTGCATGTGTGAAATAATTTTTCATTTCTGAGAATTGATCTGTCCTTGATGAATTATTTGCCTCAGGGGTATTGGCAGAAGAAGCATCAAAGATTGCTTCAACATATAGTGATGTTTTTACTACCAAAATATTGGATGCTGAGCAGTGTAAGGAATTGAAAATGGGGTCCTATCTTGGTGTTGCTGCAGCCTCGGCAAATCCTCCTCATTTTATTCATCTGTGTTATAAACCACCAAGTGGACCTGTCAATGTCAAGTTGGCATTAGTTGGAAAAGGTTTGACTTTTGATAGGTAACTAATTTAACCATGTCTCTTTTTATCATAGTTACAACTCAAAAATAGAGTTGTCAACATGAATTTGGATTTTCCCTCAAGTTATCCTTGGTGTTGATTTTGAGATCATAAATTTTCTTGGTTATGAAGTTATGGATTGTCACTTCTTTGGGTGTTGTGTTTGTTATTGACTTTGGTGTGGTTTTGTATGTTACATCCATTGAAGAGCATGGAGCGCCATCTATTACTAGAGACTATTAGTGTATTGGAGTTTGTTATCAATTAAATTATTAACTACTAGACCATTGACTTCTATTCTATTTTGATACTGGCATCTAGTTAAATGGTACAAGGGACACAGAATTGGGTTGAGGTAGCAAAGAGAGAGTATTGAAGAACAGATAAAGGACAAGAAAAAGAATGCTCTGAACTTTAAGAATGACAGGATTGAAAAATAGATAAAGAAAAAGGAAAAGAATTCTTTGATAGTGCTTATTGAATTACAACAGACATAATACTAAGTATAAATTGGTAACAAAACAGAATCAATGATCTTCTACAGTTCTACTCCTTCTATTTAATCTAACCACTTGTATACAACTCAAACTATTGTCATGTATGCTATCAGATGGTGTATGGTTATTGTTGATCATATGCTATTTATGAATCATGTTTAGCACCTCAGATCTGTTCTTTAAAAATGTTTTCACTTATTTCAATTTTCTATGCTTGGCGGCTTAATTTATAGTCACCCATGCAAGGTGCAAGTTCCTTCTTACTAGTTAGATTCAGTCGCACCCCACTTCCCCTACACTTTAATGATCCATTGGCGTATTCTGCCCTTATCTACCATAATTATACCACTACCAAATGGTCCCTTGATGTTTAAATTGCTTGTGAAATAGTTGCCCCTTTGTCTTGTGTGAAAAGAAAAGAACTTGTTAGATAACATATTTAACACATGTTAATATGTAAAAAGCAGTTACCATAGTTACTGTTATTAGGGGATTTGATTCGTTTGTACTTATGATTGATTCTATGGTACCTAGTATGTGCTTATAAATAACATTTATGTGTGCTAATGCACACAACATTCACTTATGTTCCTTCTTATATGGTTTCAAGAGGTTTAGGTTTTCAATCCTAGTTTCTTTTTCCCTCATCTCCTTTGCTGTGCATCCCTTTTTGGTGAGCACCTACGACTGAGGTCAAAAGCCTTTGGCGACCAAGTCTGCCAAAGACCCACCTCAAATTGTTGCACGTGGCCCCTCCTCTTTGGCACATTCACCCCATGAACCTGCACCAGCTCAGAGCGTGAATGCCTACCTAGCGAGACCCACTCATCAGCAACCCAATACCCCCCCGCCCCCCAACACACACACACACACCTCCTCCTCCCTTGGGCACCCCTCTCCCAACCCACTTCTGATGTAAGTCATTATGACCTTCACTGGTTTCACTTTCGATTTCTCTCCTCCTATGACTTTCATTTATGTTCCACTGATCTTGTGTGATTACATTGAATATCTATATTTCAAGGCAGCCATGCAGACAACCTAACCCTTCATTGCCATTGCTTAGACGGGTAATCCTATAACCCTTGTCTCTTAGTCTTCATCCTTTGGGCCTTGGATAACAATTTCTTTTTCTTGCATCTGACCATATGTCTAATAATAATTCCTTTTTCTTTCATGTATCTTATCTAGATTCTTTTGTTCAATGTTACTCTAGTAGATGGTTTTCAAATTAAAGTCTAAGGCATTGGTAACACATGTCCTCTCCCTAACCTTGTCTTAGACTCTATTCTTTATGTTCTTGGTTGTTCCTTTAATTTAATCTCAATTAGCAAACTCACTTGTACACTACCTTATTTTGTTCTCTTTTCTATCAACTCTATTCTTGTATAAGGTTGGCATACCAGGCAGATAATTAGAGTAGGACACAAGCCTACCTTCTCTCACCTCCAGTTGTTTGCATTTCTGTTAATTCAGAATATCTTATGCACCACCGATTTGATCATCCTAGTCTTTCCAAAATGTGTCTTTTGATCCTTGTTTTTCCAAAATTTTGCCTTTTGAATGTGAGAAGAAGAAGGTGATGGTTGTTTCCATTACAATTTGTGGACAACTTGACAGGTAGGGTGATATAGGTCATAGGATGATAGATCAATGTGGAATATGCTTAAATTGATAGTGTAGGGGGAGTGCAATTTTACAATTTGCTTGTGAAATAGTTGTTCTTTGCCTTGTGTGAAAGGGAAAGATCTTTCCTGGTTAACTCTTCAATTTGGGAGTTATTTTCATAGGAGAATTTGTGTTCTTTTGCCTTTTCCAATTAAAGCAGTCACATGAGATCATGTGATGGTTGTTTCCATCACAATTAGTGGACAACTTGGCAGGTTGGGTGCTATAGGTAATAAATAGGATGATAGATCAATGTGGAAAATGCTGAAATTGGTAGTTTTGGGGAAAGTGCTATTGGAGTGGTAGATAGGGGTGGATCCGTGCAATTTATACTCTGTCTTTTGTGGTTTTGATATAATATAGCAGATAAAATTTGTCTATGTTGTGACTTGTTTTGTTTGATTTGCATGTTATTAGTGGTGGCTACAACATCAAGACAGGACCTGGCTGTTTGATTGAACTCATGAAATTTGATATGGGTGGTTCTGCTGCAGTTTTTGGAGCAGCAAAAGCTCTTGGTCAAATCAAACCTCTTGGAGTGGAGGTCTGTCATTTATATCATTGATCATGACTTTTCCTTTTCAAAGAATAGTATTTAAATTGATGACTATTATCCTGCTAGCTTTCAAAGTAACGTGAAAACCTTTGCTTTGTAACTAGTTGGTGGCACTTCATATTTGTAAAAGGGAGAGGAATTTTTATCTCATTTTAGATGTTTCATAATTGCACTATTGAATATGAATTGGGTAGCTACTTTGCTGCAAAATAATTTGTTTGGAGTTCCTGTGGCAATTTCTCACGACTCCTTTTAGAGGTTTTGGTAAAATTATGGAAGCCAAAATTTTGGGGTTGTGATACTGAGTAGTTCATGAAGTTTTTTTGTTGTTTTTTGGTTGTGGTGGAATGCTTGTGTCTTTCTACACTGGACATGTCTTTGAATAGGATTGTGCTTATAGCTTCTCTTTGTTCATCTTTTGCCTAAACAAATGCATTTTATATCCATGTTTATATGTCCTTCATGTGCAGGTTCATTTTATAGTTGCAGCTTGTGAGAATATGATAAGTGGAACAGGTATGAGGCCTGGAGACATTGTCACAGCTTCAAATGGAAAGACTATAGAGGTGAGGATTTTTTATGTTCAAATTTATATTTTAATCTGTCCAGGTAAATTTAACTTATTGTGCATGGTATTGAGATAATATTGTCCTGTTGGGTTGATATTGATTTTATTTTAACCGTTACTATGTGATCTTTCCATTTTTTGTAATAAAACCTAGTGTACGTGCCCTTTGACTAGTTCTAGGTGAACACTACAATGTTGGCATCACGGCTCATGCCAGTCATTTGTACTTGAGAGATATGATAGAAGGCTTTGATACTAATTGATAAGAACCTTGGGAGAATGACAACATAAAATAATAATTTTTAGGTGTAATTATGATATTATGTTTCATTATATTATATTGTTCATATGGTGGTTTACATTTCTTGTCGATACTTAGGAGTATCCTGCATATCTTATCTTTTCATATTAATCAGTCCAATTTGCATTGTCATTGTGCAAGGTTTATTAGGTTGAACGACCAAATATATCAGTTGTTTTTATTTTATTTTATTTTATATTGACTCAAGTTAAATTTCAGTTAATCAGTTTCATTTATATCTCTTTTATTTTAAGTTGCCTCCATATATTGTGTTTTTTTTTTTTTAAAGCCTTTTCAATTGTTCTAGCCATATATGTCATATTAATACATAAATACATTTTATACTAGTGAAAGCCTATGAATTCCAGTTTTGATATATATATAATGGCAGAAGTGTATGAAATTGGTTTAACATCTCCTGTAGGTTAATAACACAGATGCTGAGGGTAGGCTTACCCTGGCAGATGCTCTGGTGTATGCTTGTAACCAAGGGGCTGAAAAGGTACGCAGCTATGCATCTGGATCTTTCTAGTATACCCATAACCTAATATTTAATATTTCATGTTTGATAGGTTTTGTCGCTAATAATGTCATTTCTATTAAGCGGATGAGAAAATGTTAGAACCATTTCAATTTGTCCTGCTGAACTAACATTCAAATATCTGATGAATATTTATTATTTTCATTTTTAAATACCTGTGATATTCTAGTTCAGTTGTGTGTAAAACCATTTACAAAGTTAGTACCGACTTTGGGAATTTTATGTTTACAAACATCCAGTGTGTCTGTCATATCATTTTATTTTGGATTATGCAATGTTTTACACAAGCTTACAACTAGGTGTATAGTTTGGTTTTAGAACTCTGCTGACAGGTTGATCACTTGTTCTTCAGATAGTTGACCTGGCAACTTTAACTGGGGCTTGTATAATTGCTCTTGGACCCTCAATTGCAGGTAATTATAAAAATAAAATTTGAAGTATTGTTTATGGATATGAATGATCATATACCAAAAAGAACGTCAAATATATAGTTGGCAATTAAAACTTGTAATGTGGCCAAAGAGGAGCTAAGTTTTGGGTGAGGCAGAACATGGAAGAGAATAAGTAGCCTCATTATGGTGGCTTCTCACTGTTGGAACGTATATTCTCTTAATTGCTTAACTTATACGTTGAATTCTTTGTTATCAACTGGTTACTGATGCTAAATATTGTTTTAAAGGTGTGTTTACACCCAGTGATGACCTGGCAAAAGAAATTTTTGATGCTTCTGAAGCGAGTGGGGAGAAATTATGGAGGATGCCATTAGAAGAAAGTTACTGGGAGTCAATGAAATCAGGAGTGGCTGATATGGTGAACACTGGTGGTAGACAAGGTGGTGCCATTACTGCTGCTCTTTTCTTAAAGCAGGTATATGCATCAAAACGTGTTGTTATTTTCACTTTTCTCGTTAGCATAATGGTCTGTTGCTACTACGGAGTGGTAATAAGATTTAAATGCTATACGCCTTTTCCAAACTCATTTTTTGAACAAATGCTTGTGTTCCCCTGCAACTTGTTGGTATGATAGGGGATTTGGTGGGTTGGACGATAATATGAGAACTGTCTTGGCTCGTGTTTTGGAGGGAAATTTTCTGTAGAACTTTTGAAGAAACTTAATGAGAGAAAAAACAATTGCTTTGTAAAATTGACATACTTCATAGTCTCCTGGTTATGGTTTTTCTAAAATAATTGTGCTGTTGCAGTTTGTTGATGAGAATGTTCAATGGATGCATATTGATATGGCTGGTCCAGTGTGGAATGATAAGCAGCGGTGTGCAACAGGATTTGGTGTTGCTACTTTAGTGGAATGGGTTTTGAGGAACGCATCTTAATTGCAAACTGAAATCTTGGACGTCTGTTCCATCGTGGCGTTTTTTATGTTGTCATATGAAGAAGGGTTGTAAAAGGTAGTAGTGTCCCGAGACAGCTTTCAGGCATATTCCAGTATATTAAAACTTATGATTCTCATGGTTAAATTAGCATCTGTCTAATTATTATTATTTATTAGCTTCGATGATTATAATTCTAGTGGAAGGGTAAACTTGTGTCCGGGTGTATTTTTTTTTTCTTTTTTTTCAAATATTAATAGATTTGTTAAGCTTAACGACCATGTTAAATCTCAAAGAGTATTAAATTTAGTTTGGATAAATTTCTACAAAAATCTTTATTTGAAAAAAAATAAAATTCTTATAAGTTAAAAGTAACTTATACTTCTCAATTTTTTCAGAAATTTTTTCATTTAATTTTTTAAAAAATTGATATGATCCAAGGTTAAGTTTCTTATTTCAAGTTTTTATGTTTTTAACAAAATTTAATTTTCATAATTTTGTCCAAGCGTCAATTAATTAACCAATTCTTTTAAAATAAAACATAAAACAAAGAATAAATACTCAAGTAAAGATATTATACTTAAAAAATTTATTTGTCGATAATTAAATAATTATACTGATTAAAAATAAACTTTAAAAGTGAAATATAAAAATAAAGACACAAAATAATAAAATATGAATGTAAAAAATATATATAAAAATATAATCATCACACATGATAAATAAAAATGGAAAAAGAAAAACATAGAAAACACTTGTTTATTTATGATTAAAGTTTCTTTGTTTTTAAAAAGAGGTAAAAAAAACATAAAATGAGGTTGGATGTTTAAAGTTAAATTAGAGATAAACTTTGTTATAAAAAAAATTGAGATAAACTTGTAAAATAAATAGAAAGAAAAAAAGATATCTACAATATAAATATGCACCTATTTATAACTTACGATAAAATGTTTAAAAAATAGAAAAAATAGTAATTGGTATAAGTGAAGTGAACCGATGAATTGATGAACTAACTAATTTGGGCAAGGCTATTGTTATGCTATGGACCTGAAGTGCTTGTAAATTAATTAATTAATTTTTATATAGATGTTATTTAATGGTTTTTAATCACGAAGGAAAGGGGAAAAAAAAAACGAAAGTTATGAAAAGGTGATTAATCACCTATACCAATTACTATTTTTAGCACAACATAGGCCGTACTGTTCCAAACACCTGAGCTGACATAACAGTAAAACACACAAGTCAGAAGCTGTTCAAGTTTTGTTGTTTACTCCTCTCTCTAAATCATTCATTCTTGTGCTGTGGAGAGAGAGAGAGAGAGAGAGAATGAGTGTTTCTTTGAGTGTGATGACCTTGAATCTCCATGATGATGATGACGATGATGATGAGCAGCAAGAGAGTCCTAACTCATGGGAGAAGAGAAGGGACTTGTGTTTGAGCGTTATCACCAGTTACTCACCCATCATCCTCTGTACCCAACAAGGTTCTCCTTCTTCTTCCAACATCATCAACATCGCGTTTCTCTATGATCTTAATCATGATATGGATTAAGCTTGCTTTGTAGCCTTTTCTTTGGTTTCTAGATTAATCTGCCTTTCAATATTTGCATTTTTTGTTAATCTGATTTTAGTTCATTGATTTCTTTCTCTGCTTCGATTCAGGAGTGAAAACGCAGTTAGATTATCTCCAGCAGGGTCTACCTGGTATCTTCTTGCTTTTAAAATATTTTATTCTTCAATTTCTATAAGGATTAATTTTTGGCTCCCAACTTCACTACACGCACAGTATGGTCGCGTGCATTTTGTATCTCAAATGTATGTGGCAGTAAGGAATATATGTTGCTGTTTATGAAGAAAACTTCTCTTAAATGTAAAGTAATGCTAGCCATTAGGACGTGCTAATGTGATGCCTGCATCATAGACAATTGGATTATGTTAAATGGATGTGGTTCATTAAAAGTTGTAAATATTGGTTAGAGAAACTATGCATCTGATGAGTGTTTGTGAAGTTTATCAGGATTGTACTTGATATAAGATGTTGAAATGATGAAAATCTGAAAAGCCTGCTTGTTCAAAAAACAATCTTGAGCACTAAGATGAGTAAGTGCGGGTGGCTATTTCTTGTTTCTGGAAATAATATTGTGTACTGACTTTGCTTATTTCCTAGACAATTATTTAATTTTCTTCTTCTGTGCTCAAATGGAAAAGTTTTTGTGAAAATTAACTGGCAGCATTTGCACATAAACATACATGACATTTATGTCCCATGTTGGCTTCCAAACTATTCTAGTACATGTTTTCTTCTGAAAGGAAAAACAAGTCATGATTTGGTAAGAGCCAATGAGCGTGCCATTATCATGAAATTATGACCTCCATTAACTATTGTCTCATAATAAAGTGAAATAAGAGAAGAAATTCTATAAAATTTTACTGGAATGGAATGAGCAACTCTTAGTCAAACCCTTTTAGTGCTTAATGTAACACAGCTTCTGAACGCAGTGTTTCTTCTACTTAAATAAAAATACTCAGGTTATGATCAGTTTGGCATATCACGAAAAGGGCCCCAAGACACTGCTGATGAGCATTGCACCATCTTCTATGATAAAGAAAAGGTACTAGATTGTTTGAGTATATATATATATATATTTTATTTTTTTTTAATTTAATATATGCTCCAAGCCTCCAATAAGTTAACTGATATTTGATAGCTGTTATTTTCTTAAATGAAGGTAGAGCTTCTGGAAGGTGGAACCTTTTGGTTATCTGAGTCTCCCTCTGTACCTGGAAGCATGTCATGGGGTTCTGAATTTCCTTGCATTGCAACATGGGCTATATCCTTGTTTGTGATTTAGAACAGATTTGCAACTTCATTTGTTTTCATTTTTTTTTTTTTCACTTTAAAACACTTGATTGGGCAAATCTTTGGGATCATTTGGTTCTTTGACATCATGTCCACACATTTCAACTTAAAGGGGTTGAACCACCAGGATATTCATTTCAGATAGTGAATACAAACATGGATGAGTTCAGTTCTCGAGCCCGCAGAAAAAGTGCTTTACTTACGTGGCAGCACATTGCATCCTTACCCCCCAGCCTGCCAGTTGTGTACTGTGGAGGATTCAACACACAAAAAGAATCAACTATGGGACGCTTTCTTCTTGGAAGATCAAGGTTTTTCCTTAATACACAATTTTTCACTTGATAGTTATTATCATGTTACTTATTTGGAGCTCAAAGTTCATATTTCTAGGATAAGTAGTGCTTTGTGCTATGAACTTTTCTATTCATTTACGATGGATGGATAAGTAGTTCTTTGTGCAACTATCTATGCATGAAATAGAGTTGATCAGCAATTTACTTCTATCGAGTGCAGAGAGCATGGTGTAGTAGGGGACATGTGGGATGCATGGCCGTGTGCCCATGTGAGGAAAAATGTATCCCTAATCCGCACTTATCATGGATTCAAGGGTATTGTTATTCTGCTTATACACATACATTCTAAACTTTAGTTACAATACTGTGCCATTACCTAGGGTTATATGGTGTGGTTAGGTAACAAACAAGGAGCTCTTGAATTCCTGGAGTTGATCTTTAGGGCCCTCTGCCTCTGTTGGGATCGCCAAACACAGGATCTTCACATTGATTGGGTCCTTTTCAGAGGTAGATCTCTAATTCCAGCTTCATGTGAAGTGGTGAATGATAACATTGATGGGTGTTATCCATCCTCCCATTATCCTATATTTGCTGAGTTTATGCTTCCCCGCACAGTAAGGATGCTAGAACAACCTGTGCAAGAAGATAACTAAATTCTATTTTTGCTATACTTTGGTGGGATCCCATTCATCCCTTGAGTATTATTAGCAATGAGTTTCTTGTGGAGATATTGGTGGCTGTTTCCAACTTTCTATCATGAATGTCTTCTTTACATGGGGGCTATTATTAGTAAAATTATGTATCAGCACACTGCCTCCATACCCAAAGATCATGTATCAAACAGAATTCAATTAGCTTGTGAACTTTAAGTTGTTTCTTCCTTTTATTTGTTTAACGAGCTTTTATATTTGAAGTTTGAACAAGTTCTGATATTTCAGCAATGACTAGTACATTACGTGGATAAATTTCATACATTGTTAGTAGATTACCTTTTCATTTCCTCCTCAAGATTATCTCTTTGATTCTTGAATGTAGCAATTGGCACAACACAACATTGTACCTGAAGGGGAGGGGGTGGTGCTTATTAAATGTGCAACATCATATAGTGAATGCTAAGACTAGATGCACACAGATATCAAATTGCTGATCTGGTTTAGAGTAACTTTTGTCACATGAGCATGTTAGACTCTTTCTTTTCAATTATTAGATGGAAAAGTCTAGAAAATGCTTTGAAGGAGATCAAAGTTAACTAACTCGTAAGCAAATATTTACTTTTGCTTCGAATTTCCCCAAACATTGCTCTACATGAAAACTTTAACTATTAAGCGAATATTATTATAAACACATGTAGATAAATAAATAGATAAAGCATACAACGAAAAGCATATAAATGGTCAATATAAAAAATGTCTATTAAATAGAGTCTAAGGATGGAGTCAGCCAAACCGAACCTTAATCGGATAAAAGTTTTCCTATCAGTAAATTCCAACTTGATACAAATTTCTGTAATTAAATCAATATAAAACCAAATTCTTTTAATATCATATGGACATTTCAATAAATGTTCTTAACATTCACCTCAAAGAGATTACATTATCCACAGACTATTAATAAGATAGTTACAAGTGAGATTTTAGAACATTCTACTTGTAGTATTAAATTAAAATATTTTTTGTGAATAAAAAATTTAAGATATGTTTTATGATTATTTTAAATTTAATAAAAAATTATAAATTTTAAAAGTAATTATTATTATTAAATATTTTATTATATTGAATATGGGTAAATTAAAGAAACAAAATTTTTTAAATTAAGAAATACATCATAAAAACTCAAAAGTAAAGTTAAGATTGAATTAAAAATAACGAAGAAGAGAATAAATCTTAAAAATACACTTATTTTCCAACACGTTGAGGAGACAAGTGGGCTACCATCTGATATAGAAATTGCATCAACTTTATATGAAGATAATGTTTCATGCATAGCACCATCAAAGAATGATACTTGAAGGAGATGGAACGAAAACATCTTCCTAAACTTATTGTTTATTCGTCACCTTCGAAAAACACAATTTTTTTAGTTTCTCTTTTCCAAATACTCGTTGTAGTGAAAGAAAAATATTATATTATTTTAATTATTTAACATAATTATCGCTTAAAAAAATTATTATCATAACCTAGTTGGTAACATGTCGTGGGTCATATCATTAGTTCTCTTCGGGTTTTTGTTAGGTGGTGTAACTAAAGACCCCATTCCATCAACAGTGATTTATTTTAATTACAGAAATAAATTATTATTAAAAAAAACTCCATTGCTTATCTTTTTCTTCCTTACCACAGAAAATATTTTCAATTATAATTAAAACGAAGATAGAAAATCGATTTCTTAATGGTGTGAAAAACCCGCTTTTTTTAGTTGTTAAAGGAATTGTTAATATCTTTTATACTACAATTATCTTTGCTTAATTAAAATGAGATTTTACTATAGTGTTATTACGTAGATAAATAAATAAATTGTCTTTTCGATCTCTCACTTTATATGCATTCCATACCATACCCCAACATCAGTGCATTGTAAGCATCCATAGCCAATATTGATAGGCATGTTTTACTTTCCTTAACATATTGGTTTTTGTTCAAAATTTTTATCATAGTATTTATATATCATGCACTTTAATTGTCTGTAACATTCTTTTCAGAAGAATTGGAGGATTTGCCGCGTATCATCTCTATTTGTTTCTCTTATGATTTTTGTATGTTGAAAACGAATGATCACAATATTTTCATTAAAAAAATAGAATAATATTTGAATTATGTAATTTGTCTTACCGTTCCTTACATTTCTTAAAAAGTGTGGAATCACTTGAAAAGGCATGAGAAAAAAGAAACAAGAAAATTTTCTAATAAATGTAAAAGAAATGTGATAAAAATCAGCACTAAATTTTTTTGTCGATGCTAAAATGGACAAAAGGGAAGAATGAAGTAACATAAGAGGTAAACAGACAGAACCATCTTGTTAGAAATTTGGCACCGCAATAACAAATTGATTCGTGCAGCACAATGCATGCTTATTACCCATCCTATATATATATAAAGGGGTTTAATGGATCGCCTACAAGATGTCCATTACAACAATGATTTGATGATTTATCTCCCAATAAATTACTTATAATTCTAGCTCACTCAAAGTGTTTTCATATATGATTTACATGAAGTCATAGTACAAAATTACTAAACTATGATTCTATATCTTCGTCCTTAATTAATGATGGTGAACGGTATTTTATTATTAACTAAAAGTGCTAGGTCCATTTTTTCTCTGCACATTTATATAATTCATAAATTATTAGTTTATTTTACTGAAATTGATTATTATAGATATTTAGATTGAACTCAATCAAATATGACTTATGGGAGGCCTCATCAGCGGCTAAAGTGATGTATAAGAAATCTTGCGAGTGGAAACTAAAAAGAGATGGTTTATCAAGTATTAAATTTTCTATTCAAAACTTGCAAATAAATATCTGAAACCAGTTAGGCCCACCAAACAATTCATCAAATTTAATTCAAATTCATCTCCGAAAATTTTAATAGAGAAATGTTAATAATTCTTAGTAAGCCAAAAATACCACCCTCATACTCATTCCCTCATAAAGAAATATGCTGATATTTATGGCTTTAGATACCATAATATAGTTATTACATTATGATACAAAAAATGTACCTAACGTTACATAATTTTAGTTGATGTCCAACAACTACTACATTGTTATGTAACGAACAAAGCAAGAAAACTTGGAACGGAAAGTAGTGGAAGGAACGAGAGGAAGAGGAAGACTAGAGAGAGAGAGAGAGAGAGAGAGAAGTGTTCTTTGTTCTACGTTGTTTGGAAAACATGGTTTGTCAATGCATCTCTCTGTGTTTTATGCTTCTCCTTGTTCATGTCCACATTGGAACATGTTTTTACCTTCCTGGTGTTGCACCCGAGGATTTCCACAAGGTTATTCCATTCCAAAAATGCTTCTTTGTCATTGTTGTATTTTCATGTTTATGCATTTTTCGTTGAATTTTGGGTCAGATCACAATTGGGTTCTCTTGGTTTTCTGGTATATCCTTTCCTTTTTGTTTTCTCCCTCTCTTTCTTTTCCTATGGCTTTGTTGGTTTGAGAATTTTGATGTTTAGATGATATTTTGCTATTTGGTTTGTGAGATCCAAGCATTTTGGTATTCTGTGTGTGAAAATCCTTGCTAACTAGAAGTTAACGTGTTCCAGTGGCAATCATTTTACTTGATCTCTTATTACATTTGTTTTTTCTTTGGTTGAGGGACCATAGAATATAAAGGTGATGAGATTGTTTATTCATGAATATTTTATCATGTCATGGAGGGAGGGACTCAAAGGAATTTAGACATGTATTTTTCTTTTCATCGTAACTGTTTACATATTTTATTTTCTAAGGTCAGGTTGACATAATTGACACTATTGCTTATTGACATTCTTAATTAATTAATGCTTGGTGGATCTTACTTGTTACCTTATATTGTTCATCGGTGACAGGGGGATCTATTGAGGGTGAAAGTGAACAAACTATCTTCCACAAAAACACAGCTTCCTTACTCCTTCTATTCACTTCCTTATTGTCGTCCAGATCACATTGTTGACAGTGCTGAGAATCTTGGGGAAGTTCTTAGGGGTGATCGCATAGAAAACTCTCCTTATGTGGTTGGTTAAATTTTGTGCATAGTTTGCATCACTCTTTCTTCCATTTATTAATTATGTATAATATAAAAAATACTGAAAACAATTTGATTCTTCCAGTTTAAAATGAGAGAACCACAGATGTGCAATGTTGTTTGTCGTCTAACTCTTAATGCAAAAACAGCCAAAGAGTTCAAGGAAAAGATAGATGATGAATATCGGGTTAACATGTAAGTCACTAATAAGTAATGATCTTAAATTTTACAAAGCTTTTTGCCAGTTATGAATTTGTGACCAAAATTGTGTGTTCTATACTTGCATTGTTGCAGGATTTTGGACAATCTTCCTTTGGTTGTTCCCTTAAGACGACCTGATCAAGAATCTTCCTTAGTGTATTTGCATGGCTTCCTAATTGGTCTTAAAGGACAGTATGCTGGAGTAAGTGCCAGCTTATGGCCATTTCACTTTTGTCATTGGTTTGAACTCATTTTGAACTTATGTGTACTAATGTTGACAGAACAAGGATGAAAAGCATTTTATCCACAACCACCTAACATTTGTAGTAAAGTATCACAGAGATCCAGTGACAGAGATGTCAAGGATAGTAGGCTTTGAGGTCAAGCCTTTCAGGTCGGACTATAACTTTCATTCTTGGTTGTATATAATTTTATGATTTCACTGTTAACAATATTTGTAAGTTGAAATTATTCCTATGAATACAGTGTAAAGCATGAATATGAAGGTGAATGGGATGAGAACACCCGCTTAACTACATGTGATCCTCATGCAAAAAAGTTAGTCTCAGGCTCTGAACCTCCTCAAGAGGTTGAAGAGAAGAAGGAAGTTATATTTACCTATGATGTTGAGTTCCAGGTTAGTCCTATAATGCATCATGGTAATTGAACCAGGGTGCATCTCAGAATTGGGTTTTGATGTTGATTTTTTTAACTGTCTTAACATCTTGTAGGAGAGTGATGTGAAGTGGGCGTCTCGCTGGGATTCCTATCTTCTAATGGCAGATGACCAAATTCACTGGTTTTCAATTATTAATTCTTTAATGATTGTACTTTTCCTATCGGGTATGGTGGCTATGATAATGTTGAGGACACTTTACCGTGATATTTCTAAGTATAATCAATTAGAGACTCAGGAGGAAGCTCAGGAAGAGTCAGGGTGGAAACTTGTCCATGGGGATGTTTTCAGACCTCCTTCAAACTCAGATTTACTGTGTGTATATGTTGGAACAGGCGTTCAGTTTTTTGGAATGATTCTTGTGACCATGATTTTTGCTGCACTTGGATTTTTGTCACCCTCCAATAGAGGGGGGTTGATGACTGCCATGCTCTTGCTTTGGGTCCTTATGGGACTCTGTGGTGGATATTCCTCAGCACATCTTTATAAGAGGTTCAAGGGAACAGAATGGAAAAAAATCACTCTCAAGACAGCCTTTATGTTTCCTGCTATTGCCTTTGCAATATTCTTTGTGCTAAATGCTCTAATTTGGGGGCAGAGGTCTTCTGGGGCTGTGCCATTTGGTACAATGTTTGCTCTTGTTTTCTTATGGTTTGGCATCTCAGTTCCACTTGTATTTCTTGGAGGTCACATTGGCTTTAAAAAGCCAGTGACTGAGGATCCTGTAAAGACAAACAAGATACCTAGGCAGATCCCAGAGCAGGCTTGGTACATGAACTCAGTCTTTTCTATTCTAATAGGAGGCATCCTCCCATTTGGTGCTGTCTTCATTGAGCTTTTCTTCATTCTCACATCTATCTGGTTACATCAATTTTATTACATATTTGGCTTTCTTTTCATTGTGTTCCTCATCCTGATTGTTACTTGTGCTGAGATCACTATAGTTCTCTGCTACTTCCAGCTGTGTAGTGAGGACTACCTTTGGTGGTGGAGATCATATCTGACTTCTGGTTCCTCTGCACTCTACCTTTTCTTATATGCTGCATTTTACTTCTTCACAAAGCTTGAGATTACAAAACCAGTATCTGGAGTCCTGTATTTTGGGTACATGCTGCTTCTTTCGTATGGTTTCTTTGTGGTAACCGGTACTATTGGTTTCTATTCATGCTTCTGGTTTATAAGGCTAATCTACTCGTCAGTCAAAATTGACTGATCTATGGCTTGTGAAGGAAATGGCTGGACTGTTAAAACATTTAAGGGAAGCTTATATATTAGTTGGAACGGTGAATTGTGGGGATCCTTCAGCTAATCCTTCGGTTCCCACATTAAGTTCAAAACATCAGAAATTAGTTTCCTGTGTATAGGTTGTTTTGCAGTTATGATTTCGTTCAAATCTATTTCCCAAGTGGCATATTTTGTATCTTAGTGTTCTTCCCTCCCCAATTGAATATTATCATTGTTTTCTCTGACATTCATGAGGACAATTTTCTTGCTGTCCTCAATGAGTATCTAGGAAGAAAAAATGGAATTACCATTGGTGGTAAATATATACCTTGATATAGATCATGGAAAATAAAACCAGTTATCTTTGTCAGTGAGGAGAAATGTGCTATAAATCTTTCCAAATTGTGCATTTTAACTTGAATTTTTCTGGAACATACTTTCTATTGAAATATAGCTAGGTTTCCTTTATATTTATATACACCCTTCCTGTGTAAAGGGTGAAATCGAAGATGAGGTTACGGATGAAATTGGGTATTGTAATCTTACTGATTTAGCTCCTGCTTTTACTTTGCTGTAACAAAACTTCCAATGTAAACACATTTTCCAAATAAGGATGGTAATGGGTAAAATACTTTATGAACACTGGCAAAATTTATCCACGATGTGTAGAGTATTTATCCGTTATATGGGTACGGGTACAGGTGTGAATAAAAACTTACAAATTTTAATGAAGATGAGTGCGGGTACGGGTATTTAAGTACCCACCTTGCCCCATACCCGCACACACACACATATATATATATATATGCTTGAACTTTGTTCAATAATTATGCATTAAATTTTTGTACTATTATATTACTTATATGAAGTTATATAAGATTAATATAAAAATATATTTAATAATAAAATAAATCAAAAAATTTATTTACTATTTTATATCATTTAATTAGACTAATATAATTTAATTATTACATAGTTGATATGTGATTGACTTTTTTTAAAATATTATTTATATATAACATACATAAAATATTTTTCACATAAATATTTTGTTAATAAAATTATATTAATATTTAAATCATAAAATGAATGATAAATAATAAATATTTTATAAATTTTATAATCACATACTATTACTGTAAACTTATTATTTATTGATAATATTTAAATTTTATTTTTTATATTTTAATTTAAAATAATATTTTTCTATACAACATATGTATTATAAGTACAACTATAATTTATTAAATCTAAATAATATTATTTTTACTATTTATTCACTTTTAAAGAAGTTTTTAAAAAGATATAAAATATAAAAAATTATTGTTAATTTTTATTTGTTAATTTTTTTCAGATAAAAAAATATAATTTTTTAATCTACACATATATTTCTTTATTATAAAATTTTATTGTGACCATTTATCTTTTATTCAAATTCTTTCTTTAAAAATTTATATACATTATAAATATTTAATTCATTAAAATAATTTTTCAAAAATTTGTATTTTTGATAAAATACTTTCGTATAGTATATGAGTTAAAAATATTAATATTAATATAGATATATATATATATATATATAAATTATATTATATTATTTTAATTAAATCTATTATTTTTCTTACAATTTCAAATTCAAAAGTTAAAAAAAAAAAATTTATGTACCCACTTTTCGTGTTAGTACTTGAACTTCTCTATCCTAACTCTATTCTCATTCTCAATGTTTAAAACTTAATAACTATAAAACGTTATTCATTAGAGTTAGTTGTTAATGCAGCCACAAGAAGTCACCAAATGATCCCACAAGAAGGAACACCTATTGTGTAGATTTATTTTGTTATAGCTCTGACATTGTCGGTCGATCGAATCTCACAGAAGACAGGATTACCACGGGTAAATAACTTGTATGTTTAGTTTCGCTTACTGTTTATAAGAATTTTAGTTTAAAAAATTATTATATTAAGATACATTTAGCACTTGTGATATTTGAATATTTATTTTTTAATCTATGTTTATATTTTGTTCGGCAACTACATATTAAATTTTTGTATTATTATGATAAACATATTTTTTTTATAAATATATTTTTTTCAAACAAGTGTGGGTAATAAGTACAAGATGGGTATGCGGGTTCCCAAAGGATAGGATACGAGGATTAATGTTTATACTCACGCAGGTATGGAGCTGGGTACGGGTATCTTTTTAAAACGCAGATATAGAAATGAGTACTATAATACCCTACCCATTGTCATCTCTATTCCCAAACCAATGAAAGAAATGTCATCGTACTGCTTAGCTTAGGATAATAGTCAGTAAAGTTTGTCGTCAGAGTCTTTAATCAGCATCACAAGCTACCTTCACATTGTGGATGTCTGGATTCATTAAAAAATAAATATGCATGCCAAATACATTATTGAAGAATGCATTAAAGCAAGCAAAAGGGTATGCTGACATTGGAAAATAAAAGCAAACAACTAAAAAAATTGCAGCTTTATATTGTAAATAACAAATAATTTATTTTATATATAAGACAATCTTTTTACACTGGTATAAGTCTAAAAATTTACACTAAATTTGAATCTTTCATTTAACTTACATTTAATAAGTTATAATTTATTATTTCACTTGCTGTTAAATATAAGTTAAATAAAAAATTTAAATTGAGTGTAAAAATTTTTAAACTTATACTAGTATAAAAAATCCTTCCTCTTTATATATATATTTCATTTTAGACTCGTAGGTTTCCAATTAATACGAGAAAACCTTATTGAAAATTAGGTGGCATGCCCGTTGGTTTCCCAATTATCATTTTTAAGTATTTAACTATGACATCAGTTGTTCCAACCGTTAAAAACCCGCAAGCATGTTAATCTCACTTCAATTACATATTTGCCAACCAGTGATCCCAATAATTTATAAAAATTGTGAACGGGTACACTGCATTCTCTGTGGCAGCCTAACACAACAGGGAGTTGGCTTAACGATTTACAAGGAACCAGAAGCATAGTACGACTTGTGATCTACGCACCTGCTACTGATTGTATAATATTTTTTTTTCTTTTATCCTTGCATAGAAAAATGGAATCAAAATAGTTAGTCAATGAAACATTGAAAACATGCATTTAAGAGAGTAGTTACATATAAATATTTAGTCTGCATCATCAGCAGTAAAGTCGGGCTCTGGAGGTTTCTGTAGTTTCACCAACTCTCTGGCACTCTTAGCTTCCCGGTTGCGATGTACACCACGAAGAGCATTTGCAGCAAATCTTGAGGCCAAGAACGTGGCACCAAGACTGTAAGAACTGCCACTAGCATTGCTTCGAGTTCCTTCTGACTCCTCAGGTTCTTCCTTTCGACGAAGCTCCATAATTTTCCTTTTGGAATAACGACGCCATGCTGCTTGAATGAAGCACGCAGCCCAAGTCCTCCATTGTTGGGAATAAAAGCGAAAGGTGTGCTGAACCTGTCTACTGTGCAGACGCCTAAACTGACTGGCAACAAATTTTAACTCTTCAGCAGTTAATGCAAAAGCCTCAACTTCTGTTAAAGCTTTAACTGTTCGAGTAGAAGATGGGAGGTTAGAGCCAGATTTGGGATCCAGTGCCCATGTCAAAAGCTCCTCACCACAGAAATCAGCCTCTTTTAAAAAACCACGATTGAAAAATCCACTCCTCCCACCATCTGTAGTAACACTCTCAAGGCGACCCCGTATGATGAAAAGCATCTCATCAACTGGATCTCCTTCCCGGACAATGTAAGTACTCTCTGTAAATAAACATGGCTTCAATCTCTCACATATGGCATCAAGCAATCTCTCATCCATACTCTCAAATAGTGGAACCTACAAATTCAATAAAGGCAATTAATAAATTGACAAATTCAGATGCTCAGGCACCAATTTGATGCGTTAATCTAAGAGGGAGAACAAATCTGAAAGATCTCAGGGGCATTGCACGATTGGAGCATAATAGATTTTGAGAAGCACATCTTAAGAGCAACAAATCTTATTATCACACCAAAAGAATAAAATAAAATACCATCAAAAGAATAAAAACATCCAAAACAACACTTATCTATGCTTCTGGGAGATATCCTTTGGGCACCTCTCCTAGCACGGGAATTTAAGAGTGTGAAGGAGTGACTTAAAACTTTTCATCTGATTTATTTATCTGATTCATAGTTCGTTGGGAGAAACAAAAGGTACCATGGGCTTAAGAAAAAATGAGATAGCAAAAGCTTTAGATAGTTTAATTACAATTTTGTAGTGGCTCCCATGTAATACCCAAGAAAAGATCACACAGCGAGGGCAATAGAGAAAGGACCAAACAATTAATTCATGCAGAAGGACCAATAAGAACTAACCCAACTTGATGTCCTCAAGTAGCTGTAATACCATTACCACATAACAAAAAACTAACTACACGTTTATTGCTTTATGACATATATAACTCTTCAATGGTTTGAGGCCATACCCTTCTCACTAGAGCAAGACAAAGGTGTCGCTTAATGTCTCTTCGGAGATCCTTAGGCAAACTCTGAACCAAATTTTCTTCATCTACACCACGTGTTGCTAACCACTTATATTGATCATATCGTCTCACACGCTCTCTAAGCTCTGGTGGGAGCAAACGATGATGCATCCACTGTTCTGAATCACGCCTTTTGACTCTCATTTCTTCAAGTCTAATTGTAAGAGACTGAAGATATGTCTGTAATCATATAAAGAAATCACAGTATCAGTTACAAATAGTCTGCTCTTCATGCTTTTGTGAACATAAACCTTGAAATTTATTAATTATTCTATGATAAGGAGAAACAACAACTAAAAAACAAACATAACATTAACTGCTCTCTCATCAGTATCTGTGTGCATATGTGAATTTGTATTTGTTGACTACTTCCATCTTATACCTTTCTTAACATGAATATCAATTCTAAAATGGACATCAAGATAATCTGGCAATAATAGCATTAAACTTAAACTTTACATGCTTTCCTCACAATGCAACATAAATCAGAAGATATGTCACCTCCAGCTGCTCATAAAAACAGACTCAAGATTAATGACAGCATTTAAAATGATTTGATGTCATTAATCCCACTCACCTACCATCCATTTTTGGAAGAGATTAGTACAAGTACAAAGAGAAAGGATAAGACATCCCCTCATAACATAAAAATAAAGTCTAGAGTTAAACAAGTGCTCTAAGAAATCCTAGATTCTGCTCCAGCCATAAACACTACCACAAAGACTGAACGAACTTTGATGCAAATCCATGGGACAAATCAACACTCTTCAATAGACTTAACTGAATACCATCCATATTGTTATTTATTGCATGTTAAATTAACTGATTTCAAGTATACCTGCATGTTACCAATCAGAAGCGCAAACAGGATAAGGCCAGATATGGCTAGTGCTATTGAAAAGATAACTTCCCCAGTGTAGGTGCTAGTTTGAAGCCCCTGGCCGAGCGTACTGCAGTGAAATAAATGAATAAACATTAAGTATGGATATGTGAATAATCTGAGTAATCTATGAAATGGAAATGAACTTATGAACATCAAACACAGGAATAAATAATGTCATCTACACTAAATCCATGAAAAATATGCACAAACTTTTTGGCCCTAAGCCCACATGGACTAAAGATTGAGAAGGAGGACTAGCCCAAAATGATAGCTCTACCATTGCATTAGTACACCAGTATAAACCATCGTTCTCTATCTAATTTGATTAACCCCAAAATATAAAAAATAATTATAATCAATCCAAAATTGTTGATACATATGGGGAAACACTCAGTATATAGTATTCAGTTCAGACAGAACATATATGTTATGATGTTTGGTTTTAATCATTTTGAATATTTGATGAAAATCACCAGAAGAAAATAAAATTAAATACCTCAAATTCTGTAGCCCCCACCATAAACAGTAACAGTACTTGGAGAAGAACTTCTTAGATGAAACGATACCAGATGACAAGGCTTGTTTGAAAATTCCATAGTCAAAAGGTGAATTATCATTATCTGCAGAGCACTGTGACGTAAGAATATTTTCACTATGATTCTGCCAGGCACTATAACCTTTCATGTGTTGGTTGCCACAATACAAGAAATTTTTGTTGTACCCACTGTCACTGCAAGCCTTTTGCCAGCAAAAGTCATTGCGTTCAACAGCTAACAAGTACCAAAAAGACCCAACTATCTGCAAAGAATCATTGATGGAAAAAGATGCAAAATAAATTCCTATCAAATTTGAGGCACATTAAGCCAGAGAGCAAGTGTAATACACAATAACTAGTGAGCATGTATAACAACTCAAAAAATAAAGGCAGGGAAGTCTAACATAATTAAACAACCAAAATAAAACAAAACTTACATGACTAGCAAGCATGAATAATAGCAAATAATACGCAGCACCTGCCCATGCAGTTTCAGCAAAGACACCAGCTGTTCTCTTAAGTTCAGAAGTCAACGGTACCATCCGGAATAATCTAGGAAAGTATTGAAGCAAAATAATGAACAGCAAGGCCCGCTTTGTCGCAAGTACATCCGAACCTTTTGACCTCTGCAGAAATCTCCAAACCACAATCTGAATGCTAGAGCAAAGAAGAGGTAAAAAGATAAACAACTTATTAGTGAAAAAGACTAATGTGGTCAGAGTTTTTAAAGGAACAATAGCTATAAAGAGTCATTCACGTCACACAATGTAAAAATATATTCACAGCCATTCAAATCGTTAGCAATACAGAAATATGCAATTACAAATTTTTAGAAGAGAGATCAGTCAATTATTAAATTAAGAGCAAAAGGTATAATTCGACCATCAAAGGTGGGACCACCTTTAAAAAAAATTACAAAATAATCTTAATTTAGATGAGAGGAGAGGATGCTAAGTGCCTAACTTTAAGGAAAACAGATAGGCAAGAGATGAACTCTTGATGTGAGAAAAAAGAGAATAAAGTCACTTTCATGGTTAAGCATGAGCAGCAAGACAGTCATTAGTAAACTTCTAAAACTATTCAATATGTTTCTAATAAACAAGTTTGTTAGCAATGAACATTTCTCATAAGAAAATAGAGCACATAGGGTAATAAAATGAGGATAGAAAGCCTTCCCATCTCGTTTTCATTTTCTCAGAACTGGAAGATACCTACTACTTCCAAGCAATTGTTATTAATTTGCTTTTATGCACATGATCATTGTTATTAGTAACCAACAAACTAAACAACTCTAATGGAACCACCAAAGGCTACATAAACAAATCTATCGTTCATGTGGTTGAAACAATAACAATTTCCATGATAGATTTAGATTAACAGTTTCGTTCCTAAAAGGCATGTCAAGGACCAACATTGAGATTAACACATCCCCCCATGGAAGATACTTTTGGGCTAGAATCATGAACAATGCAAAAGCCAACTATGACTTGCACTAGAATTCAATTTTATTTATAAGAATGGGAGTGGTGAGGATTGAACACCCAATCACCAAGTCATAGAGGCCCTGATACCATGAATGGTTTTTATATCTGAAAAGGCATTTAAAACCTCAGTGTACACTTGAATTAGCTTAATTTGTGTTCAAAATAGCTTATAGTCAAAATATTACAGAGAGCTTTCAAAAAAGTTCTCAAAAAATTAAGCTAATGCAAGCATGAACTTACTCACCCATTAGACGAACAAAAATAAGCATTTTGATGTAAGAAAAATGTACCTGAGCAAACACAAAGTGCAGCTCATTTGAATAAAAACTGGATGGTTCTTATGTCTTCCAAACTAAGTGTTTTATATCTATAGCAACAGATATGCATAAGCATAAAGACTTGAGCTTTATTGTATAGACAACATAGTTTGAATATTCAACGTTTTCTTTGTTCATTGGCTACAGAATATATCTTAGTCTCTACTCTCTTTAGTAAAAAATTTTCTTTCATTGCGGTTCACCTCCAATCCTCATAAGAAGAATCAAATTAACAAAGCCTTCCAGCAAGTATCCACAAGTGGAATCCCCAAAATCAATCCTTGATTTGAACTCAAAGAAGCAAGGAGAGATAGCAGCCATGATAGTCTAACAATCCAAGGTAAAAGATGAGAGTAGCAAACATAATGTTGATACATAAGAATTGTAAAATCCAAAGAAAAAAAATCATGCAGCATTAATAAAAGAGAGATTGAATCAAGTTAAAGCAATCTTCTTGACCTGTGGTAAGGGTAACACTGATAGAAAATCAATGATGAAATACCGCCGTAGGTATCGTTTGGCTATCTGTGCTGGATCTATCACAAGTTCACCCCGTCCAAAAACACGAGATGATGGGGCGATATAAGCAGTACGAAATTGGAGAGCCATGTGTATGAGGTAGAAAGCATCAACAGATGTCCTCAAGGTGGTGACTGTAATTGCCAATTTTTGGTCTATACCAAGACAGCGGAATGAATCATTAATGACAGGAAGATAGAAAAAAAGTGGATCCACAGACACAGCCAAGATGCATGAGATAACAAAAAGCTTATTCCATAAGAGCAAAAATTTGTCTTGAGGATCAAATATCTTCTTTTCTGAAACTTTAAGATCTTCAGGGAACACTGCTCTAGATACCCCAAATCCAAGTGATCGGCCAATTGACTTCAGTCCTTCAGATCCCTTTCTAATTCCTCTTTTAAAAGACCTAGAGGTTGTGGTGCTTCCATGGCCACCATGGCTTAATTTATCAATACTAAAGCCACATGTTTTAATTCCAGCATCAGAAGATGATGATAGTCTGGAATCCAAGTCATCCAACCTAGAAATAAATGTAAGGGTGCACAGAAAAATAACATATTCCATCATACTCCTTTTATTGTAGGAAATGGATTGCGTATTTCTAAACAGGAATATAAATAACTAAAAGTATATAAGAGGCATGCAGAAGAAATCAGAGAACCTTTATCAAATATCATATCCACATATTAGGACTTGAGCTGTTTATGACTTGAATACTAAAATACTATTAAATTTCAAAATTCTAAATCCACAATATTATGTAAAGCATCTTAAAGCCTATAATATTTATACTGCTAGTTAGAAACTAGTATGTGAAAGATTTAAGTGGCCAGCCATCGTGAAATTTTCAAAATAGCAGGTTTTTTCACTTCTAACTTCATAGTTATAAATCCCAGATCACAGTGTAACACAGCCAGTCCCAAAATCACTATACTTAATAAGGGAATTAAAGACATATTTATAATTAATAAGCAAACATTATAATACAATCTAATTCAAGACACACAATCATCCTCTATCCAGGTCTTAAATTGTAATACAAACTAGCAAGCATCTCAGGCACTGAACGAGTATTTTTTTTATTTATTTAAATATAGGAAACAGCTCCGCTTATGGGGATAAGGCTGCATACATTTACCATCTCCAAACCCTAGTAGGTGAAAGCCTAATGTGCTGAGTTGCACTCTGTTTTTAAAGGGGAAATTTAGAAAAACCAATAGCATAATGTCATTGTTTCTGAAAATAATTGTTAAGCAAAAAGCATTAGAAATAACCACATTAATGTAATCTAAATTCCATGTAAAAAATTTAAAGAAGATTACTAACTGTAAATTTCTTAGAAACAAAAATAGTTATTTGAAAACAAAACAATTGTATATGAAAACTGTAATATGTGTGTGAAAAGAAAGACCCATGTCCTATGTTCAATTACAGATACAGTCATGAATGCTTCATGTTTGATGAATAAATAGTTGTAAGAAAATGTGGGCAAAGAACATACATATAAATATTACTAACTCTCTTCTCCTTCATATCTCTACAAGCGTAACCGTGCAATGAACTATATTGGGTACCTCACAAATTTTTCCCGCTGCCCGCCCACATATTGTGACTTGTAACCACAGTCAAACATCCTTCAACCAATGATTCATGCACTAACACAACCTGCAGTTAAACAGAGCAATTCAAAACAACCAGCGATAATATTAAAATGGTGTTATCAGCATAATAAGCCTCATGCAGTCGTGCCAGAGGCTCATGTAATTTTCAATTCAAATCCGAAAAAATATGCAACTTCAAGACATACCACACTCATTTGAAAACATATACTAGTGTTCACTCCTAGGGATGATCCTAGGGATGACACCAGCACAAGGAAGGAGCGAGAAGCGCTTCCAATATTAAAGAGAAAGACTGAAAATACACCCATATATTAATTATTAAGGAGGAAACTAAAAAACCGTTTACATATGCATAACATGTATATAAATCTAAGGGTAATAAAGTCGTGGTAAAAATACGAGGACCCCAAGCAATACCATATTTCGATTAACAAAATCACCGCAACTAATTTCACTTTTCATAAGCTATGGTAGCTCATCAAACCTAAAAATAATACTTGGAAATAAAAATATCCAATAAAGCGCGCAAAGATAAGCTCAAGTTCATCCATAAACCTTATGCAATTAATCACCAGAAAATAAGAACGGTAAGTGGCAGCGATTGATGATAAGGCATTGCTAAGAGCTGAAGTTGAAAATGGTGTATAGCAAGTGCAACATGCAGATGCAAGATAAACCGAAGTGAATCTGTGTTCAAATGCAAAATTGAAAAGGGGAGAAGTGGAAACGGACCTAGAAAAACGGGATCTTCCGGTGAGTGCAATTGAAGAATTGAACGGAACGGAAGGTAGTAATGGAAGATGTGTAAGAAAGAGAAGACAAAGGTCAACTCAAATACAAAGAGGTGATGCCTTCACAAACAGAGTCAAATGCCATTGCTTCTTTCTTTCCATGGACCAACCAACCAACTCCAATTTTACCTTTTTTTCACTTAATCTCATATTTTATTTTGTTTTTGTTCCAATAAATCAATTTTTTTTGGACTGGAATGTGTTATGTATAGTTAATAAATATTTATGAAATAACCAAAATTAAAATATATTTATTTTGAAATTAAAATTTAATTATATATTTCAGTTTTTCAAATGTTTGATGAAAACTTGTAATAAAAGTAAACTATATAAATTAATCTTAATATATAAATTCTATTCTTCTTTTTGATAAAAAAAATTAAAATATATTTTAAAAATATAGAAAAAAATAATTTATCTATTTAAAATGATTTTTGTTAGTACATAGTAAGTGTTATCTACATTGTTAAAAAAAGTTTTAAAAAAAGTATTGTACAGAAAGTAATACTTTTTATAATTATCACATGTCATATTTAAAAGTTTGACATTAGCGATATTTAGGGTATACGTGATAAAAATTATTTTAGAAATAAATTATTTTAATTTTTTTTACTCAAAAAGTCATTTTCTTCTTTTGATAAAATTATTTAAATTTTAAATTTGTATATATATATATATATATATATATATTTGTCATTTCTCTTATTTCTGTTAATTAGGCTGATAATTAAAAATGCCACCATTTACAATAAGGTTCCTAATAATTAATAACCCACACTAATTAAAAGTATTTGATATGTTTCGTTAAATATTTTTATGGTTTAAAATCTGTATGTTTTACATAATAAATGTTTTAACAAAAAAGAAAAGAAAGACGTGTAGTGCACCTCCAGCTGCACACAACAGATTCTTCACCGTGACTTGCGCAATTTAGTCAAATTAATCAACTCTCCTATATTAATTAAAGTAATAATTTTTTAATTTATTTTTTAAAAGATAAATGTATTTTACATTACATGACAATGGTAAAGTACTGACTGTAAGGAGAATATTTAAGCGTCACTGAGATGTACTTTTATTTAGAATGAATATATATAAAAAAAAAATGGGTATTTATTGCTTAAAGAATATTATTGATGATACATGTGTCAGTTGCTATTGCTAAAAGAAGTTTTTTAAAATTAAAATAACTTAAATCTTATTTTACATTAATAAAGTTACAGGATGGATTAAATACATTCGCTATACCATTTATTGAGAGTGAATTGTTAGGTTACTAGCTTTAATTTTTAAAAATTTGATTTAAATACATAAAATATGTTAAATAAATTGTTATATATTATAAAAGTAAAGTATAAAAAAGGTGATAAATTTAGTTGTTGAGATAAAAGTATAACCATTCATTATTTTGTTAGAAATATGAAACCTTTTTTAAGCTTTTCATTAAATTAAATGGTTGAAATTTACTAACATAATCCATCATGTTATATTAGAACATAGGAAGGTCTGTTCCTATATTTTTGCATGTTATAAATATATGCATTAAGAACCGATTATAAAATACATATCCTTATTAAATAATAAGATTTGTAAATTATATTTTGCATTACTAAAGTTTTAATAATAAAAGGTAATTATACAAAACTTATCTTGTAAAAAAGGGGTTGGAATTGAGCTGTTTAAATTCCCAATAACCATGACTTCCCTTTGGAATGATATCTTGATCTTACAACTAACAAAACTTCTAAATGAATATTTCTTTGGCGAAAGTAAACCTCAACAAATACAGCAGCTTATTTTCTTAGGCTACGAATTTCAACTCAAACTATTAAATAGTATACCCAAAAAACAACTTGCTGATCCAAATTACCCTACTAAATAATTGTTCGCCAAATTTCACATAGGTGGCTAAATGGGTAATGTCACACGTGTGGATAACGTTTACCTTTTCAACATTGTCTTGCAAAAATGTGCGAACTGTACTTACAAATAGTATTTTCTCTTAAAAGCATCATCATTTCTGAAACTTACACAGCTATTCTTATAGTTCGCTATTCCCATACTCTTTCCCAAAAGTTTAAAATTCTTAACTTAGGAATATAGGTACAGTTAATCTTATTTGTCGCATAAGATGCAAAGGACAACCTCACAGTCCCTTCGGGTCCTCTCTTCCCTCTCCAAAGGAAAAAGCAGAGGAACCAATTATGACTGATAATGTTTGTCTAACATGTTCAAACTCAAAGCTAGTAGACCTGGTCCTCCAACATTGAATCAAGATTATCCACCTAAGCAAAGCATGACTGCACCACAGGAAGTAACAAAATGTTCAGTATAAACAAGATAATTCATCTCAAATGCCCCACCCCAAAAACACCTGCAAGACTACAACATCAACAACACCAATCATGTCTTATCTCATTAGGTAAAGTCAGTTACATAGATCACGAGATTCATGACACCATTAGGTTTGGTAAAAAACACTCGCAAGACTAACATGCAGAATTGTGTTCTTATAGCTATATCATAGGCTTCTGCTATTTCTATACTTTTTTTTTTTTTGTCGTTCTCTTTTTTCTCACTTTCTTTTGCCTTTTCCTCTATATAATCTGAAATTGCAAATTGTCATTTTTTTAATCCAATTTTGGAACATAAAAAATATTTTCAAATAATGAATTACACCAAACCAAAATAATGTACATATGACCATAGTTCATCTATACAATACCAAAACGCACTTGCTAGTTGATAGAGGGTTTACATGATCCCTAATCAGGGAAGAGGAAGGCATTTGATATTTTACCTTTCAAATTCCCTTCGAGGCAGAGGATGTTAGGGTTTCATTGAATAGAAATTAAAAGAACTCTTTTGCAGGATATTTCTCAGCTTTGAGTCAGCACACTTCCAATTGTCTTTCTAGCTTCTTTGCATAACAGATCAGGATCCTTTCCAATAATAGGTTTATGTATAACAACTTTCACAGAACCTACGTTCACTATTCCCTCCCTTCCTGCAGGCATGATTTGGCCAGTTCCAATAAGGGTAATTGGTACCACTGGTGCATTTGTCTTTGTAGCAACACTAAAAGCACCCTTCTGCACATCCCCACAAGGAAAGTTATAAAAATTACAGTTAATTAGTTGACATGAAATCTTAGCCAGCATAAAGATATTAAAAGAAAAGACAGCAGCAGAAACAGAGTTAAAAATAATTTATCTTAATTTGAAAGTTGCCAACACATTGTTTTCATCATCAGACTCATTCGGCATTTCACTTTAATCATCACAAAGCAGGGAAGCAGACTCTATTTTTCAGACAACTTAGTTGAGCCAACCATGTTGGCCAAAAAATCCAGGGTCGTTGAAACACCCCAGCTCTTTCTTAATTATCTGTGTGCTGGGTGCCTGGGTCCAAGAGAGAGGAATAACAGGGATAGCTTCTATATAATCATTAAATCTCTCCACAACACTTCATCAAGTGACCTAATGCCAATGTGTCACCTTGTGATAAGCATCCCAGTCCAAAAGCAGGTCATTCCTACCTGAAAACAGGAAGGTGGGACTGGGGGTAGAGACCAGTTATAAAATCAGTTCATTTAGAATATTATTAATATTCTAACTGTTTTATGAGTCTTGTTAAGTTGCAATGTTATCAAAGACTCTTTGTTCTACATTTTCCAAGGTATTATCTTCATCTTTCACAAAAATAGGTATTACTTCCATTATAATATCCTCTCTTTTTTATTTATCATATTTTAATAAAATACTTTCTTTGCATTGGATGATGTGATAATAAATTTCACGCTGAACCAATTATAACAACATGCTAGAACTAGATAATTAGCATAAATAAATAGGTGTATTAAGTATCTTGGTTTAAGATATTGGTTAAAGAATTAAGGAAAAGATGAAAAAATGCCACAAAATCGGGGAAGTAACTTTCTTAGTGTGAACTCTATTCTCTGGGGAATGGCTTCCTAGAGAAGATAGGAACAAATGAAATGTTAAGATGTTCCAACTTTCAAGACTCTCTGCGCATTATAGTTACAACTTTACCCAAAAAAACTCCAATTCATTTCTATAATCTTTTAACTCCTCTCTTTCACATTCTCCTATGTGGTTTTATTAACAGAACTGGGCGCGGGCGCATCTGAGTTTGGCCTATTCTTCTCTCCTATTGTACATAAACTTAATTGGTGGTCTATCACTAGGGTAGTGATTATAGCACATCTTGCTATCAGTATTCACTCTTCTACCATTTTTCCATTCTTTGGCTCCAACTTTGGCACATTATTTATTTGTCAAGCAGTGGCCCCACATGTTTATGCACTCTTCCTTTGTTGCATAATAACATAAAGCTAATACGATATACAACTTTTTGATTCTTAGAACATGATTATTTATAAAGATGAAAATGATTACAAGAATTTTGAGACAAACTCACCTTGAAAGTCCCTAGTTTTCCGTCTTTACTGCGTGTTCCCTCTGGAAAGAAAAAAACAGAGGCCCCTTTCTTGATAAGGTCCATGCATCGTTTTAGACAGTCCTATATGTCAAGAAGCAAACAGACTAATGAATTGAGCGTTATTGGTATCGTTTAATCCAAAAGGAGGAAAATAATTTTACAGAAAATAATCGTGCAAGAATACCAGCTGGCTTCGGCTGTCTGTGCGTTTTAAAGGAATGGTGCCTAGAAGAAACATTGCCCACCCAATTATTGGAAAGAGGAATATCCCTGTCTTGCTTATGAACTTAAAGCTTCTTCCTAGAGTAAGAAGAGTATATATGTCTAGAAAACTCTGATGATTCGAAACATACACAGCAGGGGTATCCGGAGGTAGAAGATTCTCCAATCCCTCAAATTCAATTTTGAAAAACGGAGTCACAGTCAGCATAGCCCAGAATTTGGCAACAAAATGATGAAACTTTCTTCGGTAGCGATCAAATATGAGGACTGAAGGATGTCCAACCAGCATCATTACAAAAAGACATATGGCAGTGACGACAGTAACAGCATAAAAGCAAGCTCCCCTGATTTTAGACTCCATTTTCAGTTCTGTAATTAAGTGAAGATGAATTAAATGACCATTCCTGTTCAAAGGTAAATCGCAACATCTGACCAAACAGGACATTTTATACATACCAGGTAGTGAATAATGATCTCCAGCAGAGTTGGCTGCAGTAAGTTCAGATCTTACAACTACATCTCTGGGGAATTTATTTCGAACATGCAATTTAGGACTAACAGGTAGGCACAGCACATTTCTGTGCTCCTTGGAGATTCCTAGCAAGCTACATTGAGGAGCTATAAAGGAAAAGAAAGTAAAGAATAAAGATAACTGATCTATAAATAAATTATAATCAGACATGTATTAAAGATAAACATACGAATCTAAACCCTTAATCATGTATAAAAATAAGAAACCAATAAATTTAAAACCAGATTAACCAGGAATCTTTTGTACTGCAAGATATTATTGAGAGAGGAGCAGAGAGTTACAGTTTTGTGATGTCCTTAAAACTGGGTGTCTCCAAGTTGTTGTTCCTCTGTGAGTGCACAACTGCAATGCAAGTGCAGTTCAATCATACACAAATGGATACATAAAGACAAAAAAAATAAACAATAATAAAAAGCATTTATACATGTTGATACTTGTAGTCACTGTTAAAGTTTATGTTTAATGCAGTTGTATTAGTTGTAACTACTTTTGGTTAGTCATTGAACTAAATCATTCGTGAGATCAATAATACTATTCTTTTCAGTTTTCCCATCAAACTTGTTTCTCTCCCTCTCTTTCTTCTTGATACTATATTATGGTATTAAGTGCCTAAATTCTGCCATGTCAGCGTCTTTTGATCCCCTACTGAGCACTGCTACCAGTGCTCCAATCACCTTCATGCATCCAGTTTCTGTCCAAACCAATGACAAACTTTCTCGTATGGCGGCAACAAACAGAAGTTGTTACCAAAGGTCATCGCCTTCATGGCCATTGCTGGTTGTCTTGTTATAACAGAGACTATCAATTAAACAGAGAACACTTAAGAAATGAAGCAATTATTTTCGAGAAAATAAGAACCACCAAATCAGAAGTTGAATAAAATTATATTGGGCAAGGGCAGAACGCAAACAAATGAAAATTACATTGCCCTCTTTTTCTTTCCCACCTCAATCAAGGAGCTTCAAATAATAGTTTTCCCCTTGAATATACTAAATCACAATTCAGGCAAATTAAAAAAAAATGAAATAACAAGTTGGGGCTAATGAGGGGGCATTTGACATATACCTGGAAACTGAAAGAAGGGAGTGAACTAAGAGAATATAAATGGTTGGGCTTCAGCGAAAGAGATTCCTTTGGAGTTACACTAATTCTCTTGGAATTAGGGAGTGACATGGTCATGGTCATGGTCATGTTCATGTTCATGTTCATGTTCATAGTCATAATGGTTCCAGAAACCATTGAAAATATTCACTCTCAAAAAATAAACCTGGATTGCAAATTATCCACAACCGAAAGGGATTCGATTACATTGAAACATGAAGTGAATTTGGACTAGTGGCTGGTTTATGCAATACCTCGAAAAACGGGATCTTCAGGTGAGTGCACAGAATATGAGTGAGAGATAGTAATGGAATAAAGAGACACAAGGTCAACTACAATACAATGCTTCTTCCTTTTCTACCCGCCGATTTAATCGACGGTCAAGTTCTTTGTTTTGAATCGCTTCCACGAAACACAACCTTCAAGGATCAAATTTAAATGTACTTTAGAACGCAAAAAACACGCTTCTTTGCACTAATTTATTGATCAGATTTGGTTTCTCTGCAAAGGAAGGATCAACTTTGCTGTTGCTGATACGATTATATGAATTCTCCAATGTGGTTCAGAGGTTTTCTATGATGTATTTGGTGCATGATGCATCAAGATGTTTCAACCGTCGATTATAAATAAATAAATCAATGGCAGAGATTATTTAAGATGTTTCCAACTGCAATTTTACGTCTTATAATGATTTATATGTTGTAATTTTTTATTAAAAATCATATAATATTATAAAAAAAAATGCAGTCAGGATATTAAATATTATACTTTTTTTTAATAAAATATTATTTATCGTATAATGTTGGACGTACATTAAAAAATAACTTTATCTAAATAAATCGAAAATTATGTACAAGTACCACTCGTCACTCTATAGTGCCTTTAGTTTTCTTCTAAATGTTTTCTTTATTTAATCCATTTTTAATTTATTTTTTTCTCGTTTATTGATAAAAATGGTTTACGACTGTGACACCCAAAAGACAGAAGAGTGTGCATGTGTAGAACTGTTACAATATATGGTTCTTAATGAATATCCCAGATTTTTTCTTTTGCTACATTATATTATCAAAATACTTGTATATTCGCTGTTTATAGAGGTTATTCCTGGCATCAACAATTAATATCAGAAAACTTTTCCAACTAAGGGTCACCCAATCCATTTTCCCCCTCCAAGAGCTGAGACGGAAAAACATTGCACTAATAATTTTATATATTTTATGCGCGTATACAGATGATAGAAAATGACATAAAGTTTGTCTAACTGCCAAAAATAGCAATACCCCAGCCAGAATTATCATGGCATTCAGTATGACATCTTAAATACCATTCAATTTACACCGTAATCAAACTTGGGGTTTTTCCATGAGAGCATTTCATCTCAAACTACCATGTCAGCTTCACTTAAAGTTGATGGGATCCCCACATCCAGCCGCATGGTCGATTTATATTGTTCTGGTAATGCAGCACCAGCCTGAATGCACATTTCCACTACTGCAGGTGCCTGCCCATAAAAATTCCTAAGCTCTCGCTCCAGGGGTGGTCCATTTACATCAGGAACATGCCACACAAATCTTGGTGGGATCAAGTCATCCAGAACTGCAGACTGCCAACCATGCTGCCCATTGCGTTGTTGGTGTTTATGGGCGCCACAGTTTTGAGCTTTGTGCCCCTTGGGACCCACATGAATTTCAGGGCAATATCCACAGACCCTCACATTGTACATCCTCATTAGTCTCTTTGCACCTTTCCTCATTCGTTCCCATGCTTGGAGTGTTTCCTCAGCAAGGGGGACAACTTCATTGTCCAATGGAGCAACTATTTCTGAATCAGGTATTTCAACTAGTAATGGTTTTAAAGGGCCTGCTGGGATTTCATCTGGTAGTTCACTTTCATCGGCATCAATGAATTCCTTCCTCCCAATGCGAATAATAGGCTTTCTTCTCCTTTTCGTGCGAAACTCAGGAATTTCAACACCAGCTTGGATGCAGAGCTCGACCACTGCTGGAATCCGAGGGATAGAGAATCTCTCGTCGTGAGTAATCCGCTTTCCAAGACGATCAAAGAGGTGATAGGCTTCAATTGGTATTAATATATCTTCAACATGTGCATTTGTCCATTCATGGAGGCCCTTGCGGGTATTGGCCCTCGAACCTTTACATGATTTAAATGGATGTCCAACAGGTCCAACATGGATTTCACTGCACCACCTGCATTAGTATTTCAATATCAAGACGCTTCAGAATATTTGATCACTTCTTGTTTTTCCCCACTTGTAGACATTAAATTACAGTTATTTGTAAGGGAGTATCTATGTCACTCTTATTCAAGTATTTTTTATTTTATTTAGAGTAGCCTTATTTTTCTTCACTAATCAAATTAATAATTGACAGAAATTTTATAAACTTCAATTAAATAAGAGTCACAAATTGGAAGTAGAAGTAGACACATTGAAGTAGCAATAGACACTTCTTATTTGTAAAAGTAATGTACAAGGGTTAAATGAAATAATGAAATTATACATATGGATATAAATCTTTTGTCGAGACATTAAAATTGGAAAAAAAAAAAACTGGTCAAATTTGGTAATCAAATTCAGTAAGTTTAGCCTGGTAAGCACAAGAAATATATTGTAAAGGTAGCCAGATTTGATCCTAAATATTTTGTGTGTCTAGTTGAAAATGCACATTAATGGATACTGGGCTGAAAATATAACAGAAAACATTCAGGTTTCAATTTTTAAGAGCATAAGAACAGCTTTTCAAATGTCCTATACTGTCCCTATGACTCAGGTTCAATGAATCCCCTCAATCTTGAAGTTTTGGCAGCATGCTTACCATGTATGGGTCCAAGCAAGTGGCCAACACTGGTAAGGACTAAAGCGGCAGCAAGTGGAACTAGTAGTCTTCTTATGAAACATACCGTCCATTTCATAAGGGAATAATAGCTACAACATAATGTGAGGCTTTCAAGTCTAAGTATGCAAGCTTTGCTTTGTGCAAGATGCAAAATGAGATACTAATCAATTGCCCACCACAATGGCAAATTATAGGTGGCTTTGGCAATATCTGATATAGGTACTTTCTAGTTACACTAATGATGAGTCAATGACACAATTAAAAGCTAGACAGTGAAGTGGCATATTAGTTTTGTGATTATTAATGCATCATTTCAAACAAATTGTCAAAGCAAGAATATCTTACAAGGCCAGAAGCAAAAGTGATCTGTAGTGGCACAATTACTGGACCAAAAAAAAAACTTGTAATTTTACGTAGTTTTCCAATATTCCAAATAACCTCTTAGCCAAATGCCCAAAAGTATGCTAGAGAATAAGAAGACATATAATAATTACCCACAAGCATGCACAGGCACTACTTTGAGCAGCTTCTTCAGATTGTTAATCAAAGTTATCCTAGCATTATACACATTATATGCAGTCGGTATAAGGCACTTCACCAGCAACCCGTTCTTGGGTGCCGACATTGCTCTTCTTGGCTCATCTTTCATCTTCTTCATCCTCTCCCTCGCTGCTCGTCGCAGTTCTACAATGGGAACTGGAAAAGGCTTCTTCTCTTTTCTCGAATAATGCCGAGGAAAATCAGCATTTTGGGGCACTTCGTTCTTGATTGTGAAGCCATGCAGACAAAATTTCTCTGGTTGAATTCTAATCTTGACAGGAAGATTAATCTTACTGCTACAGCTCTGCTTAAAAACAAAAAGACAGAGAGAATCATAATAAATACACAGGAAATTTCAAGAATTATTTCACGAAATTCAGATACCTTACAACAGAATTTGACGCTCAAAATTAAAAATTTCTTAGTGGCCATTTGAGAAATACCTGGAAACTGAAGGAATGGAATGAACTAAGAGAAGATAAAGGGTTGGGCTTCAGCGAAAGAGAATCCTTTGGAGTTACAGTAATTCTCTTGGAATTAGGCAGTGACATGGTCATGGTCATGGTCATGTTCACGTTCATAGAGGTCCCAGAAACCATTGAAAATGTTGACTCTGAAAAATAAACCTAGATTGGAAATTTGGAATTGTTGAACAGTGAAACGAGAAGCTTGAGTTGGGCATCCACCACAATGGTAGTGGATTACTGTGAAGCAGCAAGAATCTCACGCCCCACTCAATCAATTCTTATCCTCACACCAGAGTGGAATAGAACCTAACCTTACACAAACACCCTCCCAGTTACTAAGCCCCATTTTTCTTGGTTATTACATATTTAACATTTTAGATTAGTTGGATCCAAAGGACCATAAATAAGTTATTTTATTATTTTGTAGATTACTTTTAATTAAAACTCATTTTTATATGATATATAAAATTTATATAAAAATATGTTATATATAAAAATAACTTTAAATTTATGTAAAACAACTTATTTTTTGGTAAAGATGTAAAACAACTTGTAAATACCTTAAAATGATAAAATATAATTTTAAAAGCAAAATCATGAAAAATAATTAAATATTGTAATTTTATAAATATAGAGTTGTATAGGTGACCAGTTAATTTCATGAATAAAATTACATATGTACATGTATGTTAGGTTTGAGTTGGATTTATTTTTAAAATTAGATTTAAAATTTCATTCAATCTAATTAAAAAAAGTTAATTTTTGCAATTTCAAGAATTATGATTTTTAGATAACTTGATTTTTAATTTTTTTTTATTCAATTTGATAGCTTTGTAATATTACAACTACATCTTCAAAACTTTGTTTGAAAATTTAAAAAAAATAGAATAAAAGAGTTTGAAAAATTGGAAAGAAAAGGAGAAAGGGAGAGAGGAAAAGATGGTTAATAAAAAATTAAATTTAAAAAACTTAAAAAGCATAAGATTTATTCTGATCACGGAATTTAAGATCAATAGACAAAATATACACATTTTCATACTTCTTTGAGATTCCTAATAAGCTACGTTGAAGAGCTACAGGAAAAACAATAAACAATGGCATATAAATAAATTACAAGAAGACATGTTAAAGCCAAAAATCTCTGGAATGTTCATCCGAATCATCCCTGATATTTTGATGACCAAAACACAAGCATTAAAAAAATAAAATGTCTTTGATTAACAAAACCATCGTATGTAAGCTTCAATGTATATAGATTTATGTAAAGGTCCATCTGAAAGAACCTTACAAAGAGTTGTTTGAAAGATTGAACGTAGAAACGATCAAGGCATATATCAAAAGACTTATTGTGAATAAATAAATTGATTGATTAATTAACATTGATGAACCATGCATTCATTTACGCTAGAAATAATGATGAAATTAAGTTATTACCAAATTTTTTTTTAATGTAAAGAACAGATTGAGCATAATAAATTAGATGTTGTTAAAATTACGTGACAGTTCGTGAAACCATTTTAATAACCACTTTAAATTTGATAATGGGACTCTTAGGATTCATGCTAAATAAGCATGTTTTGTGCTTATTCCTTGTTCCTTCCGAAACATAGCCATTGATGCTGCACTACATTGTATATATAGATATACAGGGTTGCAGGGAAACAAAAAGAAAAGAAAAGAAGAACACTTCAGTGAACGAGTGTTCTAATTACGGGGATGAGTGAAAGGAAACATTTATTTAAAATGAGACATTAAAATATATATGTTGGTGATGAATAGTGATCTAATTGCGAGGACGAGTGTTCTCTGGATGGGACATCCCAGTGGTAACCTTTGCAACATCCAATGCTGAAGCTTCAGGTTTCTTATGAGCGTACAACACAAAGTAACCTATCACAAGAGATGCTGCAAAGCCACCAATGGCCATTTTCATGGGACAAAATGGTAGTTTCTTACGTTGGTGAAGTACCTCTGTGGAATGTTGCCTTTTCACTGCCTCAGCTTGTGCCATCATCACTCTTCCTGGTCCCACCATTGATTTTTTCTTCAAAAGTTATGTCTTTTTTCTCTTAATCTACAACCTTGGATGTGTATTCACTCGAATATGTTTTTGCAAAACCTTTTTATGAATGTGAGATTTGCTTGGTGTTATGGAAACCTTATAGGGAGAGAGAAAGAACATGGGAATGGTAAGAAGGAATACAAGGCGCAAAACAATGTTTTAAGTACAAGTGGATCTTGTAGGATTGTGGTATTTGACCTTTGAAAAGAGTTTCAATGTGCTTAGGTCTAAGGAGATAATGACACCTACTAATACTAATGAATGGTTATTTGACCTTAATTTTTGTGTGGTTGTAGAAGTGTTTCATATGACTGTTTAATATAAAAGATTTAGCCACCCAATTTCTTTGTTAATCATCATACATAGAGCAGATGGGATCCAAACATTAAGCGTAGGACTAGTGCGAATTATAAGATTGTTTAATGTAATAATTAATATATGAAGTTTATCTTCCTACTCTTTGAAAAGTGAAAAAGCAATTTCATAACAAGTTAAAGGTTATATTTTTGTAAATATTAATCTGTGTAAGATTCACTTGTGCAAATATTTTTATATTGATAATGTATCAAAATTAAACTTAATGTATTATATATTAACATAAAATAATGTGAGGTAATATATATTACTTTTATTTTTCTATAAATTTTATAAATTTAAATTATTTAATAAAATGTTTTACAAATTAATTTTTTATTTTATTAAAAAATTTAAAATGCTATAAATATTTAAATTTGATAAATGATATCGATAGATTTTTATTGATATATATATGTATAAAAATAAATTATTAAATTTAAATTAAATAAAATAATAGTGTAAAAATATTATTTTTATTATTATCTAATTATAAATTGTCATTAAAAATATTAATTTATGTAGTCCATCTCCTAATACCAAAATTAAATAGAATATAGCTTGGTTGAAGAGGCAAAACCCTTGGAGTTGGCGTTGCTGCATTGAGCTAGAACCCTAGGTCTGTAGTGCGGCAGCAACCTCGCCAACGCCGGTGACCCACACAGGTTTGCATCTAAACTCGACTTCTTTTCTATTATTGGGTGTCATTGTGGTTTGTCTCTAGAACAGAGGTTGGGGTTGTTTCATTCAAGATCTCTGTTCGAGCTTTAAGTTATAGTGTTTAGTTTTGCGTCCACGATTGAGCTCTTTGTGTTTCGTTCTGTATTCTGTTCTTCGTCCAGGTTTGAGATTTCATGCATTTTGCTTTGCTTCAATGTGTTTGTGCTGTGTGTTTGCTCATGCTTTTGAGTTGGTGCGTTTTGCTGTTCTCCATCGTGTTTGTTCTCTTTGTGTATGTATGCTCGTACATAGTCCTATATGCATTGCCTGTGTTTGTTCTGCCATTTTGAGTTGTTTGTTCTCTTTGTGTTTGTTCTGCCATCTTGGCACTCTCGTGGAGATACTAATGGGGCAATTTTAGTGTTATTACCGTAAACTAGAGAAACAAAACACCACATTTGTCTGCATCAGAATATGATGTTCGTTGCATTGTTGTTTTTATATTTTCCCCTCTATCTTTGCATGAGTTGTGTTTATTTTTGGTTTAATTGTTCTTCCGTTATGCAAAATAGGAGTTTATGTATATTGTAAACTCCTATTTGATATGCTGATTTATGTATAATTTTGTTAAGATACTACAATTTACAATCTTGTACCCCTTCCCGATTCTATGTAGGATCCAACTATTTGATATGCTTCTTTCTTGTTGACTTGGCTTTTAAGTAAAGTAATCGTTTAGGTTTATATTGTGTTTGTCCGTGTATTCATATAGTGGTGAAAATATGTGTAAACCTAGATTCAAATGAGATTTCAAAGTGTTGAAAATGTTGACTCAACTTGAATTTTGGTAGAGCGTTATAGCTGGAGATTTTGGGACTGTTGTAGGAGGTTTCAAATCTATTTTATGGAGCTATAATTGAAGCAAAACTCTGCATAATGAAGTGAAAGTGCTTGATTATGTTTGAAGTGATTGCAAAAAGTTAATTGTATTTATATTTTATTTAGGGTTTCTTAGAAAGCAGTCATGGTTTCTTAGAACTTGTGCGGATATAATGATAAGACTCTACTCATATCCTTCTGATATTTTGAGGGGGGTGTGGACTATTTTGTTTCTACTTTTCTCTTGCAACTTTGTTCAACTTTGTCTAAAATAAAATTTTAAGCCTGGTATAAATTTTTCAAACAGGTGTGTTTGCCTACTGTAGTAGAGGAATTTCTTAGACAGGCAAAGGCTGCTCGACTTTTCATGATGTCTGAGTCATTTGTTTTCGATGATTTACTAGAGTCTGATCTTTCTAGGGCTTTTGGTGGGATGGATAGACTTGACATCTTCTTCCCATTTGATCCATGTTTCTTGAAGAAAAGTGAAAGGTTTGTAACTTTAGGTTTTTGTATATGCTGAAGAGATGTTCAACTGAACATTTGTCTGATTGGATCTAACTTTCCACTCCGACTGTGTTGATGTTTACCATCTCCAGCTACATAAGGCCATATTTTGTTTGCTGGTCTAAAGTCAGAACTACATACGATAGTGATGGCAATGATGAGGTCAGTGACAGTGGCAGTGAAGTATCAGATGATGATTTTATTGACAGGAATGCAAAGGATATGATTGATGATGACATGATGGTGAGTGTTGAAGTAGGTCTTGATTTTGTTCCCGACTTGAACAAAATGTCGATCACACCCAAACAGTCTTTAAAATATGATGGGTACGAGACACAAGTGGAACGTCTTACGCGAATGCCAGCAAGAATCAGACCATCAACTAGTCCAGAGTCTTTGTAATACCTATCTGCTTGTTATCCCTTTATACGATAGGAAACCTGTCAATTTTGCATTGTTTTAGGCTAGTAGGTACATCTCAGAGGATTAAGTGTGGAATTATAACATTAATGGTTGAGATTTTGATAACATGTATTCATATGCATGATTATGTAGTCAAAATCTTAACTGCTGAGTGAAATAATTTTGTACTTTAGCCTTTGAAGTGTATTTCACTTTGGAAGAGTCAAATACCTAGTGTAAATGTCATTTTTGTTTTCCCCTTATACTACCGTCTGATGAAACATAGTAGGAGCAAGCAACTGACCCTGAGATTCGTTCCCCTCTATCTTGTAATTATAATTTATGTTTGAGGTTCCGCTACTAGAAAAACAATTTTTGTTGAGTAGGACTTAGGGTTCCGAAAGAATGAATTAGATAAATTTTGAATTTAAATTAAATGGAGGAGTGAAAAATAAATTATTTTTAATTTGTCAAAAAATGTATTAAAAAATTCATTCATAATTGTTGAGATTAAGGAGTAATTGTGATCATTATTTGATATTACCGTTGTATATTTTGTATTTTAGGAAATGAGGATCATATCTAGCATATTTGTATGTTAGATTTGCTGAATCTTTTCCTTTTTCACTACTTTTTTTTTTTTTTTGCTAATTTTCCTTTCAGTTTGACCCCTGTATCTCAAATTTGCTGTATCGAGTTCTTATGTAAATTCATGATATAAGATTAATTCAAGTCTTGATGTTTTTAACTTTTCCTTTTTCAACAACTAAAAATTTTTAAGTTGTCTTTTATTTATTCTCATTGACCTATTTTAAAACTTTTGAAGATGAATGATAGAGAAAATGGGACACGGGGACGGAGAGTGGGAAGGTACTCCTAATTCCTGCCCTGCACTTGTCATCTATATTCCCAATGAATCTTATTGAATCATGTTTGAATCAAGTTTGTATATAGCCGTTAAGGTTCTGAGTAAACCCTAATTTAATAAATGAAAAGATAAAAAACTTACCGTGCTCCAATAGAAATTCTTATTAAACCCTAAAGAAATTTACATTTTACAACATCTTTTTCTATTGCTTCCAGAAATCGAATTCTAGAAGAATATTTAATATATTCTGAAATTAAAATTACAGAAGTGTTTAAAAACCCTTTTAAACTAAAATTCCGAAATTTGTTGAACACTAGAAATTTCAATTCCAATTTTGTAAATCACTTTAACTTTGAGAATACAGAATTAAATTTACCAAAAAAAAATAATAATAATGATCTTTAAAACATTTCGAAATTAAATTTTCCAGAGGGATTCAATAAAACGAGGGCGTGACTAACAAAAAGATGATCCAAAAGTATTCATTGCACTTCATATTACACTAAATAAACCTCCTTTTTAGTATAAGCCTTTTTAACATAAACAAACCAAATTTCCTCCAAAGTCATAGCCACATGGTTTTCCACACAACGTAATGGGATCAACGGGGAAAAACAAGTTCGTCATCAAACAAACACACATAACAGGTGAATAGCATTGCAAGGAAAAATAAACCACTTTGTGCGCTCATTTAAGGAGAGTCTTCACAATTGATTTGACATTGAGTTTCTTGAGGTCAGTATACGACTGTCCGCATCCCACAAACATGACAGGAGCTCCAGAGATGTAAACCATTGAAAGTGCAGCTCCCACCTGACCAATTGAACCATCAGCAAACCCATAATTATTAATCAAACAAGATCCATATTATATGTCCAAGTTAAAAATTCAAACTTTCCTTCCTTGCAAGTTTAGAATTACGGACCTTATCATCGATGGTGTCAAACTTGGTGAGCAAGATCCCATCTATCAATCTTGGATTAGGAGATGTTGAGAGGTCAGCCAATTTCTACAGTGAAACATTAGGGATTAAATATGGTTATATAGGATATAAATAAGGAAAAAAGTTCCATCTGGGAAATATTGAACTAAAAATAGAACCAAACCTGATTGAACTTTGAAAGCTGATCAACTGCGTCATTTCCAACCAGTGCTTCTCCAACAAACAAAACTAGATCTGGATTGTTAAGGTAGATGAGTTTTGACAATGCCCTCATCAGGGGTTCATTATCCTGAAAACCAGCAGCTAGATATCAGATGAATGTACAAGCATTCAAACAAACACCATGTAATATTATTCACATATAGCGATAATCATTCAACTGTTCCAGTCAGAGAATGGTCCTTTATCTCAATAATACATTCAATTGTTCAGAAATACTATAAAAACAAAACAGAAACAGTGTGTGCGAAGAACAGGAGTTGCCTAGTAATTGTAAATTTGCAAACTTCATATAACAACACAAACAGCTGCTAAATGATCAAAATCTTGACCAAAATAATAATTGCAGTAATACCTGCATACGACCAGCTGTATCAACAAGGACCACATCTGATCCATTGCGTGAAGCTTCCTGAATTGCTTCCTTTGCCACAATGGCAGGATCTTTCTCATAGCCCTTCTCAAATATAGGGATCTGAAACAAGGAAATTATAAGACTGTATGCTTCTTAAACATACAGGTTAAAGAATTCCACTAATCCTAAATCAATATAAACCTGAAGCCTCCGAGCATGGGTCCGCAGCTGTTCAACTGCCCCTGATCGAAAGGTGTCACAAGCAGCCATCATAACATTTATCTTGTGCTGCAGAAGCCAGTAAGCAACCTACAACATGACACATAAAACCCAATCTTTTCTGGTTAAAGAACACACCTTACATATGGAATATCAACTATAATAGAGAAAAAATATGATTTGCTCCACCTTAGCTAGATTAGTAGATTTTCCAACACCATTAACACCAACAAATACAACAACATATGGTTTCCTTTGCTCCTTGGAAGCATGTACATCCCTTAGTATATCAATGGAACGTCTAGGAGTTAAAATTCGAACAAGAGCCTCTTCCATTGCCGCCTACAGTAATATTTTTAAGTATACTATCAGTATCAATGTTATATAAGTGTATTCATAAAGTGAAGGTAGCACCAAATGTAGATAGGAAAAAGATAGAAACGAACATGCACTGTTGAAGATATCCTTGTAAATGAAGCCAGCTTCTTGCCTTCAAGACTTGCTGCCACTGATTCACAGAGTTTCTCAGCTATCTCCTCAGCCTACAAGAAATATAAAATGCAAACAATATTAGCCAGGTCAAAGACCCAATAGATAACCATTAAGACATATAGAGGAAAAAGATAAGAAAATTACTGCCGTTGAGTAGAAACACATACCACATTCTTGGTCATGAGCCTATCCTTTAGAGCTTTCAAAGCTGGTTCTAAGTCTGACTTCTCCAAATTTTCCTTCCCTGCAATGCTGAGCATGAGGATATGTGAACAAATTTAGATTAGTCAATCCCATGAAAAACTGTAAATCAAAATAAGATAAAAATGTAAAAATCAAATAAGTTTCAATTTGTTCTGTTAAGGGTACAAGGTTGCAAAGCTATTTGCGCCCAAACAATATGGAATGAATATGGAAACTGGTAAAATTGACATCAGAAAAGGGAAACCAGAAACAGGACAACATTCCTTGATTATCCAAAATAAAGCTTGATTCATCATGCCAGAGGGAACACTTTCATGAGCAAGAATAATTTTATTTTGTTGTCCTCCTCTACGCCATTCCTAAGTTTTGTGTGAAAAAGTACTGGGAGGGCCCCTCCTGACAACGCATGTATATAAAATGCTAAGTATTGCATGATCCTGAACTGATTTCTCACCAATAAGATTCCAATATAATTTTATTAGTAAAGAAATACTGCAGGGAATCATTACTAAAACATGTCAAGGTATCCCCAGAAAGCAATGAGACAAACAGTTAAATCCTCACACAAATTCCACTTCCACAGTAATATACAGTTATGTATCAATCTTGAGGACTACAAGCATGTGTGCGACAATCTAATAGTGATATAGTATGAGTTAAAAGTACAAATCATTTTAGCAACATATTCAAAGTTTCATTGTTTCAAACAACTTAATAATAACAAGATATCTGCCTATGAAGCTAGCAAAGTGCAGAAAATATAAAGCATAAGCAGAGAAATCTTACCTTTGGAGCATGGACGAAAACCAACCCTTGCTTTTTGCACCGACTTTTATATTCTTCCCCACATCCTCCTCATCATCATCCTCACTTTCACTGCTAACAATCTCATCTTTATCCATCATACTTTCACCTTGATCTGCAGCCACAAAATCAATGTTCCTGTCCCCATCCTCACCTGAATGGTCGGTAAAGTCCAGTTTTGTTTCAGTAGTTGCAGCATCATCCCAAACTCTATTTTTCTTTGTCACTTTCTTGTTTGGCTCTGCCTTGGAGGCCTTGGCACCATTATCTGTCTTCTTCCCACCTTTGGTCCTAAGCTTCTGAAGCCTATGTACATCAAAAGCCCCAACTTCGGAACTTCCATTCTCTCTACCATTCACATTACTATTCAGGTTAGAATCTTTAGCAACAAAATTGCCATTGGAGTGTCCATTCTCCAACTTCCTGCCCTTGCCATCATCACTGTCCCCGCCACCATCATTCTTCACAACACCATCACCCTTCTTCTTATTCCCTCCCTCGAATCCCGACTTCTTATTCCCCTGCACTTGCTTCTTGGCATTCCCCATGACAACAGTATTTGACCGCTTCAAATCCTCGGTTCGAGACAGGGCTTCCATCTTCAGCTGCCTGAAAGTCTCATCAAAATCATGGTAAGCAGTCCTTTTGGGATCATAAACCTGCGAAAACTCATGCTTCACCATAGCAAGCAGATCCTCCACACACAAAAGGTGAAGCATTCGTTGATACACAGCCACAAACACAAGGCCAAGCTCATTGTGGAAGGTCCACTTGAGGGTGTAGGAAGCACCAGAGGCATCATAATTGTAGGATGCCGCACCAGATCGCTCCTCCAAAAGACAGGAACGGATCAAGGTATCAATAGGTGAACCTTTCAGCGCGTTCCCAAGTTCTTTACAAGTCCAGAGGATTAACCCTCCTCTTGTAAATATCAGTAACTGCTCTAACATCCTTGATAACTTGCAATTATCCTATTAATTAACGATAACAAACAATAATTAACAATAACAACAGCAAAA